CAAATCTCCGTGCACTGTTCTGATTAGAGCTTTCTGACTTTTATACGGAGATTTCAGTAATTCTGCTAGATGCTGTGATGTTCCTATACCAAGAAGTCTTTTCCATAACAAGCTGAGATTCACAGAGCAACGCTTTGTAATTATGCCAGAAACAGGCCAATAGTTATTATTTCTTTCATTTTTTCTATAATCGATCTAAAGTTGCAGATTTGATATCTTTTACTCCGTCTCTTGCTCAATAGCTAGACTTGCTTCAAAATGTTTCTAACCCCTTTTGTTGCATTAATGTGTTTGCATGGACGATCAGTTGTATATCGTCTTTTAATGGGTGTTTGATGCATATATCTTCTATTGCACACACCTCGCATTGATCTATTATATACATTGAGGTATTCTCTATAAAAGTGAAAATTAATGCTATTACAACTTGTTTCAATGATTCGATTGGTCGAGGAGATTTTATGTTTGCTAGGCTCTGTAGCATGACGTCATTATCTCCAGCTTCCCCTCCCTCCTTGCCATCACAGAAGATGGCATACCTTCTGGATATCAGGATTCTTCTTGTACATCTCTTCAGTGAACACCATGTATCTGTGTAGAAACTTGCCAATCTTCGTTCTTAACCATGCTACTTCTAGGGTTGAACTTCATTTTGACGTCGTTCATTGTTGCAAAGAAGTGCTTTGATCTTCCAGTAAACTTATCTTTCTCAATGTGACTCCAGCGCTCCCAGTAGTATGTTTCCTTATTTCTCCCAATCCGTCTTTGAAGCCCCTTGTTGACATTTCTGACCTTCTTGTTCATGTTCTTTCTTGAAATAACAATGGCAATTTCAGAGCAAAAAAACTTGGGACCTAAAATAATTTTGACTTGTCCACCAGCAGTGATCTTGAAAAACTAATGAATTATTGCTGGAAAAATATTTTTATTACTAGCAACATAAAGAGTTTTTTCCTCGCATTAGTTTAATGAGGAGGTTTTGAAGAATATTAATCCATAGCAGAATTAAAAACGTAAAGCCCTGAATCTCTGACAGGGAATGGGCCAGTTGCTGCTTGCTCAAGAAATTTCCCCCCTCTAAATTTGCCTGTTATAGATTTGTAATATAATTAGGATAATTAGGAGCTGATAATTAGGAGTAATATCTCAGTTTTCTGTCTACCTCAGCCAAAAAACTAAGTTGTAACTGATACCCTCTGTATTTGTTACAACTTAGTTTTTAGCACACAAAGAAGATGTGCCCATCAACCAGTGTCTTGGTCCTTTCTCACGCACCTCTTTATTCCTATGCCTAAAATAACAGAAAGCTGGATGACCATCTTCTATCAGAAGGTTGGCTACCATGACCCTCCAACTATCCAAAAATCTGATTTTTGGTTTGTTGTCATGGTCATAGATAAAACTAAGGGATTAGTAGCATTCTAATAACCCAAACTGATGCAATATGCAAAATGCAAACTTGAGAAAGCTAAGAAATGAAATACCAAGTTTGGAGGCCAGAAAGTCGCAATAAACCTGTCACAATCCTAGATCTTTTAACTCCAGTATTTTCATGCATTTCATAACAGGCATTTCAGGGAAAGGTAAGGCAAAATTGAGATGCACCACAGCATAGCTTAAGTAAAAACTTTTAAAGAATGCTTTTAATGCAGAGTTTTCTATGAAAACATTGGCATTTGAATCAGTAAATTACTTTAGTGTATGCAAGAAAGTGCATTCAATTTAATACAGCAAATGATCTTTATAGTTTCTATGAAATAAGACTGGAAAACTCCTATTACATCAAAGTATCAAAGTTATTGGAAATGAGCTTTGATTACAGGGGCAAAGGTTAAGCTTTGGCACTTCTTGCTTGTAATTAAGTATAAACATGCTTCTATTGAGATGTATATTGTCAATGTTACATTAGGAAAGATCTTCAGAAGGCAGACACTTTTTATAGTATGTCATGAGCGATGTTAAGTGCTAGATACGGTATGGTGTTACAAACGGCCAAATATTGGTGTATCCCATCTAAAATCTCCATCTCTGGCTTTGGTGCAGAGGTAGACAGTGCACAATTAAAACATTGATAGTCTTAATGATAAGAAAATATGGAGTAAAGTAAGTCAAAAATTAGGCTGTGACATATAATATTTTCTGCTTTTGACATCATTCAATAATTTGACATGATTATCAAAAAAAGCTCAGAATGCTTTACAATGCACAAAGAAATAAGAAATGTGCATTTATCATCCACTGTGAAAACATGGCCAAGATTTGCTTTATAGATAGAAGGTATTTAGTGGGAAATTTCAAGTTTATATGGAAAATTCTATTTTTAATTAATTTCCAATGTGATTTGAAGAGTTTTGCTATTCATCAATTGCAAATCATAGAAGCGTGGATCTTTTGTGTATGTGCTATGTGAGCAAAGTTTCTTGCATACAACTTTATAAAGTTTAGGTATAACTTTTACATACCCATAAACCAATTATATCATCCGACTGGATACCTAAAACATTTTTTAAGTTATACTTATAGCTACCAACTCAAATTATTTTTCAGGGAAGCTGTCTTCTCTAATTAAGTCTAAAAAATGTTTAAATATGAAACAAAAGCTTGGCTTTTATATCTGGCACTGCTCAAACAAAAGCAAATGCGATATGCACTGTTTTTATAACATTTAGTTAGATATTTAAAAGTTGATATTTTATTCATATAGATAGGTTGCACAATTGAAAAAGATAGTCATAAATGGAATGATAAATAGTGTGATTAACAAATTAATTCCTATTTCACATGGGTGCATTTCAGTTCTTCTTTCGTGGTGATGAAGCTAATGTTCTCAACGAAATTATGACGGGAATGGTTGGCCAAACTCTACCTCAAACTTTGATTCATGTCGGAGGAGTTGTCGAATAGCAGGGGACATGTTCCCGTTGCTTTTAAAGCTATCGCCAGTTTAAAAGTGTGTGAATAAATATTACGTCTTCGCAGCATCGCAAACAGCAAAAAACAAACAGTTTCCAAGTCCACTATGGCAAATCAATAAGACGGCAGCTGCGAAAACAACCGTACAAATTGTACACGGTTTACGCTCCAAAAAGAAACTTATGATGTACAGAATCATGAATATTGCATTGTTTGTCCACAACGCAAAGTTCGGTGGCTTAGGTATAAGGAGTAGCGGCAGCAGCCATTGCAAACAGTACATTCTGCTAGAAAATATCAGCAAGATCTCTGTAGGTGTATATCTAGTGATTATTTTCTTTAGTAGGGGTACGATAGTAACAGTAGGCCTGGCCAATGTAGTTGTGGTTGCAGTTGTCTGTAATGTCTGAATGCGACAATGCAAATGTTTCGCAGAATCACCTTTGAAATCCAGAAATTGAAAGCTAATACGCAAATTGACCAACTTTATTTAAGATCCATATTCTTTTTGAATATCAATATTCATTAAATAAAACTTCAAATCCCCGAATGTTAGCTCCACTCCCACGGCACTCTACAGTTAACACTTCGTCATAGGCCTAAATCATAAACTGCTTTGGATTGTGGGATGTAGCGGAAGTATCGTGACGTAATATTGCGTCAAATCTGTGCAGACACTTTTGCGTCAACTTGCATCGCACTCTTTGTTGCATTGCGTATACTAGTAGGAACACTTTCGCTAAGGAAACCCACCCTCTATTATTTTAAGAGCTACGCTATGGATTGACTCAGCTTATACATACGTATCTAGACATGTTCCTATTGCTTTTCTAGCTTGTTTTTCCTCTTATGTAGACACCTAAGACAAGCACATTTACATATTTTAATTGTACAAGGAACTAATTTAGCACATATATATCGCTCTCCACGAATCCTGAGTTAGTTGAGAGCTAGAGTTAGTATTGTGAGCACGTACACTTCGCTCTTGTGAAAGGCTTAGTGCTACAAGTCATTCGATGATATTGGTATTTTTTCTCCAAGCATGGTGTGAAATCTTCTTTCGAATGCTAAAAGATGTGAAGTGGCTGAAAAGCCAGAATCCAGGACAAAAATGGTCGAGGCTTTACAAGAAAACTTGAGAATTTCTATTTCCTTTGAAAAACAACCTTTCCCCTTCCCCCAATTCAATGCTGAATGCATGATTTTGAAGCTACAATCTGACATTAATTTGGGGAGCAAGGGAGGATTCAAATTAACAGGGCAATGTAAACTATACCCTGGGTACCAGACTCACTATATATGAAATAAAATAGAGAGTCTGGTCTAGTGCGCCCCATTCTCGTTCTGGTGTGCTGATATTAACCAATCAGGAGCGAGTGTACAGATTTCTGTACGTTCAAAGGTCACAGCGAAACAATAAACTTGGCTCTGGTATAAAACATTGAACAGAACAGAACATAAATAAATGCTAGCGACCGTAACGATTGAGTTTGAAGATGCTGTTGAAACTGTACTCAAAGAATATTTTCCGCATGTTGTGGAACTGAACACAGAACAGCATTGAAAGCCTTGTTTGTAGAGAGAAGAGACACCTTCGCCATATTGCCAACTGGCTTTGGAAAGTCTCTGATATTTCAGGCTGTGCCTCTCGTTGCAAAGAAATTAGGCCTTGTAGTGAAATGCAGTAGATAAAAAACACCGCAAGGCGCCGAGAACAAACAACAACAAACACAGTAAATCAGTTATAGCTAATATTTCGCCCGGCATACGGGGCTTCGCTTGTCATATTGCCCATATTTGCTGTGGTGACCTTCCAACGTGATGATTCTAACCGCCGCGGTGTCCAAGCGCGCTGCCTTCACAGTTAGGAAGTAGACGTTGAAAGTACACACAATTTATGAGGAAAATTACAAAAGACTTATTTTAAGTTGTATACGAAATTTGATAATGATTAACATTTAATAACTGCATTTTGCTAACTTTAATTTCATGCTTCGCACATGTTTTTTGCTGCCAAATGGCGTTTTAAACCTGATTTGATTGTTATCTTGAGGCAGAAAAGTCTATTCCCACTGTATTAAAAATGTCGACCTTAAAGAAAAAAATAAAACACGTTTGCTTTAAGATTTTCCAAAACTCCTCTGACTACGGAGTTTCTTTGTTATTTATCTGACAGTCTTGTTTCACAGGCCTAGTCTGTTAAATAGACTTCAGTTCTTTCAAGTAAGTTCACCAGAACGAAAATGGGGCGCACTAGACCAGACTCTCTATTATTTTATATAGTGAGTCTGGTACCCAGGGTATGTAAACTAGAAAGATGGAAAAATTGCATTTTATCTCAACAGTTTTGACCAGGATTGAAGCCAGCTCGAAAATGTAGATTTATCAATTGTATAAAGAAAGCGCGTCGATATTCGCAAATTCAATTTGAAATAGATAGTGGCTGAAAATTTGACTTGAAATAGATAGAGCCTGAAAATTGGCTTTGAAGTATAAAGAGACTGAAAATTCGCTTTGAAATAGATAGAGCCTGAAAATTTGATAATTCCTTTCACTTTTGTACATTATAATTTTGGGTTAACTTGTAAGTTTGATTACTTTTGTATGAATGATTGCATTAATGTGGATTTATTTTTTCTTTGGTATATTATAATTAATATGAATATCTGTAGAATATAACGAGCCTGCCACAAGTATGGGGAAAGATGTGAGCCTGCTGCTTCACCGGAGCCACCTCCACTAACAACAAAAGTTAAAAACAAAAATAAGTAAATCGAATCATAAAGAAAATATGAATCATAAATTGATGAAAGATTTACACAAACGAAGAACTTCAACGCCAATAAGGAATTAAAAAATTAGGTATGCACAAGAGTGCGTGCTCACTGAATAAAACACATGGCCATTTACTCTGTGTTACCTTTCTCAATTTCTGAATTACAATAAAAGTTGTCCATTTTTGGCAATAAACAATGTAACGAAAAAATAAACTCTTTTGTTCCTTTTGCCCCCTCCCCTTCCTATTCAAACCTGCATCCGGCGGCCCTGTACAATCCACATATATGCAAGTTCATCAACTCCTTTTTGAAGAATTTAGACTCAAAGACTCTCACAGAACAATCTTCAGAAACATGGCATACGACTAGTTACTCATACACAACTATTTACAATTCTCTTAATGAAAAAATTTACAAGTCAACATTAACCAGCTGCCAATTGCTATCATCAGTTTAGTGGTCTTCAGAGTAAAGCCTTGATCCAAACCAAAGCTGTGTAGTGCTCCAATCGTGCTTAGTGCAGGTGAATTTCGGGTTAAATTGATCGTAAAATCCAAATATATCCTCGCTGTGAACTGCCTCGTCGTTGATTTTGGCCATGCCACACTTGTTCTGTGCCAGCCACGCATCCACGTGAAGAGACCAAATGTTCTTGCGTTGAGAGAACGAAACGACGCAGTCAGCACATGATACGTTTCTACAGAAGAGAAAATGAAGGTTAGGGCCAGAAAAGCACAACAGTTGGCACCATTTGTTGAAAATATAATACAATATTTGGAAACGTTAAAGAACAAAGTCAGCTGCTCTTCACACTTCACACACTTTTTCAGGAGAAAAAAAAGCAAATATTTGTTCCATCTCTTATCTTTCAATACAAAATATTTGTACATGTTTTCACACAAAATACTTATGTTCATCGTAATATAGATTAAAAACGTACCAATTTCTTTGGAAATTACACACAGTCGTTATCAATAAAGTACTATATCATCTTGATGAAATTTTCTTAAAAATAATTCTCTCACTTCTTGCACTAGCCTCTTTTATTACTGTAGACGACATTTTTATTTGGAATGTATGGGTATTAAAGATTTTAAAGAAATTTGATGCAAAGCCATCTTGTGACATCATGAAAAACTTTAACTCACCTCACACTGACAAATTCTACCGGAGCACATTTTTCATGCCCCACATTAAGAGTCAGGGGGTCGATGCTCGAGAAATTTGCTCTCAGATAATCATTCTGGTTTGCTATTGCAATGAAAGGGCCATCTTCTGAGCAGGTAAATCGAAAGTGGGATGAGACCTCTCTTAGGCTCTCTGTCCTGGCTTGGCCAAATCTGAAGGCACTCCAGTTGGGCGAGTCTTGGTTGACAGGTGCATTATCTCCAATACTTTTTCGCTTTAAAATCTAAAACAAACGGGATTGTAAGGAAAGCTGAGTAGAATTAGAAAAGGAAATTTAAGTTAAGCAAAGAAAGGTAGGTGCAGGCAGGGACAGGGGGTGGGGGCAGGTACAGGCAGGGATAAGCGGTTGACAGCTAGGGGGCAAGCAGGGAACAGGCAGGGGACAGCCAGGGGACAGCCAGGAGACAGGCAAGGGACAGAGAATTTGGGATAGGCAGTCTGCTGAATTCAAGTGTTTCTTTTGAAAGATAAAATTGCTCCTGTTTGAGGAGGAATTAGTTTACTAACTTGACTCGGTTCCGTTCGAACAATGTGTCTTGAAAAAGAAAATATGAGTGTCCAAGCGAAGCCAGGTTCACTGGTGAAGTCACAATAAGCCGTGTACTTTTTGTCGTTGGTATCGTGCAACGTGTAAAAGCCATTGTCATACATTCCTAGTTGGGCCGCATCAGCACAGCTGTGAGCTAATGGCGTTGTCTTCATCGTGGAGAACAGGCCGGCCAAACTTTCTGCGTTGCAGGAACTCTACAACAACGAAAAAATCTGGTAGAACAATAGAATTGAAAAACAACACATCAAACGAATTTATTTGAGGCCGAGTTCCTCTTATACAACAGTTCTGATTTATTTGACTCAAAGTTTGAATCAAAGAACTTGTTTGCCTTAAACATACATAAATAGACCTATCGCAAAACTGGCTCCAACAGATAATTTTATCGTGTACAGATGCACAAAAGTTTTTACTTACCATTTGTAAAACCAGTTGAAACAGTATCACAAAACTTGAAAATTTGATTATTTGCTCCATTTCTCTGAAATATTCTTCAAAAATTCTTCAACACAGTAACAAGAGTTCATTCAAAAATTCCTAACAAACCGAATAAATGAATCGGTGCATCGAAACAAATTTTGGCGAAATTCGAGCATTCGATTCTTTGAATCAAAATTAGAACGTCGAAATGTTACGGCAGCCTCGAAACGATTTTCTGCGTGTAAGAATTTCAAGTCGAATTTCATCAAGAGCTTTCTTTGTGGAATTTAGATAGAGTTTCAGTTAGATTTTCCAGTTCAGCTCATTTTTTAAAGTTTTGAAATTCGTCGACATAAAACATCTCCCTAACAACTACATAAAATGATTGTGAATTATAGAAACATACCTATAGTAACAGACAATTGATATAAATCGCGTTAATGTTCCTTGCGGAAAAATTTCTTTAAGGAAAGCTTTCTACATATCAGTTGTAAATACATAGATTTATCTATGTATTTAAGGAATATTTCGTTTAACATCTTTATAATGAATGCTGATAAACACCCAAAATGATTAATTGAACGTTTTTTGGTTTAGACTAAAAATTTGAAATAAGAGTATGTTTTTCAGCACTCCCCCCATCTAACTCTTCTCACTTGGTGTCCAATAATTTTTTTAGTCTTGACCTTTAGATAGTAAATTGCATAGGTTGAACAACACAGAGTTTTATTAAACGATCAATGTAAGTAAATTGTAACAGGAAATTTTTTTTTTCAAATAAAATAAACAGAGTTTTATTGTCCACTAAAAAAGCAAATATTATCCAGAGATACCAGAAGAGCTGTAGGGCAAAGGGGAAGGCAAAAGCAAAATGAAATAATTGCAAAATGTCGTGAAGGCAAATGGGCAACGGCAACAAAAAACTACCGACCCCTCAATACTTTTTGAAAGATAAAAACTTAGAATCCGATACGAAAACGAGGTCTTGTCAACATAGCGACCGGAGAAGAGAAGCGGCCTATCAAAGGCAGGAAAAAGAATGGCGCTTCCTTAGCTTGAAAGAAGGTAATTCGCCCTTTACATGAAAAGATGGCCGGAAGGAATGGTCATGATGCAGACAAGAAAACTGAAGGTGTTGCTGAGTGTAAGGAAAAGAACACAGAAAACTTAGAAGACGAAGAGAAAATCGGTATGTTTCGCTATTAAATGTTCTTTGGATTTTAATAGAAAGAAATTGAAATAGATGCCTGATATTTACCTGTTTGAATTTTGAAAAGAAGGCACAGTAATAGAGATGTATACGCTATTAATTTATATAGAAGCTTTCACTTTAGTTTTTCATTTGCATGTGACAATAAACTACAGCTCTTAAGTCATTCTTGTATCTTACCGAATTCCATGGTAGATTATCAAAAATACAAGGGCCATGCTTAGCGAAGGAGAAATATGGAAGAAGATGATTGTTATCAATCATGAAGAGCATATCAATTATGAAGAGCATATATTCCTAAAAAGTGTGGAAGAAGTCATGGCCCCTTTAATCTCCCTTTTCAAAAATCGTGAACTGAATCATAGGCCAAAAAGATTGTGATTAAAATAAACCAAAGTGGGCCTTGTTTTCAACAGAAATTCAAAATATTCTCAGTAAGAAATAGTATTAGAAAGCAAGGAATAAAATTAACGAAAACTGATAAGATGAAAATACTGACTAAAAATGATGAATTGTATGAGGTTATTGATTATAGAAATGTAATTATTACAAAGGCTGACATAGTATTAGGGGCTTATTATTACATGCAGATTGCTCTCTTCAAAATTATATATCAATGGATGAAACAGATTCTACAATAACCTGCAATGTTTATTTTCTTGTAGAAAAGAGAGTGCACTATGAACAGTTGATTCCAGAATGTGTTGTGTGCTTGCAGCTTTGCCACCACCCAGTCAAACTGCCATGCAATCACATTTTCTGCTTCCTTTGCGTCAAAGGGGTTGCAGCAAGAAGTCACAGATGTGCTCTCTGCAGGGCAGAGATACCAGATAGCTATTTTGAGAACCCTATCGTAGTAGAAGCAAAAGAAGCTGAGGTAGGTGCCTGTATTGCACCGAAAGAAACTAATGATAAGGCAGCTATATATAAATGGTTCTATGAAGGGAGAAATGGTTGGTGGCAGTATGAGGTGAGAGCATCAGATCAGCTTGAACAGGCTTTTCAAGAAGGCAAACAGTCAACAGAAATCATAATTGCTGGGTTTACTTATATTGTTGACATTGAGAACATGGTGCAGTATAGAAAGAATTACCCCACTCGAAGAAGGCGCATAAAACGAGACAAAGCCCAGGCTGATAAGAAAGGGATAGCAGGATTAAAATATGGCAAAGAAAATCAAAATGGTGTGCCGGAAAGTCAAGGAACTCTTGACCAAAAAGAACAGCCGAGCACTGATTCATCAAATTCGGAGGGAGATGTTACATCAGTGGCTGAGAAGCTAGAGAAAACATTGTAGAGATACACTAGTTTGGCTAAGCACTGTAAGATATGGTACTTAGTGGGTTACAGGTCCAATGGTTAAGTCTAAGCAGAGTTGCGAAGTAAAAAGCACCAAAAACAAAATATCAGAAGTGCTTTTGATGACATAGAAAAAAAGATTACTTTTTACAGCCAACTTTGTATTCAGGCAGAGCTTGAACTGGTAAATTATGATTCCTTATAAACATTGGTAACTATGTTAGAAGGAGACAACAAAGATATTTGCTATCATCTGTTAATTTCTATAATATAATATTGTACAGTGTAGACAGAAGATAATTTGACTTGTGTGAGTTGTGATTCTTTGATGTGTGTTTCTGGCAAATCTCTTGAATCAGTTTACATTACAGAAAATATCATAAGAGAAAATAAGTAGGGGTAACAGACCCCAATCTTCACAAAACAGTTTAAAATGTGATGAAAAATACAGCTTTAGCAAGAGGAGTCCATGCTTCTCTGTAATTTTCTGCTTAAGACATAACAAGTTGTGATCAATTTAGGTGGCTAGACTAAAGCATTGCAATATAGGCACTTTCCTATTTCTCTCCATCAACTAAAAATGGCACCTTTCAGTAGATTCAAGCATTAATAGTATTCAAGCATTATTATTCTTTACAACAGAAGAAATATTCTGGATGACTAAATCCAAAGGAGACTTAAATACAAAAAAAATGTATTCAAGAATTTTTAAGAAAACAAATAAAGGCAGCTATACAAAATTTAAAAAATTAAAAAACAAAATTAAAATGAGGGCATTTGTAGTATTTTTTGGATTGTGGTGACAATCACAAATATTTTGTTATGCTTCTACAGCCACTTAAACCATAATTTCCCTTCATATACATATGAGTCACATGACACATTCAATAGCGCTTTTTACACAATATAAGAGAGGGAAGACTATACTAAAATGTTTTAAAACAATCTAAAATTTGAAAATTGCAAACTAAAGTCTTTGATCCTTTTCATGCAAGGGCATCACAGTTATCATGTATTTGCCTATTTGATCTTTTGATGTAGAAAATAAATTATATTTTATAATACACACAAGAACAAGTGGTTTCATCCTCTGCCATTACCAAAGTTTCTACTTTCCTGGTAGTCAATACCAACACTGAAGATGTATTGTTGCCACATCATTACAGAAAAATGCAATTGATACTTGACTGGGAAGTGGTGTTTGTAGCGTTCATGACTGAAGAGTTCCATGCAAGGTAGCCATATAAAGAACTGATGCAAATCCCAAAGTTGACCACATTTTCATATATAAGTCTCTTCCCTTGGAAGTTGACAACGTAGCAACTAAAGCCCCAGTCCAGAAGATAAAATAAGGAAATGTCCTTCTTGTTTTAAGCTTGATTTCCTTTCCTTTTCCGGGAAAACATCCTGCTGTTTCTTCACTATAAAAATGTGAAAGAAGTCTGGAAGAAAAATGATAATTATTGTTAATGGAAGTGTAAATGTGGCATCAATTATGTGACGGTTGGGGGGCAACTGCTACCTCTGGCTGAAAATGGCTCAGAAAATTCACTTTGAAAATCAAATATGTTAGTGCAAGAACAGGATTTGAGGAAGTATGCCAAGAGAAAATGGAGCGAGTGAAGCAACCAGATCAGGCCTCTAACCCATGACCAGCAACATGTTATTGCCTGTATGCGGGGCTTTAGCATAAATCAGATATATTGGCATAGAAAAAAAGAAGAAAGACTGCTCAAAAAAGAATCAGACGTACTGGACCATCACTATTTCAATTGCACATTGAAACATCCCAGTAAGAAAAAAAATACATCACCTATAATGAACCTTGTTTCAGGCCTTTCTAGCTCTCAAAGCATTAACCTTGTAGGAGTCATACAATATTTGTATTCTGTTTAATGTGTGGCAAAAGTTGTTTTTCAGGTATTGATTTCCCTTGTCAATAATTAAATGAAACTTTTGCTACAGTCATTGTATAAAAAAATTGCTGTAGGCAAAAAAATTGTCTGGTTTCTTTCTGTTGATAGCCTTGCAAATCCAAGGCAATGGGGTCTCATTATGTGCAGGCCTGTCAACCTTAAATTTTTAAGACCTGGAGATTTTAGATTTTTCCTTAAGAAAAGCAGGGAGATAGGGACAAAAACAGGGAGATCACAGTAATTTGTTAAGGGAATAAATATACCTGATATAATGTTGTGTTCGGCAAACAGTTTATGACGAAAATGATCATGAGAAGTATCTTCATAGCAACTTTTAGTGCCTTTTTTGTTAATCAGTAAGCATAAACAAAAAATGTTTGCCATGTGGAATTCAATGTGACCATTATATCTTAATTATACCTCTGTAATAAGAAAACATACACAATGAACCTGTCTTTGAAGCATAAGATGCACAGTTATATCGAACATTCAGTGAAGAATCTTCCCAGAAGTTCTGCTAGACACCTTTGAAACCGGGAGAAAAATTTTAAGAACCAGGTGACCGGGAGAAAGCAGTCAGAACCGGGAGGGTGGACAGGTCTGTTGTGTGTTTCTTGCTGTCACACATAAATCTTTCTGATGTGTTGTCAAAGCTCAATGATATAAACGCTAATAAGACAGCTAATAAAAACGTCTAAACTTAAGGAACAATAATAATATGTAGAGACATTAAACTTGTTAATGCCTAATAGCACAAATACAATGAATGGCCCAAAAGAGTACAGCATAACCTCCTGTAAATCTATTTTATAACTATATAATGCAAAATACATTTATTACAAACCTTTCCTTTTTACTAAATTGCTTGAATAACCAATCTTTTATCTCTTCTTTTGTCTAAAATAATGAATAATGTATTGAACTTAAAGTTTTAGGTTAAATATAAAAATCAGGTTCTCTAAAGAGGATTCATGACTGCAGAAGGAATATTTTTCTGTCCCATTTCCATAAACAGTGGGACAAAATGAAGAGCAAGCAACTGATAAAGTGATGAGAATGGTAAACACTCAAATTTTCTAAAAACAAGAACAGGTCATAGCCTCCAAATACTGCCAGACTGCCAACATATAATGCACAAAGGGCTGTCTCTACAGCAAAAAGGATAATGATTGAAAACTTTTCACAATACTCTGATGTTTTATACTCTATAGACTACCAGACGAAAAGCTTAAGCTCATTTTAAATGTTTGCTGTTCTCAAAAGAATTTCTAAATTCTGTTGCCATAATCAGCCCATTCCGATACCATGAGTTTTAGTAAGGTAAGTGAACAGTGGCGTAGCCTGACTTTTTCAACTGGGTATTCTCTATTAAACAAAAGGGTGGGGCAGGGTGTGGCTCGATGGGGCTTGATGAAAATAGGGGGATATTAGGAAGATTAAGAAGTAAGGTGAGTGAACAGTGGCGTAGCGTGACTTTTTCAACTGGGTATTCTCTATTAAACAAAAGGGTGGGACAGGGTGCGGCTCGATGGGGCTTGATGAAAATAGGGGGATAATAGGAAGATTAAGAAGTAAGGTGAGTGAACTATGAGTAATGAACAATGTGAATTATGCAACTTTGGCCGTCCAAAATTATCAAATTCAGTTGTTTGCTAAAAAGTATCCAAGTTTTCTACCCCAGTTTTCCTAGAGGTAGATTTTCTAACTTCTCAAAATCCGTTGAAAAACCTTTGGTTGATCAGATCGATTTCAATTTTTTCATTCTTGCAAAAATGCCCTTGTTATGAAAAGTGATGCTTGAGAAAGTTGCTTTTCCAAAAACTTCAACGTTTCCCACGTTTTCCGGGAGTCTCAGGGGCGTGGTAAAAAACATCTTTTATCCAATACAGTTTTTACGGGCTCGCGACGCCACTGTTAATACTGCAGCTATATTTCATTATATTCAAGTTAATATCCTATTCTTAAAGGTTTCCACGATAACAGGTCGGATAGACATAGGACGTTTCAGAATTTTTTACGAGATATCTTCTCATAAAGTAGATTTTGAGGGATACGAATAAAAGCATCCATTAAAAGGGGTCATGGCCCTGAGGATACCACTGTTACATTCTTTGTTATTTTTTTCCACAAACTTGAAAGCTCATTTGAAACTTTATTCAAGTTTCCAGTATAACGTTTGCAAAAATAAAATTCTATGCCAAATATCAACGCATAGCTGATCCAAAAAACTGGGGGAAAAATCTCAAGATGAATAGCCTATGTGCAGTTTCCACAGTTTGGCTCCATGGCCTGATTCTTCACAATGAGATGAGTTAAAAATTCATTTGAACAAAAAATTCAGCTAAGTATGAGCGACAAAAACCACAAAGTAGTTTTGAAACTAAAGAGAGAATGTTAAGATCTGTTTATAACTAATTTGATCGATGCCGAAAAGTCCAACTGAGCTTGAGGCAACTATGTTTCAATGTAGAATACATTTGTATCGTGGCAGCTTTCGTAATTCGTTTTGTTGACCGAGAAAGGCTATTTGAATTTCAATTTATCAATTCTAATTAATTGCCTTAAATCAATTGGATGAAACTGTGATTGATGATATTCTGGCATGGCATGAGGCATTTAAGGTCGCCAATCTGATAACGTTTCATTATAAAATCAATTGTGACCAGGTCACGAGATATTGACGATTAATAAAAATATGTGAATGATGCCATAGGCCTGTTTGACCTGCACTAGAATGATGCGGTGATGTAACTTCTTTAAAGTAATACTGAAACATGTCCACATTTCAATTATAAATTTATTTACGTTATAACTGTTAAATGCCCGAAAAACCACCAATGACAATCGTTTCAAATGCAAAAGAACATTGAAAAGCAACTCAAAACCATGCTGTTCTACTCACAGCGACTCTCAGGGAGCCCAAATTAGGGGGTGTGGAAGGGGGTGTGGAAGGGGTTGTGATACTCCCCAATATTTCCAACCAGTCGGCCCCATACTAAACTATTATTGCGAAAAGTCGGTCCTTTCTACGGCTCTGGGACCGGGTAAGAGCATTTTTATAGGAAGACAAAATGTCTGTCCATTGACTAAACAGAACAAATAATAATTGCAAAAAGTCGGTCCTAATTACGGCCCTGGGACAGAAGAAGAGCATTATAGGCAAAATGGAACGTTGGTCCATTGATAAACTCGAATAAATTGTCAAAGATATAAGAGAAAAAACGGAAATAGTCGGTCCTAACTAACATGTGGAGCTCTCCTGTTTTTGATCCTACAAATCTATGCAAAATATAAAGATATGGTGCCGAACGACTCTCCAAAGTCTTGAACAAATTAGAGACCAAAAGGCGAATTTTGATGCCCCTGTGACGTTTACTCAAGAGAAGCACATGCACAATCTCTCATAAGGCAAGAAAATGTTATTTTTGACATATCTTGGAATTCAGTATACAGTGTGCATGAATAAATGGTATTAGAAATGATTAAAACAATGTGTCATTGATACAAAACGAAATAATATTTTATGAAACTATAAGGAAATATGATGAAAAGCCAAAGAAGACGTAACGGTTGATAGAATTAGGCCCACCACACGCTTTTGTCAAGCTCAATGTATGCTCCTTGAAAAAGACATCAAGAATAACAAAATGTGCAGCCAAAGGTAGTACTATATTCATTTACCTATTTGATCTTCTATAAAGATCATCGTAAGAGTGGGCTTCCATCAGTTTTAGCTTTGCATGAACTTTATCAAACCAGGGCCAACAATTTTAATAAAATAGACACTAATGACGGCTGAAGCCATGCACACGGCGAATATCTTCTTTAATTTGACCTGATTCACCTTGTTGCTCTACACGCCAAAGGTGTATAGTCCAGTCTACTCGTAATCGAGCAACTTCACCAGATCATTTTGAAGTGACCTACATAATTCGTTGTTATTTAATCCATTTAATTCTTACTAAATTTATCAACAAATATAATAGACAGGAAGTTTATTTGGAAAGCGTGTTTTCATAGGAAACAGGTGTCGTTGCATGCTGACAAGGGTTTCCTGGCTAGTGGCGAGGACCTTGACATGTGTTATGAGGCTTTAAAGAATGACATGGAATTAAAACACTACCAACACCAAATCTAACATCGTTTCAAAAAGCCAAAAATAGTAAAGAACCTTTGTTAGAAAACCAAAAATAACATTTTCCTTTGCACTTCTCAGAAAATATGAATTTACTGGGAGGATTTCATGGCTGGAAATAGTTTTCATTGGAATCCATTGGAATGCACCGCAATAGAAGTAACCTAACCTTAAACTAACTATTCAGCTCGAAAGTGTAGGCAAAGAGGATCACATATTATCTAAAATACATCTATTTCAGTTGTTTTACAACCCCCGTGCATCGACTTTCTACAAATGTCACATATTCACAGGTTTTGGTTTCAAAAACGTAACCAACTATCGGATTTTTAGAAAGACAATGAACTGAATTCACAATCTCAACAGTCTCATAGTCTGCCTAAACAAGGCACTCCCCTATGGAAATTTTCTGCTGGATGAAAGATTACATAAACCAGTTTCACAGAAATGTTAAACAAAGTAGTAATCTTCAATCTGGATTTCATATGTAACTTTATGCAATTGCAAGTTTCAAGATTACTTTGCTGTTGTCATAGCCCAAGATAGAATATGCTTCATTCTTATAATGTGGAATTTAACGTAGATATAAATAACGTGAAGGCAGGTATTTTGTTTCTGTAAGGTACAATCGTAGATTTTGTTAAAAGGCGCCTTACGAAACAAATTTTAGAAAGAATGGCGTTATGTCACAATTGCCTACCCTGGGTTTGTTTCTTGCAAAACATGATATGTCACAATTGCCTACTCTAAAAAGTGGATAACCTTGTAGTTGAACGAAAAGCGAGAACACTTTAAATATAGTTCCTTTTATCTTGTTTCTGCTTTGAATACACCACAAAAGATTGTATTTCCTGACTAAAAATTCCACTTTTACTGTTGACATAATACTTCATTTACGTGGCAATTTTTCTGTTCATTCCCAAATATTTCTGGAAACCCGATTTCAATTTTTGCTATTTTGAGAGAGGGGGAGAGATGGGGCACACAGCTAATTCAACTTCGTACTGACACCCGGTCGATTGAATGCAAAAAATATAAAAAGTTCAAGGGCTAAAGATTATAACGAAATTAAAGCTTATCTCTTCATAAAGTTAGCAGAATCTTAACACTTGCCTTACATTTTCCTTACTCAGTACTTTAGATCGCTATTGATAGTTTTGAAGCATAGCTTGCAATCTAATGCTGCTGGGGTCTATTTTTTGAATTAATATTTTTGTGATACAAAATTGAAAAAGTTGTTAAAAAAAGCAAACATTTTGAATCATACTGAAACTTCTCGTCTGATACTCTTCGGAGTATAAAACGTCGGATTATAGATCGAAAGCAATCTTTCAAGTTGTTTTATGTTACACAGATCGCTTGAAAGTGTTGTATGTTATTGTGTAAAGAGGATAACAGTCAGAACCAGATGACGTCATGGCGTTTTCTACATTACAGGGTACTGGCAGTTTTTTCCTTATATACCAGTTATTTATAAAGATGGTGATTACACATGTAATGTTATAGCCTTGAAAATAATGACTATATTATAGTGATCATCTAATTGCTTTTTGATAGAACAAAGTGTGATATAAACAATTCAAGAAAGTTAAGGTTGCAAATATACCTTTGGTATATGGTTTGCACTAATTCTTTCCAAATGAATATGTATCTCAATTCCTTTAACCGCTAAAAATTCTAGGAAAAAATGAATATATCAGCTTACTGTAATCCGCGGAATGGCAAAGGACGACAAGATCTGAATGCTAAAATACCGATTGTTATGTAAAAGATAAGTAGAGGTATGCAAATGAAATTTCATTAGCAGCTTAATGTCGATGAAATAAGGATATGGGATTAATGGCTAAAGATTGAAAAACGTAATTCACTAAATAAAAGAGATCAAAAATGTCAAATCTAAGATTCTTGTTGCTTCAGTGTTGGAAAAGTTCCTGGAACACCCAAAGTTTTGAGTTCTTTTAAACGGGTAGATATTTTCATTTCTTTCCCCGTTCACTACAACTTTTGCTCGTTTTTCTCCCGGAAAAGCGGAAGTGAGGGCATATGTAAATGTCAAACATGGCGCATGAAAGTATGTTACATTAAAATTACTTGCTTTGTAGGAAATAAAAATTATTTGAGGGGAAGGCATGATTGATTATTATATAAAAAATCAAGGAGAGATATTCGATAGCCAATTTTGGACAGGATTCTGACGTTATATATATATTTGTGTAAAGAGAGGAGGAGTGATTTGGTGAGAAGGATATACAATGCCCGCCAAAAGTGTTGGAACAGTTCAATCATCTTTCCTACTAAACGTCTCCCCTCCCCCCATATACAATGTTGGATTGCGACTGGAAAATGAAAACAAATGTATGCTAGCGCGCAAATTTTGTAACCCATGTTTAGCGACATGATCATCCTTCTTCACAACATTTTATAGGGGGGGGGGGGAGGGGGCTCCGTCTGCTTGCAAGAGGGAAATGAACTGAAAAATATACATTTATTACGAGTACAATCTCGGTGTTCCAACTACTTTTGGCGGGTATTGTATGTTCATCTTTCAAAATTGAATTTGCAGGTTAAGCACTTGCAGGACAAAAGTATGAACATCTCACCGACATCCCTGTCGCTGTTCACGGGTCAACTTTGAGGGGAGCAGGTGAGAGCGAATTGCTACAGACAGGTCCTCTTGGTCTAGGGGGCCTCATAATGTAACGGAATCCAATATAAGAATTGAAGTAATAAAACATAACAAAAAGTTGCCCAGAAGATAGTAAAATGTTTGAAATGAATGCAAAAAATGTATTTTAAGCTAATCTAAAGGGCGTGGTCGCACAATTGTTTTGTTCGCTTCACATGCAGGGGACCGCATCTGCACTTTTACCCCAGGGCCTCTAAAACCTCTCCGTGTCCGTGATTGTTCATATCCAGCTTAGTAGGGAAGCAATAAAAAATTCAAACACCATTCTATATGAAATAGAATTGGTAAAAAATATCCAATCAAGGAACTTATTTAGAAAAGGTCACTGGACAGCATGCCTTGAACTTGATATTGACTGATGACAAAGAATCACCTGTAAGGCTTTTTCCTTTGGCTTTTGGAAGAACCGGTTTCTTCGGATCCAAGTAGGCGATTGTGACGTCATACACAGCATCTAGATGTGGTCCGAGCTCCTCTAAGCTGAGCTGTAAGAAAATCAAAAAGGCTGATAAAAACGCTTAGAATATCTTACTTTTATATCTTAAGGACTTCTGATAATTTTCTCTTTGTCTATTTTTCTTTAAGCAGTTCAAAAAACACCCTGGCGTTTCTCTGATTGATTCTAACCAGTTTATTCACATTTTCCTGACGCTACAAAGTCTTCAGAAATTTTTGAAGGTCAATAGGGACTTTATACCTCGGATTTTTCCTCCCTATCAAGTCTTATCCCGGTTAAGTTAGGCGTTGTCTAAGCCATTCTATTTCCATACTCCCCCTTAAAGTCCAACTTAACCGGATGCAATTGTGTGATACATGTAATGAATAAAAATGAACAAAATACCTCTGTAGCCCTTGTTCGTGGAGTTAGTAAATGTTCAAGCACTGGCAAGCCTTCAAAATAAAATAGATTTCTAATAGAAAAATAAATCAAGACAGTTTTACTGCCTTACATGTGGAAACAAATGGAAAATTCAAAAGTTGCTTCTTTATGATATCTAGGATTGTCGTTTGTCCGACTTAATTTGGGGAAAAACAACATCGAGGAAAGAATCCTTGGTGAGTAGCCCAAGGAGGACAGTCCTTTTTCTGTCCATTACTGGTCATAATTTCAATTTGCAAAGTTTGAAAGTAGATAACGTTGGTAATATTATTACGAAAGGTCGAAATAAAGAGTAAAGCCCAGCGAAGACTAACAATTCTTTTAACCAGTGATTACAACTTTTTGCTTCTTTGCGAAAAAATAGCAGGTCTTTGAGGACTTAGAGCATGAGGTGTTTGTTGCATGCGACACGAAACGAATATCTAGAATGTTAGATGTTCTTTGACAAATGCAAAAAAATCACATTTAAAGTCCCCACAGAACTGCAATCACAATGGCTGACAGAAGAAAGATTATTCCTGACTTTGAAATTTCTTTAACACAAAAAAGTTGAAGGATAAGTGGTAGAGGGCTATCTTGTCTGATATGAGTAGAATAAAAGATCAATAGCCATTACTGATTCTTATGTCTGCTTGTTGTTGTTCATTCTCGTCGCGTTGCAGTGTTACTCATTTACTACATTTTATCAATTTTTCGCCGCAAGAATTCCATCGGATTCCGTCGAGGAGCCTGCTATCTTGGCCTATGATTTTGAAAGCCTTTTCATTCATTTGTCCAAAGCATTCCTGGCAAGGTTCTCTATACAGCATTTTGGCAAAATCTCTTTGAAACTTTCAGATTTGAAAAGAAATGACTTGAAGAGAACTTTTTCCAATGCAATACCTCTATAGCCAGGGGGAAATTATTGGGGTGTGGGGCGAGCATTTGTTAAACTGCTGATTAACATACAATTTACAGCGCCTTTGTCTGTAAATTTGGTCATTTATCAACAAATTTGCTTATCTTTGTGGTTTGTTCCCCTCCCCCCCCCCCACCTGAAAAATGAATTTCCGCCTTGTAAAAAGGAAATACCCCAAAAAAAAGCAACACACCATTTTGCTCTGCAAAATCTTGACTTGCTTTGATGACATGCTGCTTACTCAGATCATACCTGGTTCCTTCAGGAAAGATAACCAGCCAAAACTAAAAACAGAAATGTCTGTTCTAATAAAAAATTCCCTTCTGCCAGTAAAACATTTTCCAATTGCATTTTACAGCAGAGTCAGGGAAAACAACATAAAATGTGAAACTTTTAGTGTGACAAACTTTAGAATTTTTTCTAAAAATATCCTTATTATAAAAGCTTATCGTTTATTGTAATTTCCAAAAAGATTATTGCAACTAGCACAAACTGTCAGATTGAATCATATTATACGAAATTGTACTGTGTAGATTTTCTCATTTTATCAAGTGTTAGTACTTTTCACTGTCTCTGCTTTATGTAGTTATCTTAGGATTATCTTGGATTCTATTTTTGCATTGTACTGTATTATATTGTACGGTATTGTATTGTATTGTATTGTATTGTATCATATTGCATTGTATTGTACAGTATTGTATTGTACTGTACTGTATTTACTATATTATCTTATATTGTTATTCATATTATAATGCATTCTTATCTGTGCTATTATGTATATTCAAGCATGCAGTGCAATTTTTTGAAATATTATATACTTTTAATACATAGTCCCCGCATGGCAAAATTTAAGAAGTAATTTCATATATAATTTCTTAATGGAAAAACTGAAGTAATATTTTCTACCCTAAATTTAATTTTCTTGCTGTATAAAATCAAACGAAGAAATCATTGAATTCATATTCTTTAAATCAAGCAATTTACTCACAGGTGTTTTGTTCATTGCCATCGCCTGTAATTTTCTATGTAAAAATAAGGGCAAATATATAAAAAATAGGTAAAGTGAGTAAAGTTATAAAAAGGCTCAACCATTAACATGGCAGCATAGAAAGCCTTTCTTAACTCCAAAATCCTGCAATCATCATATTGTTTATCTGTCTTTCTGACCAACAGAAGCCCCCAGTTTTCAAGATCTAAGTGTATCTCAAATACTTATTAAAGTTAATCAAGTTGCCATCAAAATTAAACTTCTAACATAACTATTATAGTTCATCATTACAAGAGGTAGTTTACTAACCTTCTTATTTTGAGATCATTCTTTTCTCCACCTCTTTTTACATAAATACATCCATGCTAAATAAAAGAGGAAAAAGCAATATTTCATCATAAAATATTGCTATTACCTATTAGGGAAAACCTGCAGTTGTTTTTTTTTCTCTAAAAAACTCAGATAGTCAAACATTAGAAATTGATAAAAGGAAAAAAAGATCAAAGCAAGTTATTTTCAAGTATGACTTAAATTTAATATTATGGGAAGTAAAACCTCCTTTAGGGGGAGTATCCTTTCTTAAAATGTAGATTCAAATTATCCAATTACATGATCAAAACATCAATTGAGCAGCAAAAAGCATTACCTTGCAACAAATTATATAAAATTGTTTATAATATTTTTATATATACATAATATACATATATACTTGCTATTTGGTCATTTTAAGAAGCAGTAACCCTTTTGCAATTTATTGGTTGTGTGGCATGCAAGGTACAAAGGTTGATAGAGGTAAGCAGCTGTTCAAAAGTGAGAGCGCCTTTATGAGTGGCAAATAGGGATCTCACGTCATTTACTGAAAAGTGATGGAACAAGTGCCCCTGGTTTTGACACCTAGATGCAAAATGAAATTATGTGTACATACCTTAGAAACTTGACATTGAAATTGGGAAAGGCTTACCTGTGCAAAGTAGCATCCATACAGAGGTAGATATTTCAAACCATTTTTCAAAACATATCTAATTCTTCCAAGAGACTCTTGCCTAATAGCAATAAGGTCTGTCACTACCCAGTCAACTACAACATAATAAGAGAAAATAAGCATTTAATCAGATTTCAAGCAGAAATAAGGTCTACAGATAGTAGAAAGGAAAATAGAGCAATAAAATAGGGTCTAAGGACAGGAGGAAAGAACACCTTATAAAGGATAAGACAATTTTTCTGAATATACTAACTACCTACCTACCTATCTACCTACCTAGCATTAATGCTACCTAGCTTCGGAAGGTAGTTTTAGGATACTGAAAAGCTATGCTTATCGAGCAGTGTCCTGGTATTTTCTTACTTTGTGATTCCTACACATGGAATTACAGAGAGGTGGTAACTCTCCTAACTCTTAGAAAAAGTTTGGTCATGTCAGGGACTCAAAACACAGACCCTTAGTTCTCTAGTCAGTGACCCTAAACATTGAGCCATCATGTTTACAAAAAATTGTTTTATAAAACACAACTCATTGAAACTATCATAAAAAACAACTCTTTAATTATAGAAGAAAATATACAAATCTTTGTGTATAACAGATTTCTTAACAAATCCATGATTTACCCAGCTCTATCTGGTTGATGGACATACATCTAATTTACTGAATGAGCTCTAATCTAGGGTGGAATTCATGTAAAGCTCATGCCGGACATACATCAATAAACAATAGACAGACAATGGGAAATTGTTAGTCTAAACTGGATATCTCCAGCGTGAGCTACATGGATTCCACACTGAGCTCTAATACCATTAGAAATAATTTCTTTGATTTGTTATGGGAAATAATAGTTACCTGCAGACTGGTGGTTGCTGATATAAACAACATTTTCTTTCTTATCTAGTGGAAGTTCATCTCCATAAAATATAAGCTAAAACAGAGATTTTAAATTTTTGAACAAAATTGGAAGATGATATATATAATTCTCAAGATTTTGAGGGGTTTTCTTATAAACACCAAAGCTTTGCTGAGAATCTATACATCATTCGTGGTTTTATGATAAAATAGTTTATTTTTTGCCGCTCCTTGAAGATGCGCTCTCCAAAGCCAAATTTACACTACAGATCATCTATATAGGTTTAATGTTGGCTTCAGAGGAGCAATGCAATGGAGAGAGGGTTGAGCTTGGGTTGAGCTTGGGCTGGCATTTAAAGAGGGGCGTATATATAAAACTTTTGGGTTTTACACGGAGTGATCCAGGGCCAACAAACTAGCATAAAATACAAAAGGGCTAAAAATTAAAAAATGTAAAAAGAGTTTGTTTAGCCTGAAAGTTGGTCAAGTAACCGGATCTTGATGTTTCATTGCATTAGAGCAGACTTTATTCGTATAAGCAATATAAAATTTGAAAGGATACTTACCCTTGTACCTGTGAATGTTTCAAAAAAATACGTTACTAGAGACTGGTATGAATCGTAAGCCATTTCGTCTATCCTCTCATAAACTCGTCGTGGAAGGATGCTTGAAATCAAGCGCCATGTAAACCAGCCGGCGAAATAATGTGGCGAAACACCGACCATTATAAAAGCTGGTATTCCGAATCGCAAGGATTGGGCGTGGAGAATAATTGAAAGCATCATACTGTTTATTGTATGAGTCCAAAAATCTACTCCAGTATAATAAAAATCACCATGTGCCTCACGTTAGGCCCAAATAAATAACGTATTGAAAACGAGTCATCCGAAATCAATTACCGAGGTAAATCCAAAAGGGTTAATCAAATATCATTGACACACCCCTTTCTGGCTGTTGGGAGTTTTCTCGCAACAAACGAGTTCAGATCGGATTATGGTCATAGCTGCGTCCCTCAGGGAAGCCTGCTGACTCTAAAAGTTTTTTCTATAGGCAGCCTAAAGATATTTTTATAAACTGCACACTCTACGCACAGATGTGGAAACAATTACGGCACCGCGGAGCGTTGAGAGAAGTAAGGGGTCTTAAAAAAGCGGAGATGCTAAAGCCGAAAAAGAGGTTTGACTGGTGATGCGTTGGTTAACTTTTTTCATTTCTGGCAAAAAGGAGGGTGGTTGAGCTCCCCCCCAGCCCTCTTGCCTTGCGGTGCCTGGGATCGAGAGCTCTTCTTTGCTAAATTGCACGATAAATTGATAATTTGACTGTACTGATTGGTAAAAGCTAGTAATGTTGAACTGGCTTTCAATTTACGATCAAAGAAGTAGAAGAACGACGAGATTAAACAACTGGCAATTTATCAAAATCTAAATATTTAATAAACTTCATAGTACTACATAATATAAAGAGCACTGCCTTAAAATTCTTAGCACAGTATTTCATGAGCTGTCATTGTTTTTGGAAACATGTGATTTCCCTGCTTTCCTTTGCAATTCTCTTCTTTCAACAGAATAGGCTCCAGCGAAGATACTTGCATTAGTACCACAGAGTGAGCTTATGGCGAACAAAACCTTATGCCTATATTTTGGAATATGGATTCAAGCGTGCCATCTTGAGACATAATATTGTCTTTCCTTGACATAAAATCAAGTTAGCTTCTGTAATTTGTGTCCAAGTGCGTCTGCATGTTTCCCTGCAGGACCATTTTTGACATCTCTTCTGTAAATTCCACGAAGGTATTCATCTTTTTGAGGCTCTGAAAGAACGTTTTATACTTTGGATATTGATGTCGCCTTTAACATGTTTCATAGCGTCTTCAAGACAGGTCAAATTTGTTTATGTTAAGATTGTTTTGTGAGTATTAATTGCAAGGTATGCGCATAATATTATGAATCGTTAGATGCCAAGATACATATGAATTTGAATCCAGAAGATGGCCTCGATGCATCTCATTTAAATCCTTCCAAACGAAAGTTGCAGCACAAGTACGAAGATGCCTCCAGGGACAAAGAAGGCATCAGTTCGAGTGGTACCGTGACCAAACGCTCTCACGCTTTTAAGAAAACTTGAAGAAAATGATTTTTAAAATTAAGTGCGGCATTATTAGTTTTCCATTTATAAAATGAAAGTTAGTAGGAACCCCTTATGTAAAAGATTTGAGTGGTCAAGCTACTCATCGTTCGGTAAAATTCTGTGCTCCTTCCAATATTCATATGAGACATACATCCTTTAATGTAACTATATTCTAAGGCTCTTACATGACCATTTTCGCAGCTCTCTTCTTCGTCTTATGCCCTCGTACTTCCAAGATAGTGTCTCTTCACTCCAAGAAGAAGATCCTTGAAAGAATTTTCAGAAAAAGTGTTACCAGATTTTGAATATTTTGCTTCCCGGCTATATAAGTTTTGATGGCAAAATGCTAAAGAAAAAAAGTTGATGAGCCAGATCGTTAAGAAAGTTACCTTGATTTTGGTCTGCAGCATGAAAATATTCCACTGAAAGACCTGCTTGATGTATAATGCGCTGCATTGAATCTAGAAACAAGCAAAGAGCATTGAGACATGGAAGATGTGAAATATTTCTGTGGCTTATAATGAATTATTTCAGCATCACCAATCTATATGGCAAACTTAAAGATGATTGATGGCAGTAGCAATGTTCTGTTTTCATACTGCTGCTAATAGTAGATCGCAGTGCCAATCTTTGTTCAAGAAATCAATGTTTGTTAAAAATTTGCTTTGTTGTTTCTGCTTTTTACAAGATAAGTTCCACTTAATGCCGTTATTTTTCTATGCAATAAAAGCAGCAATAATTGAAATAGAAAAACATTTTCTCCCTTGTTCTTTACAATTGACTGGTCTGAGTTATTGCTAAATCATTAACACTTCCTTCAAGAATGATGTTGGTGCCAAAGACTTTGAATATTTAAGGATCACATACCATCAATGCCATTATCTTCAAGTTCTTCTGAATATACATAACTGTCCTCTATGACCGGAGTTGGTGTCCTATCCTGAACGCTTTCACAAAACACCTCTTCTGCTGCATTCGTACCCTCAGACTCTAATTCTTCTTCTTGAAGAGGAGGAGGCACAATAACAACGCCCACTTTGCAGCTATTTCTTCTAGCAATCCATCTTGCCATTTTTCTCATTTTTCTAGAAAGCCATGTGTTTGACTTAGATCTGCGCTCTCCCTAAACAAACCATTGAAAATTTTATGAGTTTACTTGACTACATCAAGGTCAAAATGATAAAACACTTTCCTAACAAAATAACTTCAGAATTTTATGTATAAGTTATATAAAGATAAGAACTATGTTTTGAAAGTTTTACGTTAGTAAAAGTTTGAAATAAAATTCACTTTAGGACATTTTTCTCATATTCTTTGGTCCTTAGACATTTAGCATTTCAAAGGAAAGGTTTATCGTCTTTGCCTGAAGACTTACAATTGACATGATTGATATATCCAAAATACAACCGTAGATAGGAAACAATATCGTATCCACAGATATATATGTATGCTATGCTTCTGCTATTTCATGCCATCTAGAAATATATGTAGTAACGTTAGCTGCTGAATTCCTCCGAAGCCTATGTACAAATGCCTTAGAGGGGGCTTAAATGCTTTCAAGGGGCTAACATACTAACAATTCAAAGATGGATGATTCATCCACATTTTGGTGTTTTAGTACCAAATGTTTCTTGGTTGGTTTCTATTTCCGGCACTTCAAACTGCCTTATTGTTTGGAAAGGAACATTCTATGAAGGAGATAATCACAGATCGTCTTGAAAAACTTATGTAGAGCAAAATATGATGTCTTTTCCAGAGAACAATCAACAAAGTGAAAAACTTTTGACTCTTTTTTCAAAAATGGAATTTTTACAGCTCCATATTTCTTTTAGCCTAGTACTAAAGTTTCTTTGGCCATCCTAGTACTAGTTTCTTATAAATCAGTCTCTAACGAAAAACCTGCAAACAGTGTAATCGAAATGAACCTTACTTACCTCAACAACTTCTTCTGGACAATCAGCGACTCGGTTGTGCTTTGATAAGGATATTCCCATCTTTGCTAACAAATTTCTTAACTTTAAGAATATCTGATAGTCGAAAATCAGCAAAAACCGTGTAAAACTAGATTTCTAGTAACAAATAAAAACTGTGAATCGCGTCGTGACAATATTGTCGAAATATTTTCCACTTGTGTGAAGCTCCAGCAAAAATCTGTAGATTCTAAACAGAGAAGTTCAGATGCCAGTTACTTATATCTTTCAAATTTGACGTCATAATGGAAATTCTCCACAGTAAAAACTTCTCTGTGATTGGCTGATTGCTCTTTGCTCCAAAGGACTATGGTTGTACTGAATCGCCAATATGACGTAATAATCACAACGCATACACACTGTTTCATCCCAAAACGCTGCCTTTTTTCCAGATTGTCTGAATCCTTTCAAATAAGACTCAGAAAACAGACAGGAAAATTCGAAAGGCACGAATTTACTATATCGGCGAAACATTCTCGAAACAAGACCGTAGACATTCTCTCCATGCATCGTTGATCAGGTAAACGTAAAACGGTTAGGCCTAAGATTTTACAAAAATGACAATATGAGAAATGACTACCAAGGAAATAACTTCTAGGAGAGAAAACTTGATGTAAGATTCTCTTTTCTTTGTGTAAAGATATTTTCTAATTTAGGTTTAAGATATCTTCATGTACAAATGAGTCATTGAATCTGAATTTTTCTTTCACTAGCTGTGTGTAGGATGAATACATAGAAGTGAACTGTTTACCGGTCAAGTGTTCGATGCCGCATTGGCAGAGCTGTTGCACCCTCTGTTGCCTGATAATCTTATTAAGCGCGAAACTCGGAGTAGCAACTTAGAACTGTCCTTTTATTTGCACTAAATAGCGTAACATAAAAGTGATTTTTATTATCAAGGTGTTTTTGGATTTTCTTTCCTCATTAAGAAATTTTGCAAACGTTACAAAAACACTGTTTGAAAAGACGTTCGTAAACACTACATTGTTCTAGGAATAAAGAGCAACATATCAAAGTGATGGAGATTAGAACAACATTTTAGGCGTAATTTCTTAAGCCTCTGAGCAAAAGTTTGAAATTAAACAAGGGGAACTAAATGCCTGTGAAAGCCATCACTTTAACATCATTGTAAGAACGAATCTAACATATCAGAATGCAACAATTTTTGCAATAGCAGCAAAGTGTGGAGGCATGTCAGAATTCATGCTTAAAGTTTATGTTTTTCGTGCTTACAGCTTCTACATTAACAAACTAAAAAGTAGAAGCAAAAATTGAGGTCCCTTGAATTTCCTTTTGGTATGTGGAAATATTCCAACAGCGTTTTGAAGCTTCAAATAAGGCTTATGTTTACGTTTATTGTATAAAATTGATGTTTATCGACGAATGTACTTATTCAGTAAGGCTCTCGATTCAAAATCTATTTTAATAAATTTCTTTAACAAAAAATTTAACTAAAACTGAAGTGTGTCGCCAGGTTGTGGCACACGTTGATCGTCCATCTATTCTTTGCCTAAATTAAGTTATCTTTATCAATGACACTTTTTTATCTTTGCTTTGAAAAAAAGTGGAGAAAGGCTAAGGTAGGGATAAGATAAGGGCCTATTGGACTGCAGAGGTGACGAAGATAATCTTCTTCGACCAGTTTACTTCTCTGTAAGTTGACATCAGGCAAGCTCTTTAAATTGACATTCATGAACATGAGCACAGGGGCACGACGAGGAGAATGTCGTACGCATGTGGTTGATGTTGATTCTTTTCAAAAGCGAGGCGATTAGAGAAGATTCTTCAAGTTTAGAGACATCGTGGCTTTTGCATTGAATTTACCAAGATGGGAGCATATAGATCTGTACCGCTAGTTGAGAAGGCATCAAATGACGGTGAAGGGAATGGGGTCGCATACGGTGTGTCTGAAATGCAAGGGTGGCGGGTGACTATGGAGGTGAGTCTTGTAAATAGGCCTGTCACTTTCGCTTCTAACAAAAACGTGTGCTCTAATTAGGATTTACCATAAAGCGCGCGAAACATTGGCTTGCAATCTAATACTGCGCAGACCTTTGCGAATAATATTTGAAACTGATTTTAGAATCAGAATATAGCCATAGGATCAAAAAACAAATTATTAACACCGGAATATGACTTTTTTTCGGGCAGCAATGTGTATGCGATGAAAACCCACCAGGTACGGAGGTGGTCCCTAGGGGGTCCCCGTCTTCTTGTGACCGAAGCGACTATAGTATTCGTTTTAGTGAGCCTATGAAAGAGAAGCAAGAAACTGTTACTGAAGAGAGTTTCTTTCAATGCAAATCCAGTATACAGAGTCTGTCGATTGCCATCCAAGATGTTGGCACGTTAGCTCCGAGGGCGCAACTAAAAACTACATTAAATTTAAATTTGTAAATACAAATAGTGCTTGGAAACTTTAATGGCACACCTAGCCTTTTCATGTGATTTTTGCTCTCTGTTACATGAGGTGCCAGGCTGTTGGCAGTGCACAAGATCTTGCCAAATAAGCTATAGGCTACTCTATTTATAGCCAGTTTCATAAATTTAATCACAATGTCCCCTCCCACACCCAAAAATTACCCTTTCAATGAGTAGATATTTGCATTTTCTGGTTTTAATTAAAAACCCATTCTATTATTTTCACATTAAACTGGTTTCAAAAAATGTCCTTTGTGTGACCCATCTGTCAAGATTGTTCACTTTCATTTTTGAAAAAAAGAGAACTAGTTGTTTTTCAAAATAACTGCAGAGTTTTCATTTTCACATCAACCCAAAATGCTTTTCATTTTTTTAGAAATGCTTATGAAGGTCCCAAAGTGTAATATATATTCATAGAAATGAAAATACCTAAAGACTTAAAGAGGCCAGTATCTTCTCTTTTGCTTCTTTGAAAAAGCAAAAATTGTTCTTTTTCACTTATTGATGAGAAACTATGATATGGGATTTGAAATACCTTTCAAGTTAACCTGTTTTTTCTTATCAAAGACCTGCCTTTCTTAACCTGCCTTTTTTGTCATCAATCCATTTAGTTTCACAGTAATGTCTTGCAGCAGCCTCGGAAACGGATCGGAAAAAAGTTAAAATCATTTCAACTTGTTTTTGTACCGTTCCCGTACAGGAGTTTTCTCTTGATCAAAATCAAATTAGAACTTTTTAAACAATAGAGCACTTGCATCATGAATTCCAATCTGAAACGATCTGTGGATCGAAGGGAACTGATCAGAACAACACGATCTGATCCAAACCGCAGATCGGTTTCCAGAGTGGGTTTTCGGCTTTATTGATACCACAGTCAACACACCCTCCTTATCAGGCCTTACATTTCGGATTGAATCATTCTGTTCTGATATGAATCAGAATAAACCAATCTGCCTGTTACTAATATATCTGTTTCTTTTCCAGGATGCCTGGACATGTTTGCCATATTTAGATGAATCAACATCTATGTTTGCAGTCTTTGATGGTCATGGAGGTACAGATCAGAATTTATTCCTGATAACATCATCAATAACTTCTGATAAAGTTTGATGTGGTATTTTGTTGATGTATAAGCCAAGTATTGTCTCATATACAAATTTTGTTTAACTTTGAATGTGTCAAAATCTTGTTAGTATCCAGTTTATCCAAGACTTGAGTAAACTGATAGCTTACATCCAACTGCATATTTTGTTTGCCATATGTAAGGCCATTGCTTTTGTACTTTTCCTATGTCATACAGTGGACACTCAATCAGTTCAGATCTTGCAACCATTGAATGTTCAGTCAAAACATGGTGCTGCACTTACAATGAAAAGCATGCCTAGGGATTTTTAGACATGTAATGGGGTGTTAGCATGTGCATGCCTAATATAGCCAGGACTGTATATAGGGAGCATTGAATTCCAAGAATCTGATATATGCATATTTAGGGCATTTGTATGAGCAAGTGCGCAACAGGATTTCAATTGGTTCAGCAATATCTATTTAGATTTCATGTTTAAAGATTTCTAGGTTTATCATGCCTATCAGATTTTCATTAAGCAGTAAATTGTTGCTATATGTCTTTGCATTTGAGGATGTCAACAAGGTCACAGTTATGCTTGTTGATTTGATCACAAAGGAATATTAATTTCCATAGTCCTTGAGATTAAGTAACATCTTACCATCTTCACCAAGCTATTATCTATTCACTAGATTAATGTTTTCTCTATTTTTGACACTGTGGTTCTTTTTATATTCCCCCTACTCAGGGCAAGAGGTTGCACAATTTTGTTCGAAGAAACTGGCAAACTTCATAAAAGATTCTGAAGGTTATAAAAATGGTGACTTGCGCAAATCATTGGATGATGCTTTTAGAAGTATAGACCAATCCATTCTTGATGAAGAGGTAACCACTTTTGAATTGTGACACCTATTCCAGAATTTAATAAAAATTATAGTCATTTGTTTTTGGCAATTTCATTAGTGTGATGCTTGATATGATAGGCATTAAAAAGTGTTTATCTAATTGGTAAATGTTAGTTTTAATGACCTTTTTTTAATTTTAGATCCCATAAAACAGTTGTTTCTAAAAGCTTTTTTTGCCATTATTTCTAGTAAGGATTGACGAGATCAAAAATTATTAGCAACTTTGACCCTGTAAAAGCAGAAATGTATCCAGGATGTTGACAATTTTTGACGATTTTATCCATCACAGTGATGTATAAGTGCACTATGAATTGCTTTGCTTTTTCTATGCTGTTTACCCTATTTGTTTGCCTATCACAACACATGATTATGAAATTCTATATATTTCACATTTTTAGACAATAAAAGAGTTGAAAGAGCTTGCAGGTGACCGCGATGAAGACGATGATGATGAAGAAACTGCAATGTTATCAGAGGAAGCAACAATGCCTATCGAAGAGCTTCTGAAAAGAATGAAACAGGTTCTTCACCATGTTTTCCCTACTTATGTGATAATTTTTGGCTATTTTCATAAAGGATCACTCTTGTTTCATCTCTTATTTATGTTTGTGTACAGGACACTTTTGGTTTTTTAAGCAAACAAATTCTAGTGAGTTAAAGTTTAGTATAAAAGAATAAATTTCATGAATCAACTCTATGAAAAGTGCCCTTGCATTAACTAATAATGCAGTGAAAGGTCTCAGCACCTCCTTGTTATGTTTATCATGTCATGTCCTTGTCATATGTAACAAAGCTACTCCCAATATACTTTCCATAGGAATAATGTTGTATATTGAAAGGTGCCAGCAAAATAGAACAGATAAAAATATAACAATTCCCTATATCTATTAGATCTTGTTAAAAAATCAATATATATATCACTTTGTTTGGGAATAAGTAAGGTATTTCATTGTTGTACTTTGGCCAACGCCCAAACCCTTTTGAGCTTCGTAGAGCTGTTTAAGATAAGTTTTTACTGTATGATGGAAGACAGTTTCAACTAAGAATATTTTGTATTATGATTTTTTATAGTATAAAGTATCCATATTTTGAAAGCAGAGTAAAGCTTTTGGAGATAGAAAATTAAAAGGTGAAGAAAAGTATATCTTTTCTAACTTTTGTTAGAGGAGTTTCAGTGCTAAATACTATTTTGTCTCTGTATTGGAAACAGGGTGCAAATGCAGAGGCTTTTGAAAAGTTGGTTGCCAGCAATGGTAATGGGCGTTTTGGTGATGAAGAAAGCGACGAAGACGATGAAGATAGTGATGATGATGTTGATGATGAAGAAGATAATGAAGTGGAAGAAAATGTAGATAGTAAAGTAAAAGAAGAAAGTGAAGAAGAAAAATCAGAAGGTAGCAGTGCTGACAAATGATTGTTATGATTGTGCCTGTTTCATTGTGATAGTTATTTTGTTGTTTCATTGATACATGATTAGATTGTGGGGCATTTAGGTTATTGACTTTAATTACTTTATTGCATTAACAGGTAAAAGTTCGGACAAAGAGATCGAAACAAAACAAAATGAAACGAAGGAGAAAAAAGAACCCACAGGTGAAGAGGAGGGTCAGACAAAAACTGAAGATACCAAGAAAGATGCAGAAAGCAGAGAAGAAAAAGATGAAAAGGAAGAGAATGTAGAGGAAGAGGATGAAGAAGCGGAGGAGGAAGAAGAAGAAGAAGAAGAAGAAGAGGATGATGTTGAGGGAGGTGATGATGATGATGATGACATAGGTGCACCTGAGTCTGATGAGGTATGTACGGTTTTTGATTTCTTACTTGAAAGTTATACATCTGTCATTTCTGATCAAGAACTCTTACTGAAAAGACGACTGTCGTGGGAAAAGGTGACGCAAGAGTATATAAGACTTTATCTTTTAGTTTTAGAAACATTATCAGATATCACGTAACTAAAATAATTGCTGTGAAGTTTAATCATCAAAGATGTCAACTGTTTTTCAAGTAAATGCTATACAAGATTGAAAAACACACTTGTATGTGACAGTGAAGGAAAACGACTTCAAACTTGAAATTGAAACCAAGACTTGATAAAAATGTGTTATACTCAAGTGCCACCTAATAAAATGAGGTGGGGATGTTACAATTGTGTAGAACTTACAAACATATGCCACATTACAGACTTTTTTGAAAATAGCTAGAAACATGACTTTTTATGTGATGAAAATGTGGTGAAATTTTATGCATATAAATATAAGAGACAGCCTCTTCCGAAGTGTGACTTAGAGACGGGTCGATGACTTTTTGATACAATTTTTCTTTAAAGGTTGGGAAAGACAGTGGCACGACGGCAATAGTTGCATTAAAACGAGGCGACCAACTAGTAGTTGCCAATGTTGGGGACTCTAGATGCGTTTTATGCAGAGGAAAGAAAGCGGTAGATATGTCAAAAGATCACAAGCCCGAAGACGAAAGTGAGACTGAAAGAATTACGAAAGCAGGGGGTAAGATAACTGGAGATGGCAGAGTGAACGGGGGACTAAATCTCTCAAGGGCTATTGGTAAGTAGTAAGATCTTGGCGGCTATAAGCAGATTGGCCATGAGATTTGAATGATGTGTATTGTATATGGATTTTGATGTAAAATGCAAATTTTATCTTTGAAGATATTATTGTGCCTTCAGGAAGAAACTGAATTTTGTTTGCCAGAGATAATGTTGCTAAAACGAAGCTCTTCCCTCCAATCATCGTTTTGTCAACGTGGAATATCTGCTAACATAAATTTCATTGTGTCAAGTAAACGTTGCTCTAAGATGTGACAGCCGTTTTGGCTCGCCCATAATACCCAAACGTCCATATTGTTCTATGGCATATTAAGTATGTTATTTTCAGATGCGGTTCTTCGTTAGTTGGCCGCAAAGTCACCTCGTGATGATACTTGTGTGTTGGCCTATATGCTGGTATCATCACGAGGCGTTACAGAATGGCGTTATAGAAAACTTCAATCAAAAAGGACCCATTGATATCTATATTGTACAAGAATTTGTGTTTAAGTGTGAAGTCAAGTATCGTTGGATCTTTATCGCTGAGATTTTTTCATTTTATTTCTTCAGGTGATCATAATTACAAAAACAACGAAAAGTTGTCACCACATGAACAGGTTATAACGGCTGTTCCCGATGTCGAGGAGATAACACTCACAAAGTAAGGATTTTGGTTAAAGAATATATATATGTCAGCATTATGAAAACTGGCATTGGAAAAGCAAGCAGTTTGAAACTTAATAAAGCGTTTCGTCTTTTTTTATCACTGTTAAAAAACACAAAACTATATTCTGTGCCCTCCACAGCAAAAATAGACATTACGTCATCTGGTTCTTGCTATGAATGGCACTTAACCGTTACTTCAATTACAAAAACCTTCTAAAATAAACCTTTTGTGAACCAAGTTACCATTTCGTTTGGTAGGAGCTTGCATACGCCAGTTTAGGGCAGGCGATTTCGTGGTTATGGGTTGATTACAGGTATAAGAAAACAAAATAGGTCAAAGTAAGTGAGTTGATAAAGGAAGCTATCCGCTTTTCGTCTGACAGTCTTAAGAGTATGAGACGTCAGAACATAGATCGAAAAGTACGCTAGGAAAAATGTATGATCGAAATAAGCCAATCAGAAATGCGAGTACATGACTGTTGAGGTTACCCAATCAATGGCACTTGCCTGTTAAGAATGTTACTAATGAAGTCCTTAGGTGAAAACGAACTCCTTCTGTCTTCACAATAGCGCATTCATTATTTCTATGTGAGTAGAAGTATTTCAATAGCGGCATTTTCAATCTGTATGCTATTATTTATGTGTTTATGTAAGATATTTTGTCTTAAATGATAAAATCAGTGCCCAAGGCTGCCAGTTATAATCAAAAACGAAAATGAAGGAAAATATTGAAAAAATTTAAGGCCTTGGAAAAAAATATATAGTTTCTCTCGAGCTTATTTCTCATAAGTATTATAATCTACGACATAAATTGTTCTTGATATCACTGGTTTTTGTATATATGTATATATTTTAAGATCATTTCCATGTAGTTCACTGCTAGGATACCAATTTTTTATTGACAGTATTTTATCCTGTAAGCAACTAGCTATAGAAAAGTTCAACTCTGAATTGGATCTGCCTAAAAAAGTTAAAAGTTTTTTCTTGTTTCAGTCAAAGGTCTGTTATTTCTGATGACATTTCATTGATGTTTTTTATAATGGCTATTGCAGTGTGTATAGAGTATATGATTCGTTACATCATGCAAAATCTTTATAATAGCGTTTTCCTTTCAATGTAGGGATGACCAATTCATGATCATTGCTTGTGATGGAATCTGGTGAGTTTCATCCTTACCTATGCTTCCATAAATCACGTTTGAAAACCAAGAAGGTGGTAATTGAACATCTTACAAGATGCGTGATAAATAAACACCAAAAGAATAAAAATTTATGCTAAGATGCCTCCAACAAGTTTTAGAAATTGAATAAAAATATATTTGAGCTATTTATAGATGCTTTTATTCGTGAAAATTAAACAAAGTGAATAGAATATCTCCTTGTCGGTTGTTATAGTTTTCCATATCAGTCCTTCATCCTTGAATAAGCCATCAGTGCTCTAGAGGACTTCCGCTTAGGAGCCGAGAAGTTAACCGCTACATATTGCGAATTCTAGAGGCTCTGTTGATATACATATTTAGTTGCCTGATGATCACATTAAACGTGAAACTCGAAGTAGCAACTTAGAACTATTATATACACTTTCAGAGTTCTATTATGTACACTTTAAGCGATATACCTATTCATACACATATTTCTTAGTCTTCAGTAGTTTAGTCTCGAATTATAGATTACCACTTATCAGGATAGTGAGATATCAGGCTTTTTTGTCACGAAAAAGTTGACCTTATTTTGTTTGTGATCAAGTTTTTGTCATTGATGTTTTCAGGAATATCATGACGAGTCAAGAGGCTGTTGATTTCGTAAGTAAAAAGTTGGAGGAACAGAAAAAAGCGGGGAAAATTTGCTTGTCCAAAATATGCGAAGAGGTGAGCGTTGCTTTAAAATTAAATATACTGTAGCTGCTTTTATAATCATGCTTAGATATTCAAATACCCCTTTGTCCTGAGATATTCCCCTCTAACAAATGCAGGCCGAAGGCTCCCTCTACTCTTAAAAAACAATATTAATTCAGATTGTTTCCCTCTAGGGCCTGGTACCAAATGACGTCATATTCTTCTGATCGTTCGAATAAAATATTACTTTCCCGGAAATAACTTACGTTTACTCTTGTGTTGAATTCATTTTATACCCTTGAAAACATCACTTCGAGTGATGAGAATAACTTGATTGAATTAATGTATCGTTATTGGTGCAATATAATTATGCTGCCTCTTTTTTTAGATATTCGACGAATGCCTTGCTCCAGACACAAGTGGAGATGGGTCCGGATGTGACAACATGTCATGTATAGTTATACTTTTGAACGAAGAAATAATCAAAAACGTCCCAAGAAAGCGGGTGTCCGAAGAAGTGACGCCAGATACTGACGAGAACCCGGCTAAAAGGCAGAAAGTTGATGAGTAAACGAAGAAATTTTCACGCAAACCTGGTGACGTGTTTGAGTCCGGGCAATCTGCAAAACGAACCATGTTCAGGCCCCATGTTTTCAAGAAAGAACAATACTGTACTTTCCTAGAATAAAACGAATGAATATTGTATTAATATTAGTGTGCAGCAATAGAGTTAACACTGAAATAATTAAGCTAAGCAGGTTTAAGCTGGAAAAGGTGGGGTTTTTTTATGGTGCTTGGTGGCAACTTTTGGACAATTATATGGCTTCTCCCCTTTGCCTAATCATATATTATTAGCCATGCGTCAGTTTTGAAGGCTAATTTATTATATGATAATAAGAATTTAGAAGGAAATCGTTGATAAAATCAACACTAGCTTTTCAGGATTCAATTTACGTCAATACATTTATGAATGTTAACATTTTGGTTCAGTTATTCATAACTTAAAGGAGAACTTTTGCTTCTGTGTTTCTTTAAATCAAGCTCTTATTCTTCAATGCATATCTTCATTTCCACACAGTGACGTCATTTGTTAATGGCTAGAGCTCAACCCCCTAATCTGCATCATTTATATAAACATCAAATCCTAGATGGAATTTTGATCCTAAGGAAGAATCGTTGCCGCAGAGAAATGGTGACATCTAGAAAATACCCATTTTCTTTAGTGAAGATGTTTGCAACTGCAATCAAAGCATATTTAATTTTGCATTATTTTCAAATCACGCACGTTTATTTTTGCCAATATAATATCTTCGCTGAGTTGTGATTGTTTATTCTGGTTTTCTTGTCATTATAATGCGATCAGTATGTGGCCAAAACAATGCCTCTGCCATTTTCTTATTAGTTTTAAAATTGGTTTCTCCCGTTATTCACATGGAGCAGTGCGATAGAGAGTGCAAGAAATATTTAGAAAATTTAATATTTTAAGGAGTAATGAAAATTTAATAATGGATGGAGTCATAAAGTATCCATCAGAGCAAGGTCTTCAAAATCTTATCTCGTGAAATGAGGGGTTGCAGATTATTTTGGTTATATATATAGTGGCACAAGGGTTTGAAGCAGAATAAAAAATTGTATGAAAATGAAACCGTGATTACAATTCAAAGTGCAAATAAAATAATTGTGAAGCAGATTTCGTTGTAGCAGCGATTGTGACCCAGTGCCTGATTACTCCAAACTTTATTGCACAACTTTTTATACTCAAAATTTGGTTTTCCTACCGTACTTTTATTCTGAAGTCAATTTTCGTATTTTCTTGTTCCTTTTTTAATGACGATAATTTTTTTTAAACCTGTAAAGGATTAAACCAAAATGATATTTCCGGATTAAATATTTCACCTTTTATTACATTGAAATCCCTTGAAAATCAATATCAATTCATCGTTATCTCACATATATTAAGCTATCGTGAAAACTTGCTATTAGTCCAGTTCTTAATCCGAGACTTTATGCAAGATTAAATGCATGAAACTTTGACATATTTTTCCAAACAAGAGCATGAGGTGAATTTGTTCTATTTTAAGATAGATGAATAATACTTAGATTGACTGAACATTTTCATAATCATTTTAAACAGTTCCAAGTCTTGTTTTTAGTCAACTATTGTTACTTTAAGATTCTGTTATTCGATCTAATCAGTACATTAAAAAGATGCCACAGAAATTTATAATGAAATCGTGATATTGTTGATATGGTTGTTGACGAAGGTGGGCACTGCGCCCAAAAGAAGCGAAAGAAATTACAACATAAATCAACGTAGAAATGAATTTGGACCATTTGACTAGGCTTTCAATGCTTTTGCATTTTTTAGATTTTGATTTTTGGCAGCTTAAACAAACCCTTCAGGTCAAGAAATTAGCGCCTGAATTCTGAATGAAGTAGCCAACAATCACAAAGAAGTGACCTTTAATCTTAGAGAAGTGAAATTTTAATCTGAAAAAAGAGACCTTTATTCTAAAATAAGCGACCTTTTATATACAAGAATTGATACTGACCATTTAGGCCAAAAAATAAGCGTCTAAATTCTGAATGAAGTGGCTAGTAATCACAAAGAAATGACTGTTTAACTTAATGAAGTGAAACCTCGATCTGAAGGTGACCCTTAATCTAAAGGCAGTGATCTTTTAGAATTAAGAATTGATACTTATCCTTAAAAAACGCGACGTTAAACGAAATGACCTTGAAAAATTAGCCTTTAACCTGACAGAAATAACCTTTAAAATGGAAAAATTGATCTTTGATCTTAATGAAGTTACCTTTAACCTAACAGAAGTGATCTTAAACAAGAAAACATTGACCGTTTATCTGAAAAGTGGCATTTTCTTGTTGCTTATCTCTGTGCTAGGAAGTGATGAAAGGCTCCCCATTTCCACCAGGCAACGATTTCCTTCATCTACTAACCGCCTTATAATGCTCCTATCATCGGGATCTAGTTTACTTTGGTTTGAACACAAGTATTCACACAATAAACACAAATTGTTTGATTTAAAAAAATACAAGTGAAATTTTGATAAGCGCAGAAAACCTTAAAGATTTTGCCAGCAAACCTTCAAATATAGACCTTGAAGTACTCAAAAGTGTGACACTTTAAGTGGCGTTGCAACTTGTCAAGGAAACTGGGCCTTCAGTGTATCCGTTTTACCAAAAAGAAGTTTATCCAAAGGGATTTACTGACCACAACTGTTGGATACAGCTACATACACTTATTTTAAGGGGTTCACATTGTCTTATTGATAAGAAATATAGCCGATTGGAAGAGAGGAGGTGGTGTTTTGATTGTTAAAACATATAAGTGATATTTTTTAAACTTACAGGAAAGCATTTGCTCGTGTTTTTCTTCAAATCAAGCTCTTAATCTTTAATGTATATCTTCATTTCCAAGCGGTGACGTCATCTGTTAATAGCTAGAGCTCAACCCCCTAATCTACATCCATTTTTAGATATACAATCACTGCCAAAAGTCTTGGAACACTAATGTAGGTTTTCAAAGGCGAATTCAGCCATCCCCTTCTCCCCCTAGGAACAATGTTGATTTACTATAGAAAAAAGAAAGGGGTTATGGAGTACGCTTTTTCTTGTGGATTGTTTGATGTTTCTCTATACTTTCAACATTGTTTTGGGGGGAAAGGGGGGCGGAAGTGGTAGTATTTAAGAAAACAAATGAAAAAGAGAAAAGCACAGCGCAAAGTGTTAGGTGCTCCAAGTAATTTTGGCAGTGATTGTACCTCTTTATAGTACAGTACAGGAGTTTTTGGAAGGGTTAGGAGCTGCAGACTACTGGTATACAGATTTCTGTAGAAAATTAATGATGACTAGCATCAATCTTTAAAGAAAATCCAGTAGATCCAAGTTAAATATACAAATCCTTACTTTGATCTATAATACCTAAAAGGAAGAAATTTTTTCAATTCATTGCCTCTGAAATTTATGAATTGAGGGTTGAACACTTTTTCCCAAACTATTCAAAACAAATTTTCACAGAAAAGACCTTTGCTTCTATTCCCGAGATTAATTTATGCGGTTGAGACCATGTCCCTATATTTGCAGAATTAACTTTTGCGGATAAGACCTTTTTTCTCTATTTTCTAAATTTTCTCTATTTGGTTAATTTAGCTTATGAAAATGAGACCTTCCCTTTATTTTGCGAAATCAATGTTTGCGAATGAGACCATCCTCTAAATTTGAACAGCTAGCTTCACGGTTGAAAGTTTCCTCTTAAAGGCTGTGATTTAAAACTCTGACATTGTCACTCTTCAAACATTCCTTTTTTCATCAGCAAAAATCAAATTCAAATACAAGTAACTTTTCGATACAATGGGCAGGGTAACAAAAAGCGGTTATAGACGTGGGGGACCTTACAAAAAACATTGGTGGAAGATATTTTGTGGTTGACAGTTTCAAAATTTTGTGAAACAGATCTTTGCAAGAATAATTCAAAAAAGCAAAAATAAATTTTACAAATATTTCTTGTGCATATAATTTCATTTGAAATACTGTCATTTAGATATATAGCATGGCACTTTATCAAGATTTTACTTTCTAGTACCTCAAAGATCCCATGAGCTTGGTCAGAATATTTAGCAATGTTGACAAATGTTAAGAATCGATGGTTTTGTGTTAAGGATGTTGGTATTCATCTTTCAACAATTTGTTTGTCAATGTACCATGTCAGAAATAAAGCATGTTTCTGTTACTTGAGTTTAATGATTATTTCCTAACTTAAGGTGAAATGCATGATCATAACATCAGTTTTAAACCAACGGTGGTCTGCAATCCTTGCCTCGATTGTTCAAACACTTAAATCAAATCTTAATACAATTCCACAAAGTTGTTCTCCGTCCCCTCTTTGAACGCATAGACACACTTGAAATTATGTATAAACATAATCAACACTTTATTATAGAGAAAAGTTGGAAAAGAGACATAGCAGAATGATGATTGGAGGCCGCAGTTGTTAAATTTTAGAGGTGTGAAAATAATGGTGTTACGGCTATTTTATAAGAATGAGGGGGTGGGGGTGGGGTACTGGATGTCTTAATATTGTTTGAATCATGTTATCAAATCATAGAAAAAAGAAAGGGGTGCTAAAGAGGTTCTCTCAGGGTTGCCGACCTTAAAAGTTGGAGTGAGCGTGCTGTAGGCAACTTCTAGAAGCTACATCCATGACCATACCCAATAAACATGCATTTTTGCTAAACAAGATTCCCTGTTGTGTATATGAAGTCATTAGAACTATTCACAGATTAACAGACTCATAAGGACTGATAGGAAATTACTTATCCACGGAAAACCTATATTACAATAAAAAGTTGTCAATTTAGGATTCGTACAACCAAAGATGCACTCGCGTATTATGGAGGGGGCTAGGCTCCGGGATCTCTTTGAATATTAATTGACAAGGGGCTGAGCCCTCGAGTTTCCTCTGTAGAACACTTGAAAGTACTTGATTTATTGATTTTGTTTCAGTCACAAAATCAAATCAAAGAAAAGGAGATTTTCTTTTGGATTTAAAGAATGAAAATAAATTTCTTTCGCTGAAAGAGTTGACTATTTTTTGTAGGTGAATCAAATTCGTATGAATATCAAACATGACAAAATATTAGGAGCTGCGTTTCCCTCAATACAGAGTGCTAGGATTGCACGACTCTACAAAATATGCAACAGTTGTTTGTAAGCAAAAGGAATGAATATTTATTCGATTCTTCCTTTTCAAAATTATTATTTAAATAGCTTTGAAGTTACATTGAGCTGATTCTAATATCATCTATTTCGCTTGCAAAGAAGCACTTGTGCTGTAAATATGGTCGATTCAAATCTTAGAAAACCAAAATACAGGCTCCTGAAGAGCGAGCACCGCATTCATGTCGAAGCAAAGTCTTTTAAGAACTAGGCCATGGTAAAATCTTACCTTTTAATCGCAGAATTTCACTATGGTTTGAAGAAATGCAACTGAAAGTGCTGCCAGCATCTGAGAGACATGCCAATTGTTCACACTTTAAAGCACCCAAGCATTTTCAACGTAGATAAAGCGATTATTTCATTCTAGTGATGGGGTAAAAGACGTTCAACTATGAGCAACGCCAGACTGTTTTGCGGAGAACCTTCCAGAAACAAATTCCAATAGGAATTCCTTGTGCATCTTGGGATTTAAAGTTTAAAAATATACAGTGTTTATTCCCAAGGCATTTTACGAGGTATAGAACAAAAGAGGGATCTATTGTGTATTGTTTAAACTTACAATCGGCAAAGACAATGCGAACAATAGAAAATTGTCCTAAACAACGAGAAAGCTTCTTCGAGGAATCATTTTCAGCATGCTGGGCATAGAAAGATTTTTCAAAATAGATAGTATCAGAAATATTTTACTTTTTGATTTAAAACAAAACTAGCTACTTTTATATCCATTTGCCAGATAATATGGACTGTTTCATTGCGAATTTGGATGGTACATAAGTTTCTTATGTGATGTAATGACAAAAGCTTAGGACATCGACTAAATTTTTTTAGATTTATGCTACTTTGATGAAATACTACAATCCCTTCTAAAAGTTTTGATAGCTTAACTTTCTATGGTAACTGCAAAAAAGTAAAAAATTAATTAAAAAAAGACCAACACCAAACCCCCGCTCCCTCAAAACAAAGTTTGTTGTAGAGCTGAAATTTATAGTTTTTGAAAGAAATGAATTAAACCATGCTAAACCTCTTAACTTAGCATTAAACAACATTGTTTGGAGGGGGACAGAGGGCTACAGTATGGAATGGGATATTCAAAAATTGTCTGTAGTGTACCAAGGCCTTTGGCAGGCAATGTAAACAAAAAGCAGAACATAGAAGCAGAATGAATTTCAAAACTTTGAATTTGAACATAATTTCAACTAAAATGTACATTATTCTATTTAGAAATTCCGTTAAAGATTAAAAGCACATAACAGCTATTGCTTCAGGGAAGTTTAATAAAAATGCCTTTATCAGCAGAAAAAGATTTGAAGTAGTTCGGAAATGATAAATTAAGAACTGAAATCCTTCTCAACGATATGAAATGGGATTACTGTGAACATAAAACTGGAATCTAATTCATTATCAAATTCGACCTTCTAACACGAATGTCTCTCGATCTGAATTTTGCAGGAAAATCGTAAAAGGCTTAAAGGCACAAGGAAGAGGGAAATTGGACAGGGGTAGGTGATACGAAATGTCACAACCGTTAAAGACATCTTTTCTGAAAATGCTTCAAAAATGGAGAAATAGACAAAATTCAAATAAAGACAGTTGACTATCTTCCAGAGATGCAGGGAATAGTAAAACACTCTGAAATATACCCATGCTGGGTCTCCTTCTCACCACCTGGCCTAAATAAGTTGGGTGATATTAGAAAATTCCATTGCAACTATAAAACTGTGGCAAATACTTTTTAAAAGTTAACGAAACAATAAGGACAACAGTTCTACAATCTGAAGGTAATTCCCGAAAATGTAGGTAGAATGGAAGAAAATTGTTCTAAAACGAACATATATATAGCTAGTCTTTTGAATACTTTAGCATCCCCCGTCGTACTGCTATATTTTGTATCATACAATTGTTGTTAATCTATTACTACTAAACATACTCAATATATGCGTCAGAAATCTATCTTGATTTCCAGATTTTTGCGATCCTTTTTTAGAGTTCTTTGTAACGATAACCCATTCTTCGTTGATGTTGATCCAGTGTCTAAAGAAATCCTTGACACGTTTGCCAAAGTATATGCTGAACGCAGTGGCTAAAATAGCACCAATGCAGCCGACTATGTAAAATACAATACACGGAGTCGATATGCACTTGTTTGAAGCGTCCTTGACAACAGAAATGACGTTTAAGTGAATTGTAACGACGAAAAGCAGAAACCAGAGAACCGAGCTTGGCCGCTGTGTGGGTCTTTTCCACTAAAAATTGAAAGAAATGCAAACATTAAATTTGAATATGAGATTCGCAACACTTTTATTACTAGTGACAGTTTTCACATATCCACTCAGCGAAGGCTGTATTTCAGAAAGTCAGCTGGAAAAATATGAATGTTTTTTAAACCTTGTGTTTCCAAAGTCTCTTTTGAGAATTATTCTTTTCTAAATTTTGGAAAGCCTTGTAAAAAAGCTGCATCAACCAAAACGAACACAGTCTCATAAATTTTGCATGGCTTCTGCCCCTCCTAAGTTTCAGAATACGGATAAAGAGCTTGGTCTTGGCAACGTTTAATGAAAATGAGCTCAAAGTTTTTTATAATGTGTAAAGTAAGAGCTATAAACTGTCATGCAGGGTATACATAAAGTTCCGAAACACCATCTTACCACCTGCTCGCTGTTCTAATTTGCTGGGTATTCGTCTTTTAAGTCGATTCGACGTAATTAATTATATGGTTGTTAAACGCGCGACTACGATAGAGGAAATAAAACACCCTGTACATGACTGTTATTGCTTTGAAGTGATAATCACTAGGCAAGAAATGGAATGGAATTTGAGTGGCACGTGCAGCTGTCGATTAGAAGGTGCAAAAACATCTTTCCTTACTCCAAAATAAACACCGATATTTTTTTATTTAACATTCTGTTATTGCCATAACTGTTTCTAAATAACTTTTTATAAAAAACCGTCTACAAGAAACTGACAAAAATGATTCTTTAAAAGATGGAATGAAAGTGTTTCTTTTAGACATATCAAGTACAATTTCCGGTTCAATTAACATAGAAAATGGAAAGAAGACCTGCTTGCGACTAATTCTATGTTCTTGTTTTTGCTCTGTCTTCCGCTGGTCAATACATATTTGAAGAGCCTTCGCTACACTAAGTTCCTATGCGTTATTTTTAATCTTGAAAGTAGTTCACTAGCAGTTTGGGATTAAAAAACCTATCATAAAATTTTAAGCATTTGTAAGTAAGAAGCGAGAAACTGAGCAGACCCTGAGCGTATAAAGTTTCTAACAAAAAATGTGCTTGCTTCTACGGGACATTCTACAATAGCAGAATTTGATACTGCTTGCACGACCGCAGGTAAAAAAGGGAATCATGAGATGGAAAATCGATCTTTGATCCTAAAACTTTTCCTTGCCTAGGCACGAGGAACCATGACAACGATCGATTCAAGGGCAAAGGGCATGCCCTTACTTAGCCATTTTTGCAATAAGAGAGTGAAATTTTACCTGTTATCTTTTAGATGTCACTTATTAAAAGTCTGCTCATTTGAAAAGTGCCAAGATCTTTGTTGGCAAAGTGAACCAATACTTTTAGATTCCTAAGATTTTGCAAGAATATCTTGTGTGTGATACTTGTAAATAAAACTTTTTGGGGTTTCCAGAGTGGAATCAATCGATTAATCAATATAAGATTTGGCAGGATTGTAACTGTCACGTTTAGGTTGAAGCGTTGTTTAAAAGTAAATGCTTTTATTGGGTGCTTTTTAAGAAAAATTTCTACACATGTTCCGAGGCTTTCAAAAAGCAATACTCTCAGTGATTGCAAGAGGTTTTTAAATTAATTCATCAGCATATTTCCAAATGATAAAGATGGATGCCTTCTAAGTATAGGAAAGAAATAAGAGACTCACCAGCCAAACAGGCTTGATTCTTCTGGCAAATTCAATTCTTGCTTGACACAACTCGCAGTTTTGTACCATTTTACTTTGCAGCCATTGTACCAAACAGCTCTCGTGAACATACTGCAGTGAGCCCGAGCAACGACAAGGCGAAATCAGTTGTTCCTCTTGCCCATCACAATGGCAAATTCGACAAGATCCCTCTAAACTCGAGCCAGATATCAAACTCAAACGTACACTCGGCTTGCATTTCAATTTGTCAAAGTCTGTTTTCGAACTATTGCATTTTCTATGATGCTGATCGTCCAATGGTAATTCATAGTTTTGATGTAGGTTTATAGACAATGAGCTCGAGCAAACCTGGAGACAAGAAGTTTGTAAATTTGTTTGATTTAGCAAAGTTTCTTCTGAAGGAACAGTGCATTTTTCGTCCATATCTGAAATTTCCTCTTCTTTTTGTTGGTTTAAGCAAGATTCAGGATCATTTGAACAGCCTTTCAGCAATGGTGATTCCTTCACTTCATCGCAACAAGTAATACTACCCTGGCTTCGCAATGTATTACCAGTATCTGGCATGCCATTGCTTGTTTCTTCCTCGCCTTTAATGTTCGACACGTGTTCGAAGCGATCACAGGCACACTGATCCAGAGTATCAGCTGGTAGATTCATTGTCGTGAAACAACTGCAAATAAAGATTTGATCATGTCAAGACAGATAACTTTCTAATTCTTATTAAGATGAGTTCTATATATTGGTAGACTATGAGAGAGGACCCTTAGGCTTCTAATTATAAAAAGCCACAAAGCAAAACAATCACGTATATGGGGGCGCTCCCTTGTCTGAGGAGGAACTGTTTTTCAAACCCCCTTGATAACCCAGTTTCTATGTTTAATTTTTTAAGTTTCCTGTTTTTGGTTGCTTTTTACCTTGGTCCCCCTTTTTCATGGTTTGCTTTAAAAATAGCTGTCAACTTGAAAAAGGACAATGATTTCAAAACGTTAAAATTAATGAAACATTTTGGCAATATAAACAAATACTTAAAGGTTTAGACACCGGCTCCTTATGAACAAAATTGGCTTATATAGGTATATTTTTGCACGAATTGAAATTATCAGATTATTCATAGGAATTTCAAATTTCACCTTTTTGCTAAGCAACATATTTGGCTTTGTTAAAAATTGCGTGCTAAAAACATTTTAGACATCTATCACTGTAGACGTAACTAAAATATAACCCTTTTTATTTCCTACTCGATTTAATTTCCTCAAATTTAAAAGCTGCAAATTTAAAAGAAAGCCAGCAAATAATTACAGCGTACAAAAACAAACTTTGCTTACCTCTTTGGCGAAGAAAAGTAATATTTATTTTGTTAATCTTATTCCGAAGGCATTTCCCGTCTTCAGCCAAGCTCTATCCGCAGGCCTTTAGTCCTGTTGCCAATATCTCGTTGAAAGATTTCGAATCTTCACCACTGGATTAAATCGGAATTTCACACGAATATTACTGGTGAAAGTCGCTGCAAAATCACTTCCAGGTGACTAGAAAATCAGCCTTTTACGCCAAAATCTACCTGGGAAAATATGGAAAAAGCTGGTTAAATATCGATAACTTCTCTTCGTTACATGAGTACTTCAGTCAGATTACATTATCAACAGCTGCGTGCAAGAAGCCACAAGACCATTTCCGCAAAGGAATCCTCCATGGCGAAGGGGAGTTCCGGTGGAATAACATTCTCCTCCACAGCTACATACGCGGGCAGGTGTCTCGCATGGGAGGGATGCCTCTAAAGATGCTAATAAAGCCCCAAGGTTTCACCATATACCCACGCATACAAGCAAAGACAACAAACAATTTACCGATTTCTTTATTCAGCAGCATAGAAAAGGAGATGAACAAAGAAGGTCGTATTATAAACAGAAAAAAAACACCGCGAGTTCGGGAAGATACAATGCAAAGGGCAATTCCCTCTTGCAAATATCGTACACTCTTTTTTATATAAGAACCAGTAAATTTAAGTTCAGGCTGACTGTTCTGAATTTTTTCGAAAATCTGAGGCTGGATTGTTCTTAATTTCTTCTTAAATAAAGAGGTTGTAAGCAGTGCTATTGCTAGCTTTTTCGCTATAAGGAGGTGTTCAGGCCTCATTTGCCAACAAAGTGAGTGAGACAGCCTTAATTTGAAGACCAATTTGAAAATTCACCGAAAAAGCACCCACACATGGCTAAAAATCCTCGGTTTTGAAAATAACGTTGTTCAAAATTGCATTTTGCAGAAGCTCAGCCTCAGCTTGTTCTTAATTTGTTCTTAACTTTTGACCAGTTTTGAGGCTCGTGTTCTTATAAAATTGTTCTTATAAAAAAATAGTATATGTTGTAACCATAAACTGAGGGCCACAGAGAAAGGGCTGAGTGCTCAATTTGAGCTGCGTAGAATAAGATGGTAACTACGAACGGGTATAAGTTATACTATGTGGTAACAAGAAGGCTTGCACAAAAAGAAAAGTTCAGGTAAAAATGTGTTTAGATTTTAGAAGGTTAAGAGCATTAACAGAATTTTCCGCGTGAAAAAGAAACAAAAGTTCTTTGAACTAACAATACAAAGATATGTTTAAACTAACAAATAGCGTAGCTTTTTCAATATTCAGAAACATCTGGAATTTTTCTTACAGCTGGTTGAAACAGAAAGAAAAGTTTTTTAGATAGGAAAAGACATTGTATAAATTATTTGTATAGAAATTTCTACCAAAGCGGAAAGCAAAAAATTATAAATTAAAAAAGGACTAATGTTAATGGTTTCTTGTAATTAGATGCTCATAACTAGTAAATAACCAGTAACCACAAATTGTTTTCTTTAAATATTTGGTTAACTGTGAAAGAATTTGTGATAAATGAACAATTTTTCCGTCTACTTAAAATTGTCTGGGAAAGTCCTGATGAATTGTGTCTAGGGATAGCTTCAAAGATGAAAAGGCATTTTTGTTGTCTGTTTCTTTCTACTAAGCAGACAAGGTAGGCAATTTATCCAAGAATGCCCTCATATGCACATTTTTCTATTAGAATATTTCAATTTTCGGTAAGCCTCAGTTTTTGAAAAAAAAACAACTTTGAGCCAAAATACATTCTCAAATTATTCTTAAACGGCTCCACAGGTAAATTTTCCTAGGAAATGGAAGGGAGAATTCTGAAGCTCCAAGTGTAGTGTAATTCAAAAAATTTAAACACATTTAAAAAATATGATCTTCTTGGATGTACGTGAAATTTGAAAGAAAGAAAATTCGAAATATCAGAGAATTTAAAAAAATCTTAGATAATTTTGATAAACTTTAAGCCTGCTTAACTGTTTAAGCCTTGATAATTTCTAACCAATTTTATCTTTATAAATAACAAAGTGCGTATCGAGATTGAAAAATTGTGAAGCACTCTTTTATTGGGCAACTAATTTTTTTGGAGGGGGGGGGGGAGGGGGGAATTAGACACAAGAGAGAGAGAGTTGTGAAATCAGAGGACATAGGGATGGGTTTAATAATCTTCAAAACTTTGTCACACGTAATTCTTTAAAAAAGTGGGTGAAAGTTATTAAAAAAGAGTATGTCATATTAAACAATATTACTAATTTGAAACGTAGCACAAAATTTGAAAACACTTTTGGGTTTAGCAGGGTGTAGCACTGACATGATGAAAAAAAAGGGGCTTCTGCAATACTTCTCGAGAAAGTGGCAGTCCATAGAACAAACATGAAAGAAACTCAAACATAAATACTGATAAATATATTGTAACATTGTAGTCATCTTGCTATGCTACACAATTCTTCTCCAACCAACTATTTCACTGAAGCTCTGGCACCCAAGGGTAACTAAGGCTAATGCAGCTAAGAAAATGTTCTTTCAGCAGCCAAGAAGAAGTGTAAAAACTACTTCGGGTTGTATTTTACAAAATTCCAAATGTTCAAATTCTGAAACACGTCCAGGCTGCTGTTATGATGAACATAATTCCCGATGGGGACGAGATTTTGTAATGTTTTGCAACGACATCCTTCCAGAAATTTTTTTTAGCGCCAATATGTTGCTTTGGAGAAATGGCAAAAAGGCAGTGAAAAAAGAGTCAAGAAAAAAATTCATGCAATAAATTTCATAAAGCTTTAGGCGCGAATTGAATTTCTAAACATGGCGTGTGCCATTTTTAGTGATTTGGGGTAAAGGGTACGGTCTCAGACAATGCCCGATTGTCCATGTCCCGGTCAGGGCAAGCTTCCTGACCAAGACATATGTAAATAATTCAAAGCAGAGGCGTTTTACTGAAGTGTAGAGGAACTAGCTTCAACAGTATCGACAGTTTAACACGAAACGGCGAATATGTAAACAGAAAAGGCGCAATCCAGTAAGGTTCAAAATTTGCTCTATTGTTTGTTCAAAGACATGCAAATTTTATAATCTAAAAAGAATCTACTTGCGTTCTCATATCTTGATCTTTGCAGCAGTGTCAAGAAGGCATTCTACAAGCCAAGACAGAAGGCCAAAACAAGCTAGAAGGCTCTGTTTACTTCGACAGCACGTTGGATAATGACGTCACAAATCGTGCTACCGGCTAAAAATCACAACCAAGCCATTCATGATGATACAAGATGTTCAGCCAATCAGAGACAAGAAAACAGATTCAATAGCAAATTGCTTGACTAGGAGTACCATCATGCCGGGCTTGTCAGGGCTTGCCAGACGGGGACAAGATGCTTATTAATAAGGCAATTTTCTGGGTGTTGTGTTCCTAACAAATGGTCATTACATCGATCTTTTCTCTGCACCGCGTCACTTTTGTTTAGGCTGCCATCGCCAACAATCATAGGGCATTTTGGGCTTCATAAGAAGATTGTCCCATTATCAAACAATTACTGATCGATAGAACAGGCTAATTAACAAGAATTAGTTCTTTCAAGTCAAGAATAATCATTATCGCGTTTGCAATGGAGTTGATTTTCAGGTTCAATGAAGTGGGATTTACATCTAGCAGAGAATTCGTAGCAGACAAAAAGGAGTTGTCAGACAGCCTTGATTCTCGTCCTGGGACGCAACAATCGTGTTAAAAGCATCTGACGATAAAGGTAAAGCGCGTGCGAGATTTCCACTGAAACGAAAGGATTTCTAGGGATTTTAAGAAACAAGACTACCACGAAAAGAGAACCTTTAGGGTTACATCGTATTTCTATAGAGAATGGGTGATTCTTTTTCAAACCATAGTAAATAGTATTTATATACTATGTTCAAACTCTAGTTCATATGATGTAATTGTCTGCCTTTTTAGCTAACCTTGCTCCTCAGCAAACTTACATTTGTAAAAAAACCCGATGTAATTATTTAGAGAACACCAGGTGCAATATGTTTATTAGTATGGCAGGATTTTGAGGCCACTAGAGCGACATAAAAAAGATTCGCTTCTTTTTTGTATTTAGACATATTCCTTTCTAAAGCTTCATACTTGCATGCTTAAAATCGTCAACGAAATGGGTGTAGCCAGAGGGCTTTTTTGCTAGAGGGGTTCAGCGGATTATCGGAATTCTTTGTAATTTATATAATCTTTTTATTGGGATAATGATGAATAATGATATGCTAAATGCGCTTTTTTCTCCCTGTAATTGTAGATGACATCGTATTTAACCACTTCCCCTCAAGCTTGTCCAAGGCCTGGAACACTGAGGGCGGATGTCCTCACCCCCAATTTTTGCAGAATCTTCTGTTATGAGTCTTGAATTTGTCTTTGCCCACTTTCAAGTTGGCATTAGTTGCTTATGTGATCATCTACTTTGTATCCTGTGTTCCAGAGCCGCATGAATTCGAGCGCGTAAATAAAAGATAGGAGCGGGAAAGCGGAGGAGCGTAACGCGCTCGAAATTTGTTTCTTTTTACGCTCTAGAATTTTTGCGGCTCTGGTAGCCAAGGAAAAACGTTGCCGACCCTTCTTATGATTGCTCCAGGCCAACAGCAGTGTTCTGTGATAAAGGTCAGCTAGCATTGTGATCAATGTTTTGGACAACGAGATAAAAATTCAGAAGAAAAACTGACTGTGGCCAAAGAAGGACAAAAGACAAATAAAATTAAGACCACAATAATAGAATATCAATGACTGAGGGTGTTGGTGTATCTAAAGGCTTTTGAAATTCGTTTTGCTAAGAAGATACAAGGTGACCAGCAAATCTGTATTTGTTTGAAATGATATTGGAAGTTCTATTGGGTATTTTAACAGTGTTAACTGTAAAGAGGGCGTCGCCTAAGATGATTTTTAAATTCGTCGTTTGTTTATGAGCTTTGTGGAAGCTTTCCGTTCGTATTTCCGAATCTGGTGAATTCTAGGTCGGAGGCTGAGTTAGAAGAAAAAGACTGTGGAGAGAATCAAAAGCAAAATTTAAGTAGAGTTAGAAGGAAAGAAGCCGGGAGACGATTCAGCAAAAATTTTTAAGCTGTGTCGCTTTGACGTCATCTGCTTAAGATTGGCATGGCAACTACAGTGAATGCAAGAATATGGAAAGTTTATATGTTAATACATGGGAAGGAAGACAGGCGATTATTGAAAGCTACATGCAAATGCAAAACTTAACATCAAGCGACATATTGTTATAAACTATATTGTCCATAAACTCAAAACTGTCTTTCACAAAGCAAACAGACAACTGACTGATTTGGAGAGGGGGGGGGGGGGGGGGGGGGAGAAGAGAAAGAATAGCAAAGCACACACAAAGGATGAATGACTTATGTGCACTGCTTATTAATCACTGTTGAATAATGACTGAAATTTTCTGACTAAGATCATAAGAAATACTGAGAAGAGGCATGACCCTTTTGGCACTTGACAACCTTTGTTGTCCATATAAACAAGTAAATCTAAATCTCCTTCCCCTTCTTCCCCCTTCACTCGCAAGACTAGGTTTTCCCAGTGAGATATAGCACTAAAGTATAGCTAAGCAGCAAAAGGACGCTCACAAGAGCATTTAGCTTTTATGACCCAAATAGCCATGTCTAAACCTAACAATAGATATCAGAACAACAATTTCATTTCTCTTTCATGCTGTAAAACTCAACAAAGGCATCTTTTCCATATATCAAACTTGATAAATACACTCATCTATATATATATGCACACTCAAGTAATTTGTTTCTAGGCTTCATGGAACAGACCAGTTCTGCCTGGTCCAACATGCCGGATATCGTTGCTCAGATGTTGAAACAACCCCTAAAACCCGTGAGAAAGCAGCATCAAGATGGCATACAAAACGTTTCTTAAATTTGGAACATATTACCTGCTTGATAACAATCAAGTTGTTCGCAGTGGTAGATATTAAAACAGAGGAAGGCAAGGGACACCCCTAGCATCAAAAGAGAGTCGTTATGGATTAAAATCTTTTAGTTACCATCGCCTTCAATTCTAATGTTTTTATTAGTTTAAAAAAACGCAAGGACCCATTTCCATTAAAAATATTTCTATCTTTGTCGTCTTGAAAGTTGATATTACTTCATAGTATGTATCAGTATGGAATGTTTATAGTGTATGGAAGCTAATAGATCCACTACGTTCTTTTTGGGACTCTCTTATGTGCTTCTAGTTATCTCAGAAAAGGCTGTTGAAGCAGCAAATCAACATTGTGGAAAACTGAAAACATACTGCATTTTTATGAAGAAAGAATTTTTAGGAATAATTTACAGAGTCTGAGTCAGAGAAAGTGTGTGGGGAGAGGAGTTGCTTGCCTCCAATACCCTTGATGGGAATACTTTGCAAGGCTTGACTATTATCATTAAGTTGCAACCATGGATGTTAAATTATTCGCACTTATACCCATTTCCTTTCTAGTAAAGTATTCACAAATAACTTTCTTTTCAATTTTAAAATATGTTCAGTATATGCTAGTCTTGAATGTAACTAAGAAAGAAACAAAAAAAAGAAGCAAAACTTACATTGCACCAAACTGTTTATTGAGCTGTAGACTGTGATATAAAGCTGTTCTGTTTTGTGGCCGTTATTCATTGAGAACTTAAGAAATACTTGACGTAGAGAAATCTCTTAATTTCAAAGCCTGTGAAGGTATTAGTGGAAAGGTTTAAGCTGCCTTCTTACAAAGTCCGAAGAAAACGTAGAACTGATTATAGCCCTTCCGCCCGAGAAAAGCAAATTAAGGACAATTCATTTATAGAAAACTGCGAGATTCTGAGTCCTTTAGCCAAGGCAAATATCCAATTGCAACTCAATTGAGAAGTCGATTGAAACTCGCACTACTTCTTATCCTCTCTAAGGTTTTATTATCTAAAAACAACGATGTGACCTAATATGCAGCAAAATACGCGAATTGAAGAGATTAATCCGCAAAAATTAGAGTAAGACATCTCGTTATTTTTAAATCCACCATATGAGAATAGGAACAAGTTGATAATTGTTGGTGGATGAATTGATTTTATGAGTGAGTGTTTGATGGGAACAATCGGACTGTACACAAATGGGTACACAGAGTCTAGAAAAGTGTTTGAAAGATTTTTCAAAAAAGAATAGAGAATAGGGTGTGGTCTTAAAGCGGCAAGAAAATTCTCTTGCTTTCAAAGACTTTATTTCGGTAAAGTTTTGAAGATTTTATTACACGTGACCACAAATTTTTCAAGTGTCCGGGGGGAAAGGGGTATAAAAGAGAGGAAGGGGTGTTAACAAAAAGGAGTTGTGTGACAATGTCAATATAGGGAACGACACACTGGTTGAAATTGAAAAAAATGTTACAGAACAAATTAGCCCTGGCTCACCCCTAGTGATTCAGAGACCCATCCCTCACTGTGCCTTTCTGCTTTAGAATTCTTTAAAATGTGTCTTGACAGAGTCTACCATCAACATGACACAATCTTTGGAACCAACAAGAAAAGATAAAGAAAAATTGAAAACTCTAAGGAAGCCGAAGCCCTATTCGCATTTCGCAAGCCAATCAAAACTGGCAAATACGCACTCTAACAACCAGTGGAATAAAAGTTCAAGCAGCCTGGACTGTTTTCAATTTGCACTTGTATTGTAGATAATTTTCTTAAGTTCATTTTCTTTCAAGTAGTTTATATTTGCCTTTCTTTTTTATGTGCTTTATGTTGATCTCCTCCAAATAAGCAGACAAAGTAGTCAAGATACCATCGCACAGGCTAATGCCCTATTTTGATGTCATTATTATTATCAATTTTATACTACTGTCATTATCCCAGACCTAACTGTTGGTTTCGAATCAAATTTTGACACAAATGCAACAAGAAAACACGGCAAATATGCTCCTCTTTTAATCTTATTTACAACGGCATTTCAAATCTGTCTGTTTATTAAATCTTTTTATGAGTTCTCTCGGCACCTTCGGAAATTCCTGTAACTCATTCATCAACATTTTTAACTCTCTCTCCATCCATCAACAACAAAATGGTATCTCATCTCTAAACTTTCCAACTTTGCTTTTAATTCTATGTAATAAACATATTGTTGCAAAAATAAACCAAGAACAATCTCGAAATAGGTTTGGTTTAAGTATGGTCTTTCAGTTTTTCCCTTTGAACTAACGATTGTCATAGTCTTATCTTGTAAACCCATGCTAGCCAGCTGCAAACTAACTATGTAATATAAAGGTCTGTTATGGTAGTTAATTGAATTGAAATAACAAATTGTCAAGTTTATACCTTAGTGAATGAGAGTTTCTTCTAAAGAGAGGTAGTTATGTGTACTTCTGCTTCAGATTGTTGTGGAAGATTTTGTGGCTCATGGACTCTCTGGTTAGGGGTCTGGGACACAGGCTAATGTTCTTATAAAATTGCAATTTGGAATAATATGGACACAAGAAATAGCATGTGGCGCTTTTTCGAAAACATTTTTCGTGATGATACTTAATACCCTTTCTAAGGGGTATTTCTCTCTTGAAAAACTATTGGTGATTTATAATACCAATATATGATGTGAAAAACTATTGGTACCTAACAATATGATTTACTGATTATCTTTCAACAACTTCTATCATTTTCCGAAAATTAATGAATTTTTTCTGATTAATTTCTTTTTCAGAAATGATGTGGGAGTAACCATAGAATCTCTGCTGATATTTTAAGAGAAATGTTAGACTAAAATGTAAACTTTATTGTTTTGAATTATAAACTGCATGCCACCCCGGACTTAACTGTAAGAAAAAACTAAGATTAAAATCTAAAAAATAGCTGTTAAAAATTATATTCCGTACTCAGAAGACAGGATAATGACTTTTCAAAGTAAATGGGTCGAGAAACCATCCGAAAATGCTTATGTTAAATTTTCTAAGAATTTGAAATTTGATTTGTTAAGATAGGCAAGAACCCGATTTGAGCTGTAAAATGACAATCTCTGACATTTTTGTTATTTTCAAACAATAACTTTATTTTTGAATAGGAACATATAAATAAAGGATTAACAAAAAAGTATGAAGGCGAAAAATTCACAAAAAATACTGTTTGTATTTTCGATAAAACTTGAAAGTTTAAAATATAACCCAGCCCTTTAGAATTTTATGATCTTAATCGTTTAATCTAAATTAAACTACTGGAAGCTCATCGAAAGACGTGGAAAAGAGAAGGGCGTGTGGGAAATGTTCTTTCGGTGCAAATTAGTCCATAAATCTTTTCAGGAAATTTATATTCCAGATTTAAACTTATGTTTAACACGTGTTGCTTGGCGCCTGAACAAACTGGAAAACCATGGAGATTACAAAGAAGACAAGAATATCTTCCACAGAACAAACATGAAAGTCTGTGTTTGAATAAATTTAGGCAGACTCATCTGAAAAATATATCACATCGTGAATTTATTGTGAGATGATACACAGCCAGTTAATGTTTGTAGATGGCGTTTGGAAAGAATGGGATTTCAGTGAAATGTAATATGATTCATGTGACATGCTTAAAAGGAAGCATCTGCAAAAGCAATCTAAGATGCGAAGTGATTGTGTCTGTGATTCTCCCACGGGGTGAATGACAAATAATTCTTTTTTATTTGATCCGTGATATATTGATATTATCAAAGAAAGAATGGTGGGACAGACGGGAAGGAGGGAATGCAGTATAACTCAGACTGATTTATAAAAGGGTTACGAGACAATGTCTGGAGAGACCGTCCTAGAAACATGGAAAGGGGCAATTTAGAGAAACTCCACATGGCTGGGGGCTATAGGGAGGGGAGAGAGGTTACTCCTTCCAAAAGTAAAAGATAATCGGGAATCACATCCTCCCTTAGAGATCTTGCAATCGCATGTGTGAGCTTAATTGCTGTCCATTTTAAACTGTTAAAACAACAATAATAAGTTGCCTATTTTCAAACTTAGAAATGAAATTACTACCATCATTACAAATTTGGAACTTGAAGGTTCAGTAAGAATGGTCTTATAGATCATAAGTACGTTCCTTTAGGTGGGGATTAAAGTTTGATAATTCTTGGCAAAATGATTCTAAAGAAGGATTAGTGCTAAGATAAGGAATTAAAGATTTTCAGAAAAATCTTTTTTTCTTCCTTCATTGAGTTCACGGAAGGGTAGCTAATTCTGAAAAACGTTGCGGAATTTCGGCACGAGCATTTTCTATGAAAGCATCTTACGAGATTAGGGAAAGCATTGAAATGGCACGCGAGGTCACAAACATTAAAACCACTCGAACAAATATGTGGGATTTCGTTGATGTTCTTTTCTGAATGAAAAGGAACTTTGAACCGCACAGTAATAGAAAAATACACAACCAATTAATCATGTTTCTGGTGAGGTGACTCGAAGAACTCTGTGCTCACAAAACAAAGCAGACAAATCCGTAACCAGAAAAGTTCGGCTCAAATGGTACATTAAACTTTGTATTTTCACAGTATTATTGACTAATTTTGTGTTGCTGAAGTTTTCGACTATCTATTAATCTTTAAAACATTTATAAAGTGTACGGCTAGGGCAAAGTATTTCAAAACTTATGAAAATAGTCCCTACGTGTTCAGAGTGAAATTCACTTCTTCAAAATGGTTAAGAAATTGGAACCTGCAAATTAACGCCTATAAATAGTCAATATTTAAAAGTAACTTCATCTCCAAGAGACATTTCCATCTGTAGTAAGGTCGGTATCAATTTACTTGTTGGAGAATTAACTATAAGCTTGTGATTCAAGGAAATAAAATTTGTGGTAACCACAAAAATTGGTGTTTTATGCAAAATCCAGAATACACTGTTATAATCTATGAAAATTATATTTCTACATCATCAATTAACGAAATATTTTCCTAAAATGACCATAATCGGATAAGAGGGACACGGAGCGCGACATAAACACGATTTACAAATAAACAAATAAGTGAGCCAATACCTTTTACGTAGTAGTGTTTCCGACCCTCTCTTTATTTGTAATGTCGGGATACACTCAAATGTCGTTGCTTGCTCGTCAAACTGCCGATATAAAATTATAATTGTGATATTGCAATTTTACTTGCAATGACACCTCATAAAAATATCAACACGTTAGACACTTTGCTTATCTCAAATATTATCGCTTCACGCCAATCTTGATTTTATGAATGAAATGCTCACACAATCGTGATGAACATTTGGCGGGAAATCGCAACCATCTATTGTTTACTTTTCGTCCAGTGAGAATACAATCCCATTGTTCTTCGAATGTTATGAAAACAATCAAATCCCTTCGGAGCTTTTGTTTAGCAGCAAAGGACAATGGAGGAGATCCCCAGACGAAACATTGAGAATAAACTACAAATTTGCGCCGTGTGGTCTTAAGAAAGATTTCAAATTGGATAAATCCTGATAATGAATTTCATAAGGCGTTACAACGGAATACTAAGCAAAATTTTGAAGGTAAACTTGCCAAAAATGAGTAAGCACGGAATCCGAATTAATAAAAGGTTTCGCAAATGCACACCTGCGCTTTCCGCAAAAACAACGAACAAAGACAGACCCATTTCCGGTTTGAATGGCGGCCACCTGTCGTTGGAGAGAGGGAGATATGGCGGGGAAATCGGGATTAACACGAATAATTTTTAAAAGAAAAGCAAGTAGACCACATTTCCGAAATTATGCTTTAACACTTTCAAAGTGTTAAACAGATACAGACGAAAACAGTCGAAAATGTTTTGTCTAAGAAACTTTTATCATGTCTTTATTTTCTGAACAAGTTTTTTAACACTGCTAGGGCTTTTATTAATTTCCTGTGTGAGAAGATCTCTGCCAGCGAAGGAACTATCGTCAATTCTAGTTTGTAAATCGTTTCAAGAATAATAATATAAATTTCATGGGTGATGCGTGGCGATTTCAATAACAGTTGGAATCAAGTACAACTTTCAGCGAGAGATCGTGGAAAAATATCATTACGCCTTGGGAAGAGAATGTACTGCGTGGCGTTGCATTGAGGCAGTTTCATATCACAAAAAGAGGATCATTATCATTATATCAATACAAAGAAAACAAAAGGAAGCTGTAAAAAGAACAACAATTTTCAGTGGGGTTTTTGTTTCACCCTGATTGGAGACATCTGCTCTCTTATTTAGACAAAAGTTACTAGCCAAAGTCTTCACTTGATGAGACCTGCGATAACAAAAACCCGCAACCGCGATGAATGACGGGTAAGAAAGCATTTCACAATTGGCCATTGCTCATTTACGGTCTATTTAGCGGTACTGTTTCCAAGAACAACAGGATTTCGACTAGGCAGGTGCCGTCTTTATAAGATATCACAAATAATTTTTCAATAGCATGATTACAAAGCTTGGTTATCAAATCTCCATAGGACAGATAGCAGCGTCTCTTGCTCCAGCTGTTACATATCCCAAAACCGCACGTGGTTTGCAGAGTAAGAGTCACGAAAATAAAAAGTTTGGGAAGTAAGAATCACCAATTGGTTGCATTTAGGTAATTAACTTCGGGAAGTAAATTTCCTACTTGTGAAAGGTGAAATTACACTCCAGTGGGGAAGAACGCACGATCAGTGGGAAGAATGCCACTGCAGCCTCTGTTTAACTTGAGCGGGCTAACCTCGATTCAAAACAAAGGAATGCTTTGTTTTGGTGCTCAAACAAGGTGGCCAGACGAGCCAACATTTGAGGCAAAACTTGAGCCAACAGAAGCATAACTTGCGCAAGTGCCCGGTCCATCTTTTAATCCAACTTTGACTGTTGCACAGAACAGTGTTCATATGGGAAATTTCCAGGATTCCCAACAGCTCGGCAGTGGGACCTAACAAGTTGGTTAGCCCCCGTCTCATTTAAACACAATCTAAGTTTCACATACAAATTAGTTTGTGAGCTGGAGGTCTCACTTGAATGGCTATCTCACCATAATAGAATACCCCACCCCAAATGAACAGGCCCTAAGCATCGCCAACTGAGAACATTGAGATAAAGATTCATCGAGGACTGGAAAAAGGGTTAAAAGTAACAAGTATATCTGTGCTTTCCTTAAGGATTATCCAAAGCTTTGACTGTCACCTGAATTTCCCTGAATCGCTGAGAAATTTGATACTCACTCAGATGTGCACACTTATAACCAATGCACTCTTGCATTACCGGGCAATAGCCTGTGCAATCCTGAGATCTCGTTGAAAACTGCCATGAAATCCAGACCGGAAGATTTGGGGATAGAAAAAACAGCATGTCCCTTCTAGCATTAGAAGTAAAACTCTTCCTCAAAGAGAACAGCCTCACCGGTCTTGCCGATCAAAATTAACTACCAACTACTGGCATTTACTGGAAAAGCCAGATGATGCATAAGAATATAATGGCGACACGTTTCGGATTATTGGTGAAGCCCGGTCGTCTTTCTATCTAGCAGGTTTGAGAATCTATCTACATAAGCATGAAAAAACCGCTTTTGTGTAGACCAAATGATTTCGTTTCCTCTCTTGGACTCCAATGGTTATGTTTCTTCAGGCAGGCGGCACTGATTGGGCAACCTCAACAGCCATGTGATCGCGTTTCTGATTGGCCTATTTTGATCCACCACTTTGTATACCGTAATTTCTCGAATTGCCCCCCCCTCTCGTAAAAGCCCCCTCCCCTCGAATAAGCCCCCATCCTAGAACTACAAATTGTCAATATGCCCCCCCTCGAATAAGCCCCCACTGCTTTCGACACCCTTAAGAGTACAAACATCTGTCTATAAACGTTATCGACACTCTTCTGCTTACATTCGGCCACTCTCCGACATTTATTCTGAAGGTCGATACTCTGAGTGTCGGTTGAAAAGTCCTTCAGTATGCAATGTTTATCGTAAACAAAATCATCCCAAGCCGACTCTGGGCAAGCTGGGCCAAAACGTAAGTTCTTTCCAAGCCCTTTATGGTATTTTTGCACATAATCACAAGCATCGCGGATCCTTGAGAAAAGTGGGGGGGTCTAAAAAAAGTGGGGAGGGGGGCTAAAACCGTATAAAAAAAGGTTTACTGGAAGTTTATTACTTAGTATTTGTCATTTTTTGCAAAAAGTTGGGGGCTAAAGCCCTGCCAGCCCCCCCCTGATCCGCGGTGCCTGTTAAATCAAACGACGTTGTTAGCTTTTTAAAACAATCTAATGCAAAATACAGTCTTCTTTTCTTTACAGAGGCCTAAAGTGCAAAAGTATTGAACTGGCTCGACAACATTATCGCTGAAGGTTACTGGCTCGATCAACTATGACAAGGGCCCTGCTCATGATACTAACGCTCTTTTCAGTGCATTACTTTGCAAATTGGCACCCATTGACAGAACATGGAAGCTAAAGGCGGCAAATGAAAATGGCCACTCTACTTCATCAGGTTGTTGGCCACTGACAAGTGTCTCTAATAATGCACTATCATTGTATAAGAACACACTTTATAAGAAAAAGGAGGCTTGATTTGCAAAAAATTAGGAAACACGGAAGAGCATGCCCAGCCTAAAAATGGTGAATTGGAAGGAAAAACAGTGTGTAATTGAAGATTTTCGAGCCTTGGCAAACATTTTCTGTTTCTGAAAAAAGAATTTTCCCCTCGAGGCACTTCCCCCTCGTACTGACAGTCTATCAAAGACGACTTTTGTAGCAAGCATGTTCTGAAATGTCGGCTTTACGCCAAGGAGAGACCCAGGGTGAAACTGATCGGATGGTGGGGGCGGTGGGGGCGGTTAGGGTTTTTCAAATCCGCCAATAATTTTCAAAACTGTTCTTTTAACAAAACAAAAATAAACTTTCTTTTGACATGTTTACCCCTAGAATCTGTTCAGGCCCCCCCCCAATACAATGTCCAACGGTCCCTTGATCCTATTAAAAGCCTCACCTTACAAGCATGTGTAGAACAGATGCTAGTCTTCTTATAGGCCACTAAAGCTCGATTGACCGGTTAATGACGGCTTATCTAAGACGGTTAATGAAAAACGACTTGTCTACATGTGGATGGCAACCCAAAAATATCTCTGGAATTGTGTACCAGTTTGATGGCACATCTTCTGCACGCGTGGTAATCAACTATACAAAAAGAAAGTTGGCAATATCTCTTATTCAATCCCGAACCAATTGTTAGTTTTTATCTACTCTGCAAAAGAAAGGGTATCAGAATTTGCTTTATTAGCGGAACCCTTACTGTGGTTCAAGTCAATCCATCACCCTCGATAAAGGAAATCTGGCAATAATCTATCATAGACCACAGGAGTTTAAGCGGCTCAAGTGGGGACAAAGCGACTAGTAAATAGATATAACTAGGGGTGGGTGTGGTCCCAAAACTACTCTGCTGCCCCCAAATTTCATATTTTTTCTTTTGTGTTGAAAATAAGTTCTCAAAATGGTTTGCATATTTTGATTTTCCTTTTGTTTGGTTGTTGCTTAGTAGAATTTTAGTTCCTTGTCTAAGCTTTGGATCATTACAGCCAAATGGTTATCAGAAAAAAACCAAACTTTAGATAAGGTTTATTGGGAAAAGACCTTCTATGAAAATAACTTCACAGTCTCTTTTATCTAGCCAGTTCAAAATAATATTGTACATTTTAAAAAACCAATGATTGATTCCATTGGATAATTTTGCACAGGGAATTTTATCAAAAAAGTCAGATATCAATGCAACGATATAACCCAGTCCTTAAATATTAGCATAAAAGATACCTAAAACTTCTGATAACAGTCTAAAACTTCAAACGAGTCAAGTTTGTCGACAACAGATAATCAAGATGGTTGCAGACTAAAGGATACTGTTTCATAGAGATGCATAAAACAAACTGTTCCATACTATCTTTACTCTGACAAATCATTTAACAAGATTAAAATAAAATTGCAGTTATCATTTTAAACATATTTCTATAAAAAATATCAGTGAAGCAATGCTGACTTAACTATAATTCTATAGCTTTTTTGAGCTTTTTTGCTGCCTGAATCCCAACATTATATAGCAAAAATTACTCAGAACTGTTGAGCTTCTTTGTAAGCTCCCAGAAACGTCCACGAGAAGATTTCTTGGCTCTATAATTTGTAAGCACTTGGAATCGACTTGCCTGTCATCTGGTATTTAGAAAATCTTAATGATCAGAGTAATTTGGCGTGATAAGCGTGAGAGAGTGATGGGCGACTATAATAGTGCACAAGTTCTGCGCTTGTGCAAAACTCTCAAATTTAAAACTATAACTGACATGAATAGTGAGATATCTTTTGAGTCGAGGGTAGTAGCCCCTATTTGTAGGCAGAAACTTGTTGGAACTGAAAGTAGGGGCAGAAAATAAAGACATAGCTATTTGGTAGTGGAACTAACAAAGTGAGGGAACCAACAAGGTGAGGTTGGTTTCTTCACATGCCCCAGACTTCTTTTATATTGATTATAGGATACTAGGATGTCGTTGCTGTTTATAAATTATTGTAGGCAACTACCGTAAATCCTCGAATTGGCCCCACAGCTACAGTAAATTCTCAAATGGGACCCCTCAATTTGACGATTTTTGCCTATGGCGTTTTATTGAATTACCACAACAAATTCATACTTTTGGTAGTAATTAAGTAAATGCTCATAAAGAAATTTCTACAAAAATAAACGAGGTTTTTTTATTATGTCTTTTTAATGTCAACAATAATTTTATAAGCCCCCCCCGTCATATAAGCCCCCCTCTCGAATAAGCCCCCATCCAAAAATATCAAATAAATAAGCCCCCAGGGGGCTAATTCGAGGATTTACGGTATACAAATAAGGGCTAAATTAAATCTTCTTTATATTTCTCACATTTAAGTCCGTCCTGCAGAAGCAACGTTAAACACGTAAAAAAAGGCGTTTTAAACTTAAAGTTGCTACTTAAATTAAGTTTCTATAAAACACATCTACTAAGTCTAAATTAATTTTATGAAACAACAAACAACTAAGAGTTTATTTTACAAGATAAGCATTGAATTAAAATTGCAATTTTTGTCATGAAGCTTTTTGTCTTCTACTGTATTTTAAGAAAATTTTTGTCAGAACAAGGTTTAAAATTCAGCAGTGTGTTGTATCAGTCATTCTGTCCCTTATTGAAAGAGCTTCAAAGAAATAAACAATCAATATTGTTATGCTTCATAAATATTATAGGTTTGCCGCAGTTATCAGTTGGACTCAAGATGATTTTTAAGAAGACTTCAATCACAATAGTCGATACTGGGGGCTGAAGACGAAGTGAAAAAATTTTGTTATGAAAGAAACTCCTTCAATTCCCAGACCAGTCAAGCTTTTAGCAATCACATTGTTAGACAGGCAATAAGAATTCGCCATCTCTTAAATGAAGCTATTTCAAAAACCCCTTCGTTTCTGTAGTAACTGCACATCATTGCTCTCTTTAAATTGTTTACATTAGGATATTAGCTAACGAAACAGAACTCCGTTAAGAGAGAGCTCAAGAGACGAAAGAGGTCTATGCTACAATAGTCTCTGTTTCTTTTCCTTGAATCTATAAACATATTCCAAGTCATTTTCGTTTGCGTAAGCGAACACATTTTCTACTAGAGGGGGGCTGCAGCCATATGTAAAGAGAACAAAATATTCTAAATGTAAGCTTTGTAAGAAATATTTTACTGGGGTCATAATCCTGGTCCGTTTGCGAAGTTATCTGGTCAGTTGAGGACATTTTAACGTCACTTTCGTGTTCTCGTGAATGGCTAAAACAAATACCATTCTAGAGGAACTTCAACCACACGAGTCTCGCCAAGATATACCTAGAATGGTATTACCCCATGTACCATTTTGTTTTTTGACTTCACAACATCTAAATCCAGCTTTACTGCACAACTTCGAGCTCTAATGTACGTAGAACACACCCATGATACTAACATATGTCCATTTATCTGTCAGTATGTAGACATAGTAAATCTTATGTCCAGATTTTAAGTCATCTCCATTCGTTTATATACACTTCCTATTTTATAATCATCTCATTGTTATCTAATTCTAAATAATTTCATAATATAATTATTATATATATAATATTAAAACACATAATATTTAACATAACAGAATCTGAATTTACAAATATTAACTACAGCAAATCAGTGAAATTTCGTTAAAATAAAGAAAAAAGTTTTATTTTCAATTACATTCATCAAAGGCATGCATTTAGGCGTTGAAAATTTTCTTTACTGTGTAACCCTGCAAAGGAACACCACAAGTTTTAATGACCTTTAATTTAAAGTTAATATTTAAAAATCAATCTTCTCTCTGTTTCAAGGATTTGAAAGTCAAGAGACAAATGATGGTGATACATTAGGTGAAAATTTTGTGAGTGCTTTCATCGCTCCTCGATTGCACCATCATCGTTCATATTTATTATTTTGGTATAATTGCCTTGCTAAGTATGAATAAGCCATTTTAGGCTTACAAATAAGAAACTTTATAGTACCCTTCAGCCTAAAAGGTTTCTAATAAATCAGAGCTATCCAGAAAGTTTTTGAATCTAAAAATTTCTTAAAAGTGGTTTCACATTTATGAGGCCTTAGTGTAACATCTGACGTCATCAACTAATATCAAAAGGAAGAGAAACAGAAGGGAAACAAATGAGGCAAAAGCACAACTGCCATGAGTGAGAATAAAAAAATTATCACAAGGAAAGATTTAGACTTTGAAACACAGACAAATCAATAATAATTCCAATAATGGGATGATTATCACAGTTTAAATATCAAGTTCCTGTATTTATGTCAGCTTCTTTGAGTAAAATCATTAGAAATATAGTAGGTTTTCAAGAAGATCTAAATTTCGGGGAATCATTGAAAATACAATTTATTTAATACAGACATCTACTTAAAAGCCGAAGAAAAGAGCAAAACGATTGAATAGACGTAATAACCCGCTGGAAAATTAAGTTCAAATTATTTTGTTTTGCTTGAGGTTGGGAGAAATAAGCCATAGCCAACTGGCATATTGAAAGGATTAGTTTCTGTTTATTGGATAAAAAACTATCAATAACAAGTGGTTTATAACACATGGTCTGGAATTTCTGAGAAATTGAGTAGAATATAGGGCATAATGAGTTCCACAAAGGGCTTAGCAATGTGGTTGACGCAATGGAATAAACTGTAAGCGTTGAAAAATTGACCGCGATGTTTCTGAATAGACAAAAAGGGTGTGCAATGTTACATTGGGGGTATTTCATTGAAGGGTGACTTCGCGACACAGACAGATTTACCTAAAAACTCCTACAGGGCAGACAACCACGAGCCTTTAGACCCAGGAAAAGGTTTGCTCGATAATAAGCTGAAAAAAATCTATATCTTATAGCAAATTATATCAAAAGAGTTTCCAAGGTTCCTTTGGCAATGTACTAGCTATGACACGTTAAAAAGGCGTGTTCAAAGATATGGGAATCGGACTAACTGAATGTTAATCTTGACTTATCGCGACTGACACGCCAAAAATCACTTTGGTGGATATTTTAAGAATTATACTCTGTAGAAAAACTTAGAGTATTGTCCCTCAAAGATCAGTGCCTCCTGATTTCCCCTATAACAATTCCTTTTGGACAATATTCTCTGACAAGGAAATCCAGCGAAAAATGATCTTAAAATCCAGGTAGTAAGTATCAAAGATTAAGAATAGTTTCATATTCTGTAGAAATATTTCAGAAACGAAAGAAAATTTCCATCTTTAACAACACCTGTTGCTAAATGTGGGCATATTGATGTGGAGATATTTACAATTATCACACACATCACGAGGCAGGCACATTTCAACCGCATCAAAAAAGGCTAACAAAAGACAACATGGAGGGACTGGATGAAGGAAAGCGAATGCAACATGTGATGTTCTGAGCATATTAGACAGTTTAAAGCTGTTACAGATGGCATCAATTTCATCAATTGATTAATAGATATTGATGGAAATAATATCATAATAAATACTGTTTGATTAAAAAAATCCACAGTATCATTCATGTCAGAAGGATTTATTGCCAGGAGGACACTTTTGGGAAAATAGGAACGTAATTTGGGGAAGAACTTTTAAAGAAAGGGCACTTAAGAAACTAAATTTTTTATAGATATATTTTGTCCCCCTGTGACGTCACATCAACGTGTTGTAATTAGAAAAGGGCAAGAAGCATCATGTTAAAAAGCAGCGGTGCTTTTGAAAGCATGACTTTGGAAAAAGAATACATTGAAAACAGAATAGCATGGCTGTCGAATCCTTAAGAAGTTCGATACCTCTAGCCCCAGACATAATTGAAACTGTATAGAAATCTTTTTAAGCACACGCAGTTAAATGTACGGAGGACAGAACAAATCAATGCTTCATTCTTCATTGTAGTACCATGTGTTCCCTACAGTGAAATCAGAACAAGCATTCGTATTTTGACACGTGCCTACTACAGCGAAACAGGCACCACGGATTGTTTAGTAAAGTGGGGGAAGGTGTGGGGGTGGGGAGGGCTTAAACCGAATAAAAAGAGGCTTGACTGGTTTTCTATTTCTCAACTCTTTAGGCTATAGTCCCCCTTTAGTCTCCCTTTTCTGCGGTGCCTGCAACGAAACTATCCCCTCAGGGCCTTCAATCGACCAACAATCAATCAAACAACAAACTTCCTTCTCGACCAATCAGAGTCAAAGCCAGATTCTTGGAAGTAGTCATGTGACAGAAAAATAAACTTTCTGGTACTAAAAGACATTTTATTTCAGAAAATAATACGGATTAGACTTCAATCAGTTTTAAAAATACCGTAATGTTTTGATGATAAAACGGCTGAAAGACATCCTTAATAGAAGTTGATTCAGCCAATTTTCATAAAAGTGCAATTTCATTAGAATAATCCTTTCATTTTTAATGTCCGTCATCGTTATTGTAAACCAGTTATGTTCTACTGTCGAAAAAGCCTTCGGAAATTTTTTCTTAATTCATATTTCACAAAACATTAAGCAATAGAAAAGCTTCAATCACATGAACATTGAAGATAGTTTTTCGCTTTTAACTGTTCATGTAAGGCAATTTGTTTATACCGTTAGTACTCAAATAAGCCGCCACCTTGACACAAGCCCCCAACTTCGAAAAAGCCCTCTCCCTCGAAAAAGCATCCTCCCTGAAGGGTTTTTGTAAAATAAACACCCACCTTCGAATGAGCTTTACCTCGAAATGGCTTCCACCCCAAAACATTTTTTGCAAAAATATTTAATGGCATTAATGTACACGAAAGTAAAATACAACTTGGCATACTCACAGGCATTGAATAAAAGAAAAGTCCCATTAGAGCAATCAGCAATCCGATTACCAAGAATTTTAGCAAGCAGAATTTGTACTGCTCCCAAATCATGTACCGTAGCGATTTGAATGGATTCATGAACCAAGTGAATGATGTGTCCGGACGACTGTAGGAAAATGGAGATTTAAGGAAATTGAAAAAGTTTTTCGTTTCCTAGTATTTGCAACGAGATGTGACAACATTATAGCTTGAGATTTTAAAGCAAATTTTAGGTCTTTACTTTATATCAGGTATGCAAACTAGAGTATTTAACTGGTAACCTTCGATTGCACGGTTAAATATTAAAGCTAACTGATAAACTTCGTTTTGCACTTCTTAATCTAGAATAACACACAGTAAAAGTTCAAACATGTTAATGGAGATCAGATACTTAAATTTTTAATTATCAAAATGAAGACTTATGATAAGCCTGTTTTTGCTGAAATTCAGAAATCAAATAATTTGAAAAGTGACTAAAATAAGCTACATGAAACTTACTTTGGTTTGTCGAGAGGTTGCGGTTCTTCCCGCGCTAATCCTGCGGGAGCCTTTTCAGCTTCCTCTTGCGTCAGTAATTCAAGCTCCGCTTCGACTTTACCAGCAAGCTCAATCTCTTCCAAGTCAGTATTTACTGCGAAAGGCCACCAGCCCTTGATGTGTTTTAATTTCAAAAGAGATATCGGCTTGTCTGTTTTCATCGTGTCCAGGTTGCAAGTTTTTGCAGTTTTGGCACCACGTGGCATCCGAACCATGTCTAGGCAGCAGTCACCTGAATGAGAATTTTCCAGCTGATTAAGGCCATTCTCATCACTTTAATGAATTATAACACACTTCAAAATAGTAGTCTGTTGGTCTTTTAGGAAAATTTTGATACCAAATTTTTGAAAGCTATACCGAAAAGGCCGAAAACCATTTCCGTCAATTGTAATCGAATGCAATTCAATTCAATATAATTCAATGTAATTCAATTCAATACCATACAAGGTAAAATTTGGAAAATCTTGAGCCGTTTTATTTATAGAAACGCCACCAACCAAACTTTTGGTTAGTTGGTGGAGTATTTTTGTTTATGTTTGTTTATTTTACCAGGACTACTAGGAAAACAGTGTAAATATGTAAATATGCATATCACTACTGAAGTATTATCCTGCATCAATATTCGAGAATAATGAAAATAATAATGATAATAAAACTGCTTCTTACCAATAAAATCGTCAGCAGAAAAAGCATCTGCATCCCAGACTTGTAGTGTCAGCCTCGGTGGCACCTTCTCTTCAGATTCATCCCATGAGAAGAAAGTGGCCTAAAGAAAAATACATTTTTTAAGATTCCTATCTTAAATGCTGATTCTAAAACATAGTAATGGGTTTGGTTGGTTTCTAAATGGCGTATAAAATAAAAGAGTCTCTAAACAGCCACCAAATAGCACTCAACGATAGAATACTTAACAACGGTAGCAAACGTACGGGGGAAAACGAGAAAAATACACAGTTCTTTGAGAAGTTTAACAATTACATAATAACAAATCGTTGATGAAATATAATATGTTTGCCTGTTTTCGGGATGTAGGAAAGTCATAACAGTGAGATCATACAAGATTAATTAAAAACAAAAACCAACGAAGAAAATAGCTGAGATAGTATCAACACTTTAAAAATGATGCAAAGATGCAAAGCGAAAAATTATTTGAAACGAGGAATAATGTTTTTCACAATAATTAAGGCATTATCAAGCATGACTTTTTCCCTTTTCATTTGTCAAAATCTTTTCTTTAAAAGAAACTTGCCTTCTTTTTTATGACAATCTTTTCCTCTGCTTTCTGATATTGAAATGGAAAAATAAATCGCCAGTTGAAATTTCCTTCTCCAGTTAGTGACCTGAAAAGAGAAAGTCACCCCGATCACACCTGCCGTGTAGAAGAGAGCAAAGAGGATTGTACAGTGGCCTGAGCAGAATCATTCTAAAGCTGACAGTTATTTCTTTCTGGAAAGATTTGCCAAATAATAGAAAGTGATAAAAAATAACGTTTATGAAATTTTTGGCTTAGTCTTTTCAGCTATCAGATTACTAGACCAGTTTCTACAGTTTTTTAAAATGTGGTTGTTAAAATTAAGGTTGATAAGCATTTCAGGGATGTTTTTAAAAAATTAGTAAAGTATCCAGAATTCTACAACTTTCTCTGTTTTTTATGGAAAATTAGTTTACCTGTAATGGACATCTGTTTGTTGCTTTTCGTCTTTCATTCCTTCTATCCACCTTAAAGATTGATAAAAGATTGATATTTAAAGCTGATGACGCTGCTCGATAAGCTTCTCAATGTCTTAAAAACTACCTTTGGATTCCAAGAAGCAAATACAAGTACAAATACAAAACTAATATGATTTACACTAAATACCTTAAGAACACAGATATATCTTCGTAGCTCATTTAGAATCAAAAACGAAATTTGAATGCATGCTTAAGAAAGAACGTTAGTTTTCCTATTACTATGAGTCGACTGTTAATTCAAAGTCAGAATCTGTCGCTTAAAAAAGTACTGAAACTTCAAGATGACATGTTCTCCTACCCTTTGACGTAAATATCACTGCAAGCCTCTCCTGTTACTATGTTGACCTCGTCCATAAGAACGTCTTCTGTATTCCAAATGACAACACGTAGCTCAAACCTGAAACAAAATTCAGAATATAAATAGCTATTTACAATAGGCAAAAAATGAACATTAAAAATTTCATTCTAATGTAGAAGTTTATTCAGCTTCTCTGAAAAATTCATATACTGGGTATTCTTATAAAAGCATTCAAAAATTACAGATGCCTATATTCTTGTATCATGATATCAGAATTTATAGATTGAGGATATAACATTCAAGTCTACAAAAAAAACACAGAGTGCTTCGGAATATGGCAGCCATTGATAAAAACAGCTCTAAGAGACCCTAGCCAATGAGCAGCCTTACTTGAGTCGATGGCCTAAAACATTGATCTAAAGAACACCAAAGGAGAAAAAGATTGTTTGTTTGAAGGTATAGAGACCGTTCTAGTATGTTTCCAATTTATTAATAGTTCCTATACCACATTTAGCCACAACAAGAAATTTAAAGCTTGCGACAAATGATTGAGGCCAAAAGAGCAGACGTGGATTAAAGGAAAACTTTTAACACATTAAAGTATTTCTAGAGGAAATTTGAATGCTGAGTTGGGCGTTAAGGCCACTTTGCATTGCAGTTTTGAAATGTGTTTGAAGATTTGGGTTTTTTGGCTGATGTCATAATTGTAAAGTACATAACTGAAAGTTCAACATCGGCTACAACTACAACAACTAACGAATTGCTTACGAGGCCGGTTTCCTTGGTGTTATATCCACAGGGGCACCAGGTGAAGGCATATCCATGGCAAACATGTCTATCCACATTTCAATTTTGCCCTTTGAAAAGAATGACATAAGAATCATACCCATAGAATGCGAAAATATACTCATAGTGTGAAAAAAAGCAATTGAAGGGGAATTACGTAACACGCACCTGTTCGATCCCAGGCTTTTCTGGATTGTAAAGTGAGCGCGTTTCGACATGTTCTGGTACAAGATGGAAACCCTTTTTAGCGATAGTATGAAAATTGTGCAAGGCTTTTAGAGCTGCTGGTTCATCGGACGGCTTGGAGGATCCTATTTGGCGAAGAAAATACAAATTGGTTATTCAAGTCATGTGAACTATGATATAGAAATGTTCTCAAAAATAAGAATTAGAGATTTGAACAGAATCAAAACTTTTATACACAAAGCAGACTTTGGGTCAAACAAATGCAGGAAAATTATGCATACAAGCTGCACTTTTAGGCCCAAAACAGGAACATCACAAAAATTCCACATGTTCGAAACTGGCTATGAGAGGGGGGTAGAGGTTGCCAACAAAGGTTAATGAAGCTCAGGCCAAAGTTTTGTTATAAATAATTCATTCCTAAATAAAACAATTCTGTAGATAGACATTCCTAAAGACAGGAAAATCGCGTCTTTAGTCTATCTAGGCTGACTAGCCCTTCTCAAGCACCTAAAAAAACTGTTTCGAAAAATGAGATCTTGGGTAAAAAGTGAATTTGTTTTTATGGAGTTCAGCCTGCTTTGCTGCTTTAATATAAAAACAAGCCAAATAGGAGTAATTCTCAATGTTATCTGTATAATGATTCTCTACAGAAACTTTAAATTATTTAGAGAAATATTTTTTACAGAATTTTTCATACGTTTTGCAATTTCTTTCGCTTTGGGGGAGATGACTACTGTTGTTACTAGGCAAATCAAAATTTCGAAAGTTTATATCAATAATTTTGAAAAAATTCAAAATCAAAGGAAAAGAAGAAAATCATAATAAAAACTCTGTTTACGCAGAGTAAACCTTTTCAAAACTCTAAATGTTGCTATCAACAAAGGCCATGTAAAATAAATGTAGTATTGAAACAAAGTGTTACTGTAGTTGGCCTATTCACGTGTGAACGAAAATAGCGTGTAGCAATAAAGCTCCATTCCACGTGCAATTATAAAATAATACAATTTCCTATTTTCCTATTGAGAAGATCATGTCAAAGGCAATGTTCTGAAACTACATTTCTATTAGAACAATCTTAGCTTACTTAACAGCAAATTAAGCACTTGACTTAACAGCTTGGGAATCAATTACATAAGAATAATTGTGAAGCTAGATTGTACATACCAGCTTCATCTACAACAGAGCCTGCACCAGAAAAGATATGATTTTCTATTTTGCATTTTCCAGGAGCCGTGTACGTTGGACCATCCAGGCCTTCGTCTTTGCAGAGGCGTGCAAGAATCTGACTGGGTTTCATCGGATCACGCCATTTGTTGAAACCAAACCTAGAAAGTGAAAATATTTTTGTCAAAAAGTTTTCAATACTAAGCCCAACAGAGCCAATGAATAGGACATTTCTTACTTCCCTATAAAAATCCTTTTTATTCATTCTGCAGCCTCGATAGGCCATAAACTAAATATAAAATGGTAGATTCAATTGCAGGTAGACTAGCCTGTCATGTATTCCTAGCGAACGGTTCTCAGTACTCGTCCAGCCTTTATGTTCTGGCTAGAGGGCAGTTGAGTGGCAGTATTTCATTGCTTTAATGGGTAATTCACTGCAGCTTACTTAAACGTACAATAAAAAAATCTTTGTAAGCGCAAGAGGCCGGATATCTAGAGGGGAATGCAGGACCCAGCACCTTTTGATGTGTAGTCCATTAGCAGCTTTTAGAAATAAGTTAGTTTGGAGCAGAACCTATACATTATGTGTACTCAAGGCCTTTGTTTCACAGATTATTCAATTCATTAAGAAAGCATTAAACGCAACGACCAGGATCCCAGTTTTGAATCTGTACATAAGCCAATGCATAGGTTTCTCTGTTACTCGCTTTGGGGTTGAAAGAAATTGCATTGATTAAGGGTAAGACTTTATCAGAAATTAAGATTGGCCCAGATTAATCCCACTCTTTCAATACAAATGCAAAAAAGGATGATGCTACATGTAAATAAAGTCAAAGTTTGACTGCCTGATTAATCGTTTTAAAAAAAGTATATACACTTCATAACAATATCGCCATAAGAGCTTGTCCGCAAAAGGTGTCCAGAGTTTTCATATTTTTGACAGTCTAATCCTTCATATATTATATCATAATTTATTTGTTGATTTATACACAACAAAATAAATAAGGCTAAAGCAAGGCAAATTCAAATACGATCTTATGCATCCAAGTACAATGATATTTCACGTATGAAAGATTAGGCAGGATTTCTACAAGCTAGATTCGAATCCGATCGTATGAACCAACTACAAGGATCGATCGTATGCCGATCGTATGAACCAACTACAAGGAACAATTATACATGAAAGATTAGGCAGGATTCCTACAAGCCAGTTTCGAATCCAATTGTAAACAACCGATATACAGAGAAGGATGCCATTGACTGCAGTCCAAGCTATTAAACTCACGTTGCATAGGCCTCAGACAAGCCACAGATCGGTCGATGCCTCGAGTAAAACCGGTTCTCAATGTCGATCTTCGTTTCACCGATTAAGTCGTCACTTCCAACTAAATCGTAATCAAATACTCCAACTGTAAGCATGTTGTCCATTGGGATTATGGCTTCGAAGTCAAAGACCCTGAAAAATTCGAAAAAATTAAGATTAAAATAATACTATGTGATGCTATGAAGCAGGTGTGAAGTTATGGAGTTTTAGAAATCAATTCATGTAAAAATCATACCTGCCAAAAATGGGATTAAGTTGTTTTGGAATATAGTTTTCACGATCCTTGTTCTTCTGCTTGCCACATGTTACTACCAGATATGGGTCGGCCTGAAAGAAAAGCATTATGTTGAAAGGCCAAAACAGTTTTTTCGTCATCCTAGACAAGAAGGCCAAAGTTAATACTAAGTTAATTACGTACATCAGCAACATTTTTCTCAAGCCAATGAAAGTGTGCAAAACTCCTGAGCAGAAACAACCTTGCATCATTCGGAAAATTCACTCAGAGTTATCTGTTCTATGCTAATCTGCACAAGGACAGATTTCCCATTGTCATACTCTATTTGTCACACATTTTGATTATACAATGAAGGGTAGACACGCCTAGCAGGCTTAAGGTCATATCTTGAGTCATGACGATCCTTGCCTCAGTTCATTGAATCAAAAGAAGCAATAATGATCCTACTAAGCAATGTAGACAATTCACAAAAATATCTCCTTTATTACCATTCCTTGACTTTCATGAAAAACAGTGGTGAAAAATATGAAAGTTAGGGCCTAAGCTTATTCTAGAGCAAGATGTTGTTGTGGTTTGGGCAAAAAATCTTTGTATTTAAGAGCTAAGATTGCACTACAGATTTGCAAAAGATACAAAATCAAGTCACAAAAATGTATTCAAGTTACAAAAAAGTTCATTAATTATGGTTTATATTGAAGTTACGTGATACAAACCTTGCCATTGACGTCTGTTGGATGAAGTTCAGATGCCTAAGTACAGAAACATAAAAATTCTCAGTTGACTTTGATCGAAAAGAATTGATTCAGGGAAAAAAGGATAGAAGTAAGGCACAGTCACAAACAAAATACAAGGTACATACAACAGTAGAAACTATTCTAGAAAAATTTTGAATCAGCCCAGCAGCTATGCAATTCAATTCCCATGTTGATATAGACAAATTTCAATGTGTCTTATTTTCTACACACTAACTTACCCGTATAACGTAGCACCGGACTAAAACATTGACCGGTTCGTTACTCGGTAATTTTGTAAAGGAACCATTTGGAGGCTCATTTTCGAACATTTTCGGCAGCGGAAATTTCCAGACTTTCAATGCTCCCTGAAAGAAAGATACGGGGGGTCAGGCATGCAGAGAATAAGCAACCACAATAATGGAGGATGTAAAATCAAGTAAGAGCAAGTAAAACAATGTCTACAGAAAAATTCGGAATTTAAAATGACAAATGGTAGAAGCAATTTCAGCATTGAATGAAATAACAGGAATTTATAAAATACCGTTGAAATATCCCCTTTCGCCATTAATTAGTCATGAATAAAGATGAAATACGCTACACAAAATGTTTCTTGATGTGTGTGTCACGAAATAGTATCAATTTGCTCAGTTTCTTTATTCTTATTTTGAATCAAATGATACTTTTCATCAAACCTTGGCCAAAACAACATGAAGTATTGCTAATCAAAGCAAGATAAGAAGGGTATTGTAGTTACTCTGTGTTTTTTTGATAAAAATCATTATTAAGTTTATGTGCCAAATCGTATTATGAAATTCAGAAAAATTCTTGGCTAAGATGCACAAACTAGGATATTAGCTAAAATGTAATGAAAGTTGAGAAAAATTTATCAAATATGATTTCTTATTAAAATGTCCAAGAACTGCTTTGGTTGAACCTCAGCTGTCTGGAAGATTGTTGAAGTTCCGTTGAAAAAAGTGGCCATTCTTGAATTTTGCAATTTGATCAGATAGTTTGGCATGTAGTAATTTCGATTCTAAGAAAATGACGTCATCATGTACAAACCTTGAATTTTCCAACAATTCGATGATCATCATCCTCGTCTTCGGAAGTCTTCTTTCCACGGAAAAGCGGAAACGAAAACAACCAATCATTGAATCCATTGAATTCTGCCATATTCTCAAGTGCGTTGTTGTAAATCTACAAAGAAAATTATAAAATTGTCTTGATTCAACAACGTTTCGTAAAATGAAAAAGGAAAAACATTGCAAAGGGCGATAGTTAGTTTTGTCCTTGAATAGCCATTTTTCAATGATGATAGTTGGAAGCCTCGAACGGCTTGCGAGCTTTCAGTTCAGCCAAAGCACGAGACGAGATAAATAGCTTAATCCTGTGTCTGTGATAAATAGTTTAATCCCGTGCCTGTGATAAATAGTATAATCCTGTGCCTGTGATAAATAGTTTAATCCCATGCCTGTGATAAATAGTTTAATCTTGTGCCTGTGATAAATAGTTCAATCCTGTGCCAGTGATAAATAGTTTTAATCCTGTACATCAAAGTTGATGATGAGAGAATAAGCTGCTAATCACGAAGTAGGCTCTTTTTAGATTCGCAAGCTTGCATGTACAGAATAAAATTCATAGGCATACAAACAGCAAAGCTACAATCACTGCCAAAAGTCTTGGAACACTAACGTAGGTTTTCAAAGGCAAATTCAGCCATCCCCCTCTCCCCCTAGGAACAATGTTGATTTACTTTAGAAAAAAGAGAGGGGTTATGGAGTACGCTTTTTCTTGTGGATTGTTTGATATTTTTCTATACTTTCAACATTGTTTTGGGGGGAAAGGGGGGCGGAAGTGGTAGTATTCAAGAAAACAAATGAAAAAATAGAAAAGCACAGCCCAAAGTGTTAGGTGTTCCAAGTAATTTTGGCAGTGATTGTAGATTATTTGTTTACATCTGGCAATTCTTTGTTGCTCGCTAATACCGCAAATATAACTTGAATATTGCATCATTTTGGAACGAAATATCTTGCACGAAAGTTCTTACAAATAATGGAACTTCATCTTTTATAGATTTTTCTAGTGGATACTCGTAAAACCAGTCAGAGATCTAATTGATTTCAAGTGATCGCTTGTTCATTTATTAACTTATGAAAGTCCAACGACACAGTAAAGTCCAACGAATTACAGATTTGCTCTATGAAAGGTAACTAGCTAATGTTTGATAAATTTTATAATTTGTGAAGGCCTTTCTAACCGTTAAGTGTTAACAATAGGCTCTGTAGTGAGGTTATATTTGAGAAAATAATGAGAAAAAGTCTCGTGTTGCTAATTTGATAATGCAACAATAGCCTATTGTATAGCCGAGCCAATAGAAATTTTAAATGTTAGTTGAAATGCGTCAGGAGATAGTTCCTTGAAAAGAAAACCATAATTCACCTTGATTCTGGTGATTTTCGGGTTTGGCTTCTTCTTTCTTTTCGGAAGATCCTGATCTTTGTCTCCTTTCTTGTCCTTCTTCGAAACAGCGACATCTTTTTGTGCCTCCTTCGCCACCTCTTCCTCCTGTTCTCTCTCACCGTCTTTGACTGTCTCATAATACCTCGACCACCAGTCAAGCGAATCTTCATCGTCATCATCTTCTTCCCCTTTTCCTTTGTCTCCTGGAGGTTTTGGCTGCAAGTTAAAGGAAGAATAGTAAAGGAGGATTAGTAATTGATATTTTCAAACACAATCCCTAATATCTACCTTTGCTATGAATAAACCACAGTTAATTCAGAAATGAGGGGTAGACTAGAAGTTCCCACGTACCTTCCTCTCCTCCACATCGTCGCCAAAGTCACCAATTTCAACAATCGTGACATCAGCAGATGGCGATTGTGGCCTTGAGGTCCCTTCTTCATTTGCTGTAGATGAAAATATATTTGGTTAGGTTCACCATTTATAGTAACTTGTAAGAATTAGGCAATAATTATTAGATATATGAAAATTATTAGCGATAACTGAACAAGACAGACATTCCTTAATTTCTAGAGAAAACTGCTAATTTCGTAAGAAAAGCGTAAATCAGTTACTGTTTCATGATATCAGTGTATTAATATCTCATTGTATGAATGATTTACTGTTATAACGGACATTTCCCAACAACAGAGAGCTAAATAACGGACACATTCTAATAACGGACATTTCTAAACAATAGACATTTCTCGATAACGGACACCTCTCATTAAAAGAGACCTTCTAATAACCGACATATCCACACAATGAACACCTCTAAATAACGGACAGCAGCCAATAACGGACATACCTCGATACCAGACACATTACAGTAACGGATGAATGAATTTGTTCCAAATGCTTTCCGAAATTTGTCTAAATTACTTTCAGTGTAAAAAGGCTTTCGAAAGCAGCCTCTAGACAACGGGGACCTCCTAACAACAAACATTTCCAAACAAAAGACATAAAAAACTTGCAAAGTGCAGTACCTCGGGTCCTGCTTGTGCCCCCTATATGAAGGGTTTACTCTACACATGGATCAACAAGCATAAATACAAAATCTTTAAACATTTAAGCATTAAATAATTAGATCTTTAGTAAGAACTAAGTATGATGTTATAAGTTATTAAGCTTCTTCTAAGCACTGGCTTGCATAAAAACGAAATATCAGGATTGGTGATTGTATGAAGTGTTAAAAGTTTTCAAGAGAAACAGCAAGTGATAGAATTATTGATAGGATAAACGTGTAACAGTTCTGGATCGTATTTGGCGAACATCATTCCAATAAATCAGAAAGTAGAACCTTAGCTTTGTTGTGAACAAGTTTCATTCTAATAAAAATATCTGATTAAGCTTTTCTTTAAATTTGAGATTAATTCAAAGTCATCTTATAAGAAAAAATCGGATACTCCAGTAGCAAAATGAAAAGAACTGAAAGATTTGGAAATGTGTCTTATTATTTGCAAGGTCTCACAACTTCCGTGATGGTGGTTAATAAAGTGTTCATTGGAGTTAACCACTTTCTATTCCAAAGAATCTGATGGTACTTTCACATGGTAAAAATTTTCTGAAGAATGTAAATTCAAAGGCACCGTGTACCATTAGACAATCGTTTTGGTTAACAACAGGTTTTCTGATGTGCTTAGAATGGAGACATCGGTCAGTAGACACAGTATTTCTGCTGCAAGAATAACCAAAGGAATGGCTAAAGGTCATTAGTGTATTCTAGACTGATATTTTTTAAAGTTTCGATTGGCTTTGAAATCCTTTCTTGCATATTCTGTTCAGATTTTTCATTTCTCTGAACATCACTTAACACGAGCGCCAATTGGACCACAAAACAATAGCCTATTGTATAATTTGACCAATGGGAATTCAGATAATCGACGGGAATCAACGGGACAGTGTCATTAAAAGGGATTATTTTTCACAACTTACATCTGTTTTTCTTTGAGGCGTCAACACCTAAACCAAGACGAAAATTGGAAAATATTTACAGTTTAGGACCAGGTTATTTTCATTAGATAACGATCAGATAAAGTGCATGTTAGCAGTGAAATTAAAAGATCAAATTAATGCGACAGTAAAATGTGAAAAAGGATGTTATTATAAAACGAGTCTGATGTTGTTCCAGAGAATCGACGTGTTAATTTCTAATACCTAAATCAGTGAGTCTTATGGCTCGTTATGGGTCAGAGAATTATTACGGGTAAGAGAATAATGCTATATAGACCCGAAAGTTATACATTGAAGGCAAAGGTGGTGCTGGCGAATTAATAAATATGCTTTAGATGGAGAGAAAGCTATTATTGCTCACAATTTGAAATTTGTTTTTTTGTGCCAATTTGGAATAAAAAATAACTACACCAGGTGTCCTGAATAAATTGCATTTTAAAGTTTGATTATATTCATCTTGTAAAATTGTCTTTTATAGAAAAATAGAAGTGATTCAATATTAGCTCAATGCGGTATTGATCAGTGAGGAGCAAAATCTAATCCAAGATCTAAAGTAAGGTTTTGAAACACTGGAATGAATCGTTCTAGCACACATATTGATTTTACTGGTTCTTGGAAAGACTTGCTTATAGCCAAATAAAGTCATATTGCGCAAAGAAATACTGCATTCAAGGCAGCAGGATTTCTCCAAATGCTGGCGATGATGAATTAATGTCCTAAATGGGTCAAATAAATTCACTTACTCTTTCGCCCCTTTTTCCCTCCGAATTCTGCAGGCAAGGCAAAACAGGGAAATGTTATATTTAGAACAGTTATAGTACATACATTTCGTGGAAAAGAAAAACGGAGATTGAAGAGGGAGGGGGGGGGGGGGTGAGGGGGAGAAAAGGTGTGCTAATGAAAGATTCGTGAACCTGTTTACGTTAGACAGATTTGACTCCCAAAAGTGGGAATAAATGTAATGGGAAATTGCTTCCTTAAGAGCAAAGAACGAACGCGATAAGTTTGTGAAAAATATTGAAGTAACTGAAGTGTTTGAGGATGTGAAAATTGGGTAAGGTGCATTTGTAGTAATACTGATTATCACTAGGAAATGTGTTGGAAATTGAAAGGTTCTGACAATGGAAATGTTGAGCCAAAAGCGAAATAAATTAATAAATTTTGCTATAATAGAACTAAAAAAAAATTAGTCAAATATTCAAAATTTAAAGGTGCTAAAAGTAAATTTCGACAGCCCAGACAAAGCTTTATGTAATGTCCAACTCACTTCCAACGAAAAAGAGTGGCATTTGAATAGTTAGTGAGGTTGCGTTTTCATGCTAATTTATGTTCCTGGATATAATTTTTGTCAATTTTATATTTGATGATTTTTATTTGACAGCCACAACTATTAAATGGTTATCATCCACACATGTAATAGTTAATTTAGAATATTAGCTATTAGTTTAGCAGGCAAACTATACATTTATATTATTCATTAATTCATTACTTACAACATATTTAACATTAAATGTTTACTGACTAACCAAGCCCATGATTGAGATTTTGCAGATGGAGATAGACTCAAATAAAGCTCTGATGTAGAAAAGAACATCTCTATTTTCAGTAACGAATGCAACAAAAAGTTAATCATTTATTGCGACCAGCTTTCAGAAATGAACCAATGAGGTGTGGAGTAATTTTTCTTCAGAACAAGAAAAATATCACAAAAGGCTGATCAGAAAAGGTGATTATGATTAAGAAACCAAAGAAAAATAAGAAGTGCAGAAAGACACCTTTGAGTTAAATTTGATAGGAAAGATAAGATAAATTGCAAGTATGAAATCGTAACATAGCATCTCGGGGGAGGTTTAAAAAAGTATCGTTTTTTTATGTTTAAAGAATTATCTTTAAATTTACCAACTATTTTTTAAGACAATTTATCCGTTAAGCTTGTTTAGTGATGTTTTTATTTGGTTTTTAGATTTTACCGTTGTGTCTACAAAACATTGCTGTAGATGCATTCTCACAACTTAGATATTTCAAAGATTTTCGCAGAGAACTCATTATGGCAAATTTCATTGGCAGAAAACTTTATTCATTCGATACATTTGACTTGTGTCAAGGGAGAAAAGTAGTAAGCTAGCTTTATAGACTTTTTCGATCACTCTGAATAAAATCCTTTTCCTTTCACAATTGTTTGAGCAGTTCTGCCAAAAGACCTTTGGAACGTTTTAAAAGACAAGGTGAAAAATTCGTTGGCCTAGGTAGAAAAATTCTTTAACCCTATCGCTTCATTACAAAACAGTTTTAAAAATGAATGCATCAAGTCCCAGCAATGCTTTGTGACTGAATTTAATTTTTATCAATTACCTTCTCCTTCTTTACTTTCCCCAGCAGCACCAGCAGCAGCAGCAGCATTCGGCTCCTTCGCAGCCTCAGCGTCTTTCTTTTCCGCTCCAGGCTCTGCCTCTTTAGCTTCTTCTTTCTCGCCTTCCTCTTGCTGTTCTGCTAAAGCATCTGCTGCCATCTCTAATGTTTTATCTACGTCCATCTCTTGTTCTATATCACCAGAGCCCTTTCGACTTGGTGAGCCCATCTTGCTAAGACCGGGTGTCCCAGCTCTACTAGGCGCCCGGCTACCCAACCTACTAGGCGCCCGGCTTTCTACCCTACTTGGTACCCGGCTACCCAGTCTACTGGGCGTCCTGCTACCCATCACCCTATCAATTATACTACTAGTTTGACTTCTAAGGCGTTGCACAGGGGTGCCATGCACGTCATTTAGTCTTGCCATGTTCTTTTCTGAATCTATTTGTGGGGAATCAACTGCGTTTTCAGTTTTATCGTACAAAGCAATTGTTTGATTCCCTTCTATATCAATATGTATATCATTAGGACCTGCCCACTTTTGGGAGCCAGGAGTACCTTCCACGGGTGTCTTAAGTATCCCATGAGAGGGCGTTCCTGTCATACTAGGTAGCTGTAAACGCGATGGCCTACGGGAGCCAGTGTTTTTCGGCGAAAACGAGACATGGTGTGGTTCCTCTGGTGACAATGAGGCTGTAGGACTTTTCCGTCCACTCTTTTTGCTATTAGAAGCAGATACAATACTGCCTCGTTTACTGTCCTTTTTGCCTCCGCTTCTAATAGAGCCGGCGGCACTGATTACTTTTTTCAAAGGTGTCATCTTGCTACTGCCTAAGGGAGTTTGCTGTCCACTAGTTTTTTCCGCACCCGGATTTCTAATAATCAAGTCCGGGCCTGCGTCTAGCTCATCTTCTGTTTCAGGTTCGTATTCCCCGTCTGTAACTGGTTCAAAATCATCTTGCGTTTCATCTAGTCCCTCTCCAGTCTCATCTAGCTCTTCGCCGCCCTCTTGAATCGTCTCCAAGGCAACACCTTCTGCATCGGGAGATCCAGCAATATTTTCAAGGGCGGCCTCGCCATCGTTAGGAGGTGGAGCATTGGGATCTAAACCTTCAGCCTCTCCTTCTTCGTCTTTGAGAAACAATTAAATTTTAGTTTTTATGATTTTAAATATTTAAGCCTGCACTTGTGTTTATTGATATTTATGTTTAAGATTTTGTAAAATTCAATAGCTACATGACAAAAATATTGATAATTTTATTGAATCTGCAGATTAAGGAATATTTTAGGGTTCATTTTTAAAAACACGATTTCAAGCGATTTGGATTATATTCACAAGCTTTAAAGGTTCTTGATTATTTAAAGTTTAACCGAAGTGAATTTTAAAAGCTACGGGTTTAGATTTTAATTGTTGGAATTCTTTACTGTTTCTTTTAACTTTTAAATTTAAAATATCTTAATTACAATACAGAATTATGCCAAAAAAGTATTCGATCATTTCATATATCGGTACTTTTGTTGAAAGGCCCAGGCTGTTCATTAAAATTGTATAAAATTGTGGGTTGTACGAGACAGAAGATTTAAAAATGATATGATAGTTGAAACAGGCATCATATCTCTCATACCTGGCCCTTTCTTTTGATCTTGCTCAGGTGGTACTTCAATGCTCTGCAAATATCTGTGAAGTGAGTTTACAACGTGGGTTCCAACCAGCGTGAAACGACCAAACGTACGACAGTCACGCACGCGTACTGTCAAAGGGGGACAGTACCGCTCGTTTTCTGGCAGCTCCTACGAAAATACCCATCATTGTTAGAATTTGACGCCGCAATATTTATACACCTTAGTCTTAGTACTAGTCTTCAGAGACTAAGCCTTTGACATTTAAACTAAACACAAGTTAAAAGGATTACCTCAAATAACATTATACCTAAAATTGAAAAATATTTTCATCGTATGATGGTTTTTTTTGCCTGGGTATAGATAACTTCCAATAAGTATCGAAAACTTAGTAGAGTAATTCAGTCTTGTCGAAACCTTTGCCAAATCAACTAAGCCATTGAATTTGCCCCAATAACTAGAATAAGAGTTTAAATTTTGCATGCGTCTAATGGCTCACAGTTGCAAACCTAAGAAAAAAGGAGAGAGTTAAAATTTTGACAACGTTACAGTTACCCCAAAGACGCCCCACACTTCCAACAACTTGCCTGGAATCTAAAACTTTTCCATGAGGGTAACAGATAAAATTAAGACATCCTTGTTGTTCTAATTACATCTATATAAATACTTTATATAGGTGTCACTAAAGGACCAATTGGTATCACTGCGAAGGGTTCTCTACAACTAGATTCAATAGATGTTGTGAAAGTTTTGTATAATGAATAAACACTTACGACATCAAAGAATGCAATTGGAGAAGAAAAGTTAGGGTTCTTCTTTGCATTCGCAATCACTGTTGACGTCACGACGTGACCTGCGCAGTCGATATCAACTTGTGGCCGATCAACAGTAGTGAGATTTACACGTTTCATTTCACGAACTCCCCAGAACAGGACCTGGAACGAACAAAATGGCCGTAAGTGAAAAGCTTCCTGACCCGAAAGTAGGATAGAAGATTGATATGGACGCATATTTCCAAATTTCTAACAGGTGAACTCTTGATATTTCTTCAAAGTAAATAATTTTAGCGACTCTCTGCTGGCAGTGTTACCAATAAGTGCGAAGAAAACGCTATTTAAAGCAAAAATAAATTTCTGGTAAGCTTTCTTTTTCTTTTTTTATCAAGGCTGAAATAGATTTAACAATCAGGAATATCTCTTTTCAAGTTTCTACAAATTGCAAGAAACGGGCAAACAGGTCCCAGTTTAGCTACAGAGGTCTTGTTAACATTGAGAAAATTTTCAGCAGAAATCCTGGCTCTTTGAATGATCTGAAAGCACTTCTCTGTCTATAGCAAATAGGAACCTGTTGGTCATGCCAAGAAGGCTTCAGGGAGGGCAGACTATAGATACTAGCCATGATGGATTTAAACTGAGGTAAAAAAGCAGCTAAAAAAATCCCTTGCCCTATTTCATTGTGTTCTTGTCTCAAGGCAGGTAATCTAAAACAGACACGTTCTCAACGATTCGTAAACAGAGCTTTTCACATGAAATACAGTATTTGCAAACACAGTTTTATTCAAGTGATTCTGTTGAACTGATCATCAATCATTAATTGAAAGGATCAATAAACGAGCCAGTATTTTTGCAAATGAATTTCGCGACAAGCCCTCCAAAACGCAAGAATCTTGAAAGAGCATTTTAAAGTTGTGGTCAAAAAGAAAAAGGAAATACGACGCTGGTAATTGCGTCTGGTAATTTGAATATCATTTGTTTCGTCATAAAATAACAGTCTTTGTGTCAATCTATTGTAGTAATCCTTGATAAATAACAAATTGAGGTTCTTCCGATAGCAACGGCGTTTGAACAGGATATTTGAGAAAAAGCATACCTCAATACGATGCTTCTTCATAACGGGTCTGATGCCGTCAGGTACAGGTATTATCGGCCCATCCTGGGTATTTACTGGTTCCTCTTCTTTTGGCAAAAAGCATTTGCCTTCATCGACAACCTGGAGTATCAAAACGTACATGATTGTGATGGAAGGTAACTTGCCATATGAAAAGGTGGACATTATCAATGAAATGAATGTAAATGTAGATATATTTTCTTATTGATCGAATTTGTCAAAAAACAATGAACTAAATGCAAGGAAACAAGGCTGAAAGGGTCTAACGTCACCCCCCCCCAGCCCCTCCATCATCTTCGTTATTGGAAGAGAGCGTCTGGTTGCAAAGAAGACTTGCTGTGAATGTGATGCTAAACCAGAAAATTCACATTTAAAACCCTAGGCACTCGGCTCATATCACGGTCTTTAGGATAATTAGTAAAGGAAAGTTAACGTTGCTTTCTCTCGCAGAGGGTTGCAAAGAGATATATGCTAACTGTTTCTAATGAAGCAGTTTGCTTCGTGTTAGAAGCTGCTATGGAAATTATTTTACAAAAACGTTGCTTAGCAATAACTCACATGTAACAGCTCAAAGGCTGCAAGGAGTTCACCAGCTTTTTCGTCGCCCCTTTGAATCTCAAACCATTCTAAAGCTGGAGGAAAGTTCGGCTTGTCGTACTTTTCTGTAGCGAGCTTTACGATTGGGCGAGCTAGGGCTCTTCCAATAAATTCTGAGTCACCCTAAAAGAGAATACGATTCGTGTAAAATATCTTCTCATGGGCTTTCGATTAACCTAGATTGTAAAAGTTTGGATAAATTGATGTCTTAAATGGTATTGTCATCTGCGATAAGATCGAATGATAACAAAAGCAAAACAAGACATGTATGAGCTTATTCAAACGCCTTTGTCAATCGAGGATACAAGGTTCCTTTCAAAACTGATAAAATACATTTGACTAAAGGGGTTTTTCTAACATACAGATGTAGAGAAATGGAAACCATACCCCGATATCTTTATCAAATATTTCGATAACAATTGTTGGTGGATTGTTTGCGGTTTCATTCATATCTCCCCATATGACACACTCTTTGAATATGAGTGTTTGATCCCACGTTGGGCTCCTGGTCTCCCAAATTACTCGGGTGTCCGCAGCCATTTGCCCAAATATCACACGTGCAAATGCGTCTAGATGTAAATAAAAACAAGTCGTAACCAAATTAAAAGATATTTGTTAACGGTAAAAAGTGTATTTTGTTACTTAAAGTAGCGTAATAAAGACTAACTAACATTGAAAAACCGTAGAAAGGTCAATAGAGATTGCATAAAAGATTATGATGATGGGAGCCTCATGAGAGAAAGCTCGGAGTCAAAGCAAGAACTGTTTTTATGCATATTACAAACGAAATTCAGTCTCGTTATAGAACAGTCTCGGTTTTGAATTTAATACTACATATTGCAGGCACAAGGAGCCGAGGAGCCGGCAACACCCAATCTTCAAAATTTGGAGTTTCAAGTGCCAGAGGGATGTGTTATCAAACCTCTAGCGCAGTGTACCAAGATTTTGTGAAAGCATGCTTGCTTTATGCAGAAAAGAGTCCTTAAAGCTGTAGTGAGTCTGCTTAGGTCTGTTCATTATCAATTTAAGCGGAATAGTAAGTCAGCCAAAAGCTTTTACCTGAAAGTCCAGAAGCATCGCTGCCAATAAGACTTCTTGCTTGGTAAATGTGCGCCCTAAGCATGAACTTTTGCTTCTCTGTATACACCAGCTGATTTGGAGGTGGTGACATCATCTTGTTCATTCCTTTCGGCTGAAATAGTATAATTTATGTCAAAATATGTCAAGTTATGAGTATGCAAAAAGAAGCTACTGTATGCTGCCTAGAAAAGTTTGTCAAAGTAAAAGAAAGCAAGTACATAATGGATAGAATATGGCGGTACTTTCAAAAGGCAATATCACCATGATTCCTTGTCATAAAATAGCACTGTGTTCAGAAATGACTACTTCCCATTTTAAGAAACCAGTTTAAAGATAGAAGTGAACATCTAGTCACCAGGAGTAGAGAAAGCAGCTATCATTACAAAACCCTGATGTAAACAACAAAGTTCTTTGGCTGTTCCCTTGCTTTGCATTATTGTCGAAACTAGCACTTCCTTCCAACTGGGGCAATCCCAGTAATTGTTAACTAAATTTATATAAAATGCCATCTAAAGTTAAGAATTTCTTACGTAAAAGTTTTTCTGAATGACAGAATCTTGTTCGTTATTGAGAATTTCAGAGGTGACAAAGGGATAAAAATACTTGCAATTGGTTTCTCCATGGATTTGATACTGTGCATATCTTTACAGTAAGAAAATCTAATTGGGAAATTTGAAGCAAGAAAGTGGGAGAGATCCAGTTCTAATTTATTTTTTTGAATTCTTAAAAAGTAATGGAGGAATCAGAAATCAATAGGATATACGTACTGTTTGATAACCCTTTGGAGCATCTTTCAAATAATCTTTTTTGTGTTTGTGCAAGCCAATCCATAGAAGAACGTCAAGTTTAGCCTGAATCGCCCAACCTTTCGGCCCATCACCTCGCTTTCCGGGAAGCTTAGAAAAGAGAAAGTTCGAGTTTCAGGATAAAATTAATTGTTTCTTGGGTTTTAAAGGTATGTATGTAACATATTAAATAAACATTGGAGTTAAGATTTTATAGTTTATATCTTAGAGCCTTATTCTTGGAAAACATATCCTAATATAGGGGTAAATCCAAACATTTCCTGCAGCAAAAGCTAAATTCTTTTTAGTTCATTGAAGTTTATTTAAGTTTATTTAAGATCAACAACAAAATTGCTTACATGTTATATGTTGAAACGACCTTAATTTTAACATATAGCTTAACGATAACGGTGCCATTGGCAATGATTGCAGCCTTCACTTTTTCGAATAATGATCATCATGATGAATTATATATAGACAGTATAATGGTCAAAGATGATCAAAACATTCTATCTAGTTCCCGAGAACAGGCTGAAAGATGAATAGCAGTAAAAGGAAATGGTTTCCAAATTCGATTGCTCACCCTGAGGAATACTGATTGTACTTTTCCGGAGTTTCTACCTTTTTCCCAATCGACTTGAGAATAAACCACGTGCTGAGCTGGTACCCTTGTATATGCGACGCGTTTTCCACCACTTAGCATCCAGATGAAAATATCAGGTATACTATGCTGAGGCTGTGAAAGCAACAGAAATTATGTAGATCGAAGTGCTATTGAGTTGGGTTTACAACCTTACAAGTATATGCTATCAGTTATAAGTGGAATCAGGTCAAGCTTAGAGAAACTTCGATGATCGGGGGATAATACAAGGTGCAGCGCGTCTTTCAAAAGTCGAGCCTTTAACAAGCGGGTCATCGAATTAAGCATGATCAATTGCGGTTGCTTGATGATCGAATTAAGCGTGAAACTCGGAGTACAAACTTAGAGCTTTCCTCTTCTATATATCATGTAGCGTGTAGAGATCTGCCTACATGGAATCGAGCAAATTATGACAGACCGGTAAACAGTAATTTCAATGAACAATAAACAATGGTGTATAACTTTTCCTTTCAGACAAAATTCCTTGTTCTAAATAGTAGTAATGTGCCTCATACCTCTGCTACTATTGTTTGTATTCTTTTGAGAAACTCCATTGCACTTCTCAGGTTGTCTCTGATCTGAGTGTTATCATGAATGCTTTCTAGTACCACTTTGCTCTGTTGTGCAATGCTTCTCTGTGATGAAAATTTTTCAAATTGCATACATATCACACAAGCATTACATGTATGCATTGTGGAGGAGGGGGGAGGGGGGGGGTTAGTTAAGCATAGTCTTTGCCGAGTTAAAGCTCTTTCTTTCACTGACTTCTCGTCAAATGAATTCTCATCAAATTTAAAATACCTGATAAAAATCTTCTTGCTCACACATGTTTTTGTTTTGACAAAGTTTACCCTTACCCTGTTTAAAAATTTTGGAAGCCTTTTCTTTGCTAGAGAGTTATATGGCCTTCACGACACTATTTGTTATATACATGATCAGATCCTTATTCTCGGAAAACATGAGCTAATACCGGGGAAAACTTAGACATTACCTGCAGCAAAAGCGAAAGAAAATTAAAAAAAAAGACAAGGACAATTCTTACAGCTCTTTGACTTACCACTTCATTGATACAAAGCTTTTGCCTTTCCCTGTCCAGTTTTGTACGGCCTACAGTTGGGCCACTAATTTTGTTTTCACAGATGTTGATAAAATTGCTGTGAAGAAGAAAAAGAGGTAAATTCTAGTAAATCCTCCTTATAACAGAAAATGAAAAGTTGGAGACTGAAAATAAGTGTAGATAACTATAAAAGAAGCGACGTCACTTCATTTTAAAAGCCAGGCAAAGTTTTAAAAATTCTAAAATCAATCAACAGCAAATATCAGCAAGAATTAAAAGAAATGAGATTATTTTTATTTAAAGAGGTAATTATCAACACATTTTTTATGCCAAGGAGCCTTCTATACTAGCACTATAGACAGATATTGTTTATTTATTTGATAGACAAGCCTTTGCTGTTGTATGCTATGAATTGCAACAGTTTGCAACAAGGATGAGCAATGGTTCCAATTCTCTTTACAATGCTCTTTCCAAATGCAATGGCTTTTAGAGTTATGCAACGATGGATGGATCTCAGGGAGTCTTGACTCACCCACAACCCTTTATAAGGTCCTTGAATACAACTTTCAAGCATTTGTAGGTGTCTTCGAGGTCCATTTTGACTCTTTCGTGTACATCGTCAACTCCGTCTTTCTGTAGAAAAAAAGGACCGAATGAAAATGCCTTCATCGTTCTCTCCAACGTCAAGAGTCATTGGTTGTACCAAATAAACTTTTTACAAAGAACCTAAGTTAATTGAGAAATCAAATAATGAATCGCCTACAGGATCAAGAAATTAGGGTTTATCAGGGAAAGACAGATTCAAGATGCAAGAATCAAAGCTCTGAGATGAAAGATGAACAAACACTTGGTTAACAAGCAACGCGGCTTTACTCTTCAATGTCAACTGGAAATTCCCTACCAGTACATATAACTGCATAACAAAATCAACAGAAAGCTACTATTATCAACCTTTTAAATTTGTTTACTTCTGAAAATATCTCTGAGGGGGTAATTACAAAAGCGATACCCATCCAGCTCAGTAAAGCAAAACCACAGAGCACCTTCTAACATTACAAAATATATGATACCTTGAAATGCATATTAAAATTTGCCCCTTACTGACCATCTTTATCCGGGCTTGTTAGCAAGTAAGTGACGACACTTTTCGACATCACTAGACAAATTCGATATTCACAAAGTAAAATGTTCTGCAAAAATCTTTCTGTCAGTACTGGACTGTGCTTTCAAGAACTCGAACCCCTGATAACACGAACTGTATTTAAATTTCCTTCAAAAATACCATCGAAGCTTATACAAAGCAGAGAGTAGATCTTACCAGTCTCTCGTATATCTTGTACAGCATGTTAGAGAGATAAAGTCGTCGTCTGTGATCCTGGAAGGGAAACTTTAAATGCATGCACGGTTTTGTATCTTCAAAAGGAATGTAGTAGTATTGTCTATCGGTGGATGTCGGCTTGAAGGACGGTGTCAGCGAGTGAACAAAGCGCTCGTCGTCCCCATCTGCTTCATCTTTGAGGTCATCCCGGATAAACTGTCCATCGATTGTATTGCCAAAGTTGCCTGGTTTTAAATAAAATATTACTTAGAAAATGGTTAGTTGTGTGAAAGGCAGCAGAAAATTGCAAGAACTGCCGAGCCTTAACAAATTTCTAAGACCTATTTTAAATTGTTAATCCTTTAATCATAAAGCGTAGAACATTTAGCTAATGATAGACACATAAACCTTCTAAATACATGAAGAATTGGTGTGAACTTTATAACGCATTTTTGTAGTTTCATCCATTGTTCAAGATTGTCTCGAAATAGTTTGCCTGTAAATGTTATGTCTCAAGTGGCTCAGAATTGGTATGAGCTAGCAGAAGTAAGATTGCTGTTTGATGCATATGGTAGTTCGCTCTTGTGCTTTTAATTTTTGGGAATGATTGCCGTAACAAAAGCTTCATTGAATCCTATTCGCAAGACAAAGATACAAGAAATGACACACGAAACCTTAAACATGAAAGACGAGTTGACGGCACTTGTTACAAAATTTAGATTTAGTATCAGATTGAGATTTAGTACCAGGTTGTGGTTCAATGCTAGACCAAAATTCAGCACTAGAAAAAGAGATCGAGTACCAGATTCAGATTCAGATTACCTGATTGATGTTTAGTACCAGGTTGTGATTTAGCACCAGATTATAAATGCAGTACCAGAGAAAGAGAACCAGTACCAGATTTAGAGTCGGATTGAGACTTAGTACTGGATTGATGTCTAGTACCAGATCGTGATTTAGTACCAGATTGCGATTCAGTGCCAGATTGGACTGAACTGAAAGCGTGCCGAAACCTTAAAACTCTTACATGCCCAGATACGATGACTGAAGATCGAAAGCTTCTATCAATAAGTTGCAGACTTACCAATTGTCATTTCAAATTGGACATTTTTCTCGCCTGCTTTTCTTTCAATCATGTTTGCCTCATAGATGCAAGCAAATAGCTGAAAGTTGTCTTCTTTGCCAGCAGCTGTCTATGGAAGAGAAATGGCACGCTCCTTTTTAGTTTGAGATAAATATAAAAGAAGACTGGTGTAACATATTCAATGTAAAAAATTGCAGAAAAATATATACAAACGACAGGTACTCACAGCTTGAAAACTGTGATTTGGGATGATAGTTTAGGAGCATCGAGACAAATATTTAATCTAAAAAACTATATTATGGAAGGAGCGTCTGGGTGGAACTAAAGTGGAAGAGTGGAGGTGGTACTAAGTCTCCTATCACACTGCAGATTCGTGCTCTACAGCAATTCCATGGCCGTAAGTAAATATATCAATTCCATTGCATTTATACATATCAGCGAGAAAGTAAATTAACACCTAAAAGCAATGGGAGCAAAAGGACATATAGGCGCAACCGACGTTTCATCAAAATGCACAAAGCCGGTTGGACACAAAATGGTCCCTTTCATAGGAAATCTGCTGGGAGGAGGGCAATTATTTCTATGAAATGGACACAACTCTTGATTTGTAAACAGAGAAATCTGACTGGGGCTAGATGGGCAATGCCTCCTGATAAGCATGCTAACAACTGGTACATCCACATACATCAGATATTGGCGCAGTTCCATCGACTTCAACTTGTTTAATTGAAGCATCCGATGCTGATTCGCCCATTTCTGCTTGAACCGCTACCAGCAAATGCCCTCGATACGCGACACCTTCACCCTTGAAGGAAACAAGAAGAAAATTCAAGGATTAAATAAGAAAATACTCCTTTTTCTTCCAATAAATTTTTCGAAGAAAATTTTTTTCTCAATAAATTTCGTTCTCCCGGTTGTTTATTTAGGAAAATTTAAATTTTTTAAATCAAAGAACAATCTCGGAAATAAAAGAAAAGAACAGCTAGGAGAAAGGGTAAAATATGCATAGATATCAATTCAAATTATAAAGAAATAAAGCCTCAAAATATTGCCTTAAGATATCTTTAAGCGAAAAATAGCGCTAAATAGAAAAATTTAAAAGCAAAAATAGGACTTTGCAATGTTTATTCAAGACCTCTGACACTATATTGAACTTTTTAAATGTCTAGTTAACATCTTACATACTCTATTAAAATAGTAATATTCATTTAGATTAAGTATGATATTCATTTAAATTTATTTAACCATTATCATAGAACTCTAGGGTTTTAAGAATATATTTTTTCAAACGATTTTAAGCAGACTACAGAGGGTTATTTATTCAAGTTGATTTTTTTCATGTTTATTTGTCATTCTAAATTGTTTATTATTTCCTGACTAAATTTTAAATTTTCCGAATTCTTACCTTTTCCTGGTGGCAAGTGTATAAAAAAGAAAAAATTGAATCATTATTCATGGAAATTTTATATACTTAAAAAGGTAATTAAAATTATGTTAGTTGTTTAAAAATGAAGACACAATATTTTAAATTTAAAGTTCGATAGGCGATGCACTTTATGATTTGAGCCTTCATTACATTACAATGTATTTATCCATTTTTCACTGATTATATTTTATGAAGCACATCTGCCCTTTGATAATTCGCTTCCGCTACATTTTATTCATTAATAAGCCGAGGAATTAGCCTAACTGTTTACAAAGTTTATGAATATTTTTAATTACATTTATAATATTGGCAAAGATTCTGCTTTAATTATAAATAATTGAAGATTCATAAGATTCATTTAAAATAGATTTAAATTATTGATTTTAATCGTTAGAAAAGAGGTTCATCTTGCGAATAAATTGGCTAAAGAAAGCGAAGTTTTGGGATGAGAGTTGTTCAGCCGTTGGATTTTAGTGGGCAGTTTTATTGCAAAGACAACAGAGGCGGGGTCAGTAGGCATGCAAGTAAGCATGTTATTGTGCCACCAGCAAGGCTCAAACGTTGGCATTCTACACCAGTAAATGCCTGCAAGATTCAAAATGTTCTTTTTTCTTTGACGAGAAAGAATCGCACGAATGGTGATCAAGTCGAATCTCCAGAATAAAATCTATTGATTAATGAGATTGATAAGAGGTTCCTTCATCATATTGCCAGTGTGATGCAGATTTATTTGGACCTACTGGCAAGAGAAACGAGCGAAAATCTAGAAAAGTGCCAGGCATGAAACAAATCCCCCAACATGGAACTGAAGAGCGTGCTTGACCATACGCATGTTTCTTTTAGGACGGAGGGTTGCCTCACTCATTTCTCTTGTTCTCCCCCCCCCCCAACAATATCACTGAGAGGACTCAAGCCAAGATGGCAGCCATGATCAAGATATCAAAACGTGTGCTTGCGATTAACTTAATCGCACTGCGATTCAAATTGTGATTAACTAAAGCAATGATTATTCAATATTCAAGAATACAAAGTACGTTTTGACTAAACTGAAACAAAGAATGATAGCGTTACATGTTCAGGCCACAGGTACCACCATTTTAAGAGACACGACGATCTTTTTGTTACGAGTAGGAGTAATTTATAGGAATGAACCTCTGACGTATTGAGCTGTGCTGGGAACAGCGAGCCTCAATGTGGAGAAGAGGCGACAAAGAGTTTGAAACTCAAATATCAGTTTAGATTCAACGAACTGTGACAATTAAAGACTGTTACTGCTTACCAGTCCCTCGTTTAGGCTGTTATGTTCATCAAACAGAGAGAAATCCCTCGTTGATCCATACAAATTGACCCAACATGGTCCAAACGTCGGCATGAATCCTGTTGAAGATTTCAAAGAATCAGTGTATTGAAGTGATACATTTGAATGCACGACTTCTTCGACAACACTTTTTTAAGAACTAAAGACACCATTTTTGTAACTGTCGCTCTTTTGAAAAGAAGACGTCTGCAACGGACAAAAGTTTTAGTATTACAGTTGCTTACATAATTAAATTGAAAAATTACGTATATACATCTCATGCCGCCAAACCAACAACTTTGCCTGGTGTTTTCCGGAGTAACGATGTGATTGGAATACTGTTTAATTCGAGATTTCACTGATTCACGCTATCCAGGAAAGCTTTGTGCCTGATATTATTCTAGAGTCACCTATTAGGCCAGCAAGCTCAAAAAGCGACTGATCCTCGACTCTCCTACATGCAGATATTTGGTAGGGAGGATTTTTTACTTGTTCATAGGCCTAATCTCATTTGATTTTCAACTGCATTGCTTGGCAGTTGCAATTCGTGGCGTCTCGTAGTGCACTTTGATCTTTCAAACCTCAAACTTACGCGATGGCGCTTACACGTCAATGCTTCGTGCCTAAGGCTATTGCGTAGGTAAAAGTGGTAGAGCATGTGTAAAAACATTGACGTATTAGTGGTTGCGCTTTAAAGGTCCTTGTAGTACTCAAGTGTTTAATTTTATGCAGTATCGTTCAGATAAACTGTTAACTGAATATTATCATTATGTTGGCACAATAATGGTTAGGCGAATGATTGCGCAGTCATTCATATGTAAGAACAATTACATGACAGAGACTACGCAATAGTCCTAATGCAGTAAGATGGCCACTTTTAGTAAAGCTTGATTGAAAGCCAGTCTGAGTTTGACTACAATACGTTCAAATATATGAACATTCTGTTGCCTTATGACTTGACATGTCAGTCTGTTACGAAACGCTAGTTCTTCTGTTGAGACAGATTGTCAAGATATCACTGATTTCGAAGTCTCTTATTCAAAGGTAAATCAGTTGACCAGTCATCTGCTACTTGTCCATGCAACTTACCTTAGATACCAATAACTGACCTTACACTTATCGTTGCTCGTTAAAGCAACACTTATCTTCTCTTACCTTCCAGAGACTAGTAACAGAGATTAATTAAAAAACCCACAATACTCTCTTTTTGATACAGTTAATTCTAAATTTTTTTGCATGTGCGCAAGAACGGAAAATTTCTAGTGTGGGTTCGGGGGTTGTTAGATGGGGAACAGATTTGGATGCTTTAAACGCAACATGTAAAGGCTACTTTTGCAAAAAGTTGGGGGTAGCTGCTTCTACATATCAGATCTATGACCCAGCTTTATGAAATATTCCTTTAGTAGATTGCTCGCACATTAACTGGAGTTTAGATATCAAATCAGATAAAGGTTGTAACAAACGTTTTTAAACTTCAAACGATCTTTTGTTTGGTTGGAAATAGTTTAAAAGCGTTATGAAAATACCGATGTTCACAAAACAGCTGATCTAATCTTTAGAAAATACAATTTTAGAATCACCAAGACTTCAAAAAACACCTTTAAGTTATTTATAAGGCAAGTGATTTAATCACTATCAAGAGTGACGCCTTGACCCCCAAAGACTACTTGTCCAGACTTTGCACCCAGTCCGGATAATACACTGCAACTTGTTTTATCAAAAAACAAAGTTTGGCTTACAACATTTGTAGACATTAACAACGTACCAGAATCCGTATTGAATCTGTGGACTGATTCAGAAAGAGGACGATAAGAAAATCATAGAACAACATGAAGGTGGCTAGGAATAATTGAGTGCACATTACTGTAAATGAACAATAGTTAGAAAAGACGACATTTGTACGGGGTGGTATGCTTTGCTATGCAAGGCACTGTGGGCAGTTTAACCAACTATTTTACAGTGTTTTTCACCCTCTTTTGATGCAGGCACTAATAAATAACATCAAGTACAAGACCACATAAACACTCGACTTAATCTTCTTTGCTAAATTGAGGCTAAAATGTTTTACAGGAGAAACTTGTGAAAGAAATAAGTGGACATCATTATCCCAATAAATGTTTTCGGTGGGTGATAAAAATCAAATTAGCTTTGCTTTTACTTATCATTTTCTAAAGAAGCATGTACAAGTTGCGATGGAGCACTACCTAACTTTAGGTACAGATGTTAAATAGAGCTGAATCGTGAATCAATCTAATAAAACGGGGTTAAATACACCTCTCTAAGAACCCCTGGCTGGCAGAACAATTTGTGACAAGCAAGAAAATCAAGTGTTTTTTGGTGCATCAATCAATAGCAGCTTCTATAAAAATAAAACCTACCAAAAGCCCTTTATTTGAAACATCGCGAACAGTGAAAATCGAAACTCAAAACCGCATAAATGTCGTCCTTTACAAATGGCATAAAAAGACAATATGTGCAAAGGTGCAGGATACATTAGTAGTGATATATGCATTAGTTGTGTGCGAAGAAGCATTATCTGGAGAAAATCAGATCATTGAAGATCAGAAATAGAACAGAAGAGGAAGACAGGTGTGCAGTGCTTGTGCAAAGTTGCTTGTGACTTTTGTTAAAGTTTGGTTAAGGTAATAAAAAGAGGTTATGAAGGAGCAAGGCTGTTGGCAACGACTGCCTCTAGATGTGCTGGTCTGAGTGCAAATTAAAAAACACAGGACGAACATACAACAAATAAAAAACACTGTCCCAAGAACACAGTAATGAAAGTTATTGATAATTTATTAATGATAATAATAGACAAATTAGAAATATTTTCACTGAAATCCCCAAACACTAAACAAAAATTGTTATAAAGATCCGACTTGGCAATCTGTTTCCTATAACTTCTTAATGAGTATGCTAGTTATGGGTGTAATCTTAGGTGGGTTAGGGTTAGAGGGGAAATCTTGATTATGAATAAGGTGTAATGTAGTTTTCTCATTTGGTGATATCATTCCTGCTAATACGAGGAGGATAATGTCTTGAAACAAGAAACAGAGGAAGACAAAATTAATATCCTTTACTTCGGCTTAATGTATCAAATTAAGTTTTTAGGGAGGATAGACTTTGCTCAAAACAACTCAAGTCTGGTAAGTTGTAAAAAATATATTTTGCTAGCTAGAAATCCCGACTATGGTATTCAAAGGATAGAGTTTGGCAGTGAAAAATTCCAAAATGGCTACCTATCAATGTAAGTAAATTTGATTTTGGAAAAAATTACGTACAATTAACAGATCCAAACTGAAAAGCAGCTAAAATAGAACAAGAGAATGAATGATAAGTAATAATGAACGTGAATGTATTGATGTATGTATAAGGAAATTTATGTGCCGAGGCTGAGCTGCATCATTGCACACACAGAGCTCAAAGACACATCTCTGATCGTTGCCACCTTAACTTCGCTTTTACTCACAGTCGAAGAGACGTTAAGATGGTAAATACATCATGGGGTTATTGAAATAATAACAATGATTATGTTGAAATTAACATGCCCCAGGGTTGATAAAAAGTTATGCTTGAAGGCTGACTGATCGATCGATTGACTGGTTGATCTGTTGAAGTGATTGACTGTTTAGTTAAGTGATTGAATTTTGCCTAAAAAATACTACATTTCTACGATTCTTAACGTATAAGAGTTAGCGAAAATGCAAAATTGGAGTATGAAGGGAGCAACATTCTCAGTAGTCTGTTGACATTTATAAATTTGATTCTTTTAACTAAGACAAGATGGCTAAGTTTATAAATAATCTATTATATACAATTCCACCAATAAATTTTTATGCAAAATGAGATTTTTAAGCAAATGACGTAATCATTTAGGCTGTCAGAACTATCTTTTATTACATAACTAGCAATTCTTAAGAAATGTTGCACATGAACATATACACAAAAGACTTTGTGGTCTATCACACCTATACTGCAAATAATCTGCTAATGAGCCAAATCACAACTCGTTTATTAATTGGCTGTTGTTGATTGACAGGTACAAAACAACCAATCAAAATCAACCAATCAGCACCAAACCTTTTAAGTATTCAGTGTCATGGCTTCGCTAATATCTCCAGCTGTGATACGTGTTAAACCAAATGAGACAATCAGAACCGTAGTGTTGCAGAAAATCTTTATCCAAATCACAGCTAGCAAACTCAACGGAAAGAGCGAAATCTTAATGCCAATAATGAGACAGTAGAAAATCTCTACAGCCATCACAAAATAACCCGAAAAGCTTGCTTTGGTGTGCAATGATATTAGCTCAGCCTTGCAAAAACAAACGAGGTAACAGCTGATCTTTGATTTATCTGATGTCCAAATGAGGTTGATAACGTCATAAATATAATTACTCAAAAAAACTTAGTTACTGGAAAAAATAAGCAAAATTATGCTTTGCCTGTCTGATAAGCTTGTCTTATGTGCGTCATAACATGATCAGAAGTTGTAATCAGTTTTATCTTAATCACTGGAAACTGTTTGCAACACGTCATAATCAAAGTTCATTGCAAAGATAAACACTTTCAAACGAGCTAGACTGCTTCAGGAGGAATTAGCCTACCCTGATACGAAATTCAGTTAATTTGTCATACATACGAAGAAGCTGGTTGCCTGAAATCAGTGAATCTGCGCTGGCCTATGATAAGTGCAAGGTCTATGGCAAATATGACATCCTGCAAATCACTATGTCTGCCCAGGTGTCAATTGCCGTCCTTCACTTATGTAGGACGTGGCATTAATTATGTAGGCCTAATGCTAGTTCTAGGCTGTGATCTCGGAGGAAAATGATGGGTGATAAATGACACTGATATAATGACACTGATAACAAGCCAATTCAGACGTGTAGATTTAGTATAGAAATAATCTAAATATTTTTTTGGAAAATATTATTGAAAATCCTAACAAAACTAGAAGCTTTTGCATAATAAAATTGAGTATTCGCATTTTGCAATTTTGATATTCCAGCATACATAAATCAACATTAGAGGACCAAACAGTCGAACATTTTCTTTCGAGAAAGGCTTGACAGACACTCTATTGTAGAAAAGGCAACTATCAATGTCTGAGATAACAATGACGATTTCAATGTCCCCACTAATTTCAACATAATTTGTCGTGTAATTGTCCGAAGAGCAAGCAAAAAAGTATCTGTCATCTGTATTCTATTTTCATACCTCGATAAATAACGATCGATTGAATGGGCCTAGATTAAATAGGAGAACGATACACCTAAGCTATTGCACTACGAGAGCCAGAATTTATTGGACCATTTGCTTTGAGCCTTTAATCATTCTTTCTTATGTGTATGTAGTTTCATATCTCTGGTAGTAATGTCAGCTAATAGCTTGCAAGTTTTTTTGGCTATTGAGTGAAACTCAAACAAATATTTGATATAAAACGTTGTGCCTAATTGTAGATACAGGCCGCGTTGTGTCATAGATAAGTTCTGCAACCTTGCAATAATAAATAATTGTTTATCTTAAAAGACAGAATTTTTTGTTGTTATAAGTAATTTTTATAAGTGGATTATTTGACTTTCAACTTCAATGCTTGGCATTTAATTAAGTTCTTAAAAGTGTGTACAGTCATTCAGTCTGATGTTTTTATCTTTGAATATTTGTCTTGTCTATTCTTTAAAATTTATAAGTGTTAATGATATGTGTTATAATGGCAAATGGTTACAAGCAAGGTAAGTTGAGCTTGAGGGATTTCGAAGTTTAAAATTTAAATAAGAATGGATCTACCGAGTGTTTGGATATCCTTTTTAAATTATGAGTATCTGCAAATTTAACAAGACTTGGTTAAATAAAGTTTTAAAATATAAGAGTTTTAAAATTTGATGGTTTAAGGGGAAATTAAAAATTATTTAAATTTAAAAGTTAATGCTGATTAATGAAGTAACATTTAATTGTGACTCGACAACATTTTCTAACCTAGTACTTTGGCATACCATACAACAAAGACAAAAAGACAAAATGCTGAAGAAAAAGAAAGATAAAACAGTAATTAAAACTAAACAATGACAACAGAAAAACTAAATCGAAAACAAAAAGTTTAAATGAGTTTCCAAAAGAATTAAAAAGACACATTACTCACACAAATAAACATGTAACTGTTCACAAGGCAGCAGACATTCTCAAAACTCACACCATCAGGAATATAATAAAAACTCACAATAAAAGACGAAAAATTAAAGGGCATATTAAGGAAGACTCAGGTGGTGAGAAAAGTACAGAAGAAGAAAAAGAGGAACGGTGCAATTTAAAAGTGCATTATTCTTTAGGCTTGTTTATTATTAAGTTCAAATGCATCATAATTTTATAATTTTATAATGTTATTTAAGCAACATCTTAGCAATAAAATAATGCAAATTTTATATTTAAAAGTTTTTAGCAAAGTTCAAAACAAATTTAATTGTTTAAGTTCGGAGCAAAAATTTAACATCTAATAATTTCATTATTTTAAAATTAAAAGTTTTAAAAGGCATTTTATACAATTCAAATGTACTAATGAGGAATTGCATCAGTATTGAAATGAATACTTTCTAGAAAGTTTCCATACGTCCGTAAAAACGATCATTATAAATTCGATGATTATAAACAAGTAAAAGCTCATATGAGAAAGACTTGGTAGCTTTTTGCTCAAGATCAAACATTGATGATGACCAACAAGTATTATGATGGATTTATAAATGTGAAAAAAGACATGAAATTTGGAAAGGAATTACGGCAAGAAGGCAGGATGGAAGTAAAATACTTTGCATAAATTCAGTGAAAAAATCAGTCAAAATGAAGAAAAATGGAATAATATAAAGTTCTGACAAACTAACGATGGGAAACGGTTTTTTATTTAGATGGTGGTAATATTCACTTTATAAAAAATTGTAGTATGCCAAAAATGTAGAATGTTCAGTGTTCAGTCAGGAGGAGATGTAGATGATTAAGGATTGTACTGTAAGAGGATAGGGGATTCTTGTGGCAACCATGGTTGTTTGCAGATACTAGGGTTCATGGTGAAAACAACGCTTATGGCTGAAGCATAAGGTGAAAATAAACATACGAAAGGGTTATGGAGGTAACACGAGCTTTTGTCGGAAGCATGGGTCTCTAGTGGAAAGATAGTTTATGGCTTGTGCAAAATGGTTTCTGATGGAAGCTCAGGGTTCATAATTGGTTCATGGTGGCAACACAGGACTTAAGGTGCACAAAGAATCAACAGTGAACTCAAGGGTTTCTGGCGGAAACACAGTATTTATAGTGAAACAAACGGGTTTCTAGTGAAAACATGGGTTTCTTAGGGAAACACAGGATTTCTGCATAAAACACAGGGTTCATGGTGCAAACACAGAATTTATAGTGGAAAAATTGGGTTTATGTGTTCAGTGCATGATCAAAGACGAATCATTCAATTTTCAAAAGCAGTATTGAGAACAGTTTGCAAACAGCAATTCCAGCCAAAGTGTACATTGATTGCTTTTCCAGTCAAATTTATTTGCAGTAGCCATTGCAGTTTTTCTGCATAAAGGCTTTCAAAATATGCGTCACAAACAACGAGCAAGTGCTTGTAGATTTTTCTTAAACGAATGCTGCTAGTGCACAATCACACGTATGAGAATAGACACAACTGCCATACCATGAACTATTCTGTATAGCTACTCTATATGATGTCTTCGAGAATTCGTATAACGAGAAGGCTGACTGTCACTACAAAGGTAGCATAAATCAACAGGATCATCTAGCATGAGTGACTGTCCTGTCTCAATGAAATTATTACTGTGCTATGCCTCCTCTTAAGTTACTTTTAATAGATGATCATTAATTTAATGCAGAATTGGATGCGTGATCGGAGTAATATCACACGAGCAAAGATGGGTTAAGCCTGCAGCCAAATCGTAAAATCACATTCACGAGAGTTGGTAGTTAATTTTGCTTACAAAATGCGATCATTAATCACTCTGGTGAAATCGCACAATCAATACTACCAAACTGAGTAGCCAATTTGATGAAAATCACATCATCACAGCATCTTGCAATCATTGTGACAGGATTGCTCACTCAAATGTGTGAAAACATGCTAACACTGTCAAGAGGCAATGCGATGAACCTTGCAGTCATTCGAATCAACAGGTGTGGTCAGTTTGGAAAAATCACACAATCAGGTTTGGAAAATTGCGCAATTAGTCTGATTGCCATTTCTCAGAAGATTATACGATGATTTTTGTAGTTTGTGCAATCAGTTAGGCGGGATGGCAAAGTAACTGATAAAATTGTGCCATCACGTTTCGAGGAACGCACAATCCCTTTCAGGGAATCAGGCGACCACCTATGTGCAATCTTCTAGGCGAGATTGCGCAACAGCACCAACAAATTGTGCAATAACTCTTCGAGGGTTGAGCGACGAGCTTTGTGCTATCATTTGGGTGAGATCACACAATAACACTTTACAAACTGTGCAATAAAGTGTGCAATCACTGTAAAGGTATCAGGCAATCACCTATGTGCAATCTTCTAGACCATATTGCGCAACAACACTAACAAATTGTGCAATCACATTCAACAAAATGTGCAATCACTCTTCAGGGGTCGAGCGATCACCTTCGTGTAATCATTTGGACAAGACCGCACAGTAACATTTTACAAACTGTGCAATCAAGTGTTCAATCACTCTAAGAGGATCAGGCGACGATCGCCTTTGGTGCAATCACTCTGGTGCATGGTGCAATCACAAATGCAATCGTGCAAAAGTTATTGCAACCAGAGGAAATGTGTACAAACCCTCAACAATGTTTTCTGGTTCTTTGTTCTTTTTTGTCTTCTTTGCAACTTCGAAAGTGCAGATCTGAGTTATCCACCCTGGTTTGATCATCAAAGGCAAAAGATTCAAATAACAAATTGAAGATTTGAGCAAAACAGTCGATCAAACCGGTTCCTATCTCGTATACAGGAGACAAAAAAGGAGACGAGGAAGACGAAAGTTGACAAGAAACGTACTATTAAATTTCTCGTTGGCTCGATTTGTTTTCAAAGCATCAAAGCAGAGAGCTCTCTTTTTCAGGTGGGCAAATAATTCGTATTAACGAACACAAGATTCTTCAATGAATTGGTACGGACAAAAAACAGACCAGAGTTGTTCGTATTAATACACACGTGCAGTCAGGGTTGGAGGTTGTTGGACAAAACTAATTCCCACGCCCTTGAAACGGATGTGTGCTTCGAGTTATTTGAAACAGAAAATCATGCAAGATGCGATGCTTTCTATGAGTGAACGAGTACATTGAGAAGATATCATGCCTTGGTTATTGGGTATGGAAATATGAAACGAGCTTCTTAATACCCGCCTTTCGAAGTGGATATGAAGTTTAATAACCAATAGAGGAAATAAAGTGTAAAAAGAAGGAGTATGGTGTGATTTACATAGCAAGAACAATAAAAATTGGCAAGGATGTAGAGTTGTAAGACCGTGATGAAAAAAGATAATGAAACAGAGATGAAGAACAAGATGGCAAAATGAGCTAGAATGCTTAGAAATAGCTGAGCGCTCTCTGAATCCAATATTAAATGATACAATTCATACATTCTATAAGAATTGCTTAGGAATTGGCCTTTTGCAAAAGAACTTCAAAGAAAAATTGCGCAGCAAATCTTAATAAAGCGAAATAGTTTTGATGAGAAAATGAAACAAGCCCTTTCATGTAAATAAAAATTGAAATTTCAAGGCACTGAAACTTGGTTAAAAGTGTCATACCATTGGCACCATCGTTGGATATTTGGGACAAATCGATAAAGTGGGTGCCAACAACTTCATCGGTAACTGAGTCACTGGAAAAGGAGAAAAATAAATTGAAATAAATATAAATAAAAGCATTGATGTACAGTTACCATATTACTTCACAAAGAATAACGCAAGCCTGTCACAAATCAAAGAAAAAGGAAGCTTCTTTGGCAAAGAAAACGTCTTCTTGGTCCACCTAGAAAATCGAATCTTATTAGTCAGTCTGGAAATAAGTCTAAAAAATGTCGACGAACTTTACTTGGACCTGATCAACATAAAATTTTACTCAACAAAAGCCTAACCTTACTGCACTTATTCACCTTCCATGTAATAATGATCTGATTATCATGAAATGGAACTTATGTTACATTCCCCTTGCCAACTACTTTTATACAACCCCCCCCCTCCCCCCCCAATTAATACAAGAACATTCGCTATCTCAAACCATTTCATTGGTCTCTTGGAGTTTCGAAATATCGAGAGCTTACTTAATTATCAACAGTTCTAACTAAAAAGAAATTATCAATCAGAATTTTTTTTTAAAAAAAAACAGAATAAACTTGATAGAAATGATTCAGATTGTCATGTAGTTTTGAAGACCAAAACATCCTGATATACAAGATTAGAGAGTCGTTGCAAGATAGTAGTGCTTAACAAAAGTTGTATTTGTAGGGGCACTCTGTATTTGATACTGTGTTCATATAGGCAGTCAAGATATAGACCAATTACGAAAACAGTTGAAAAATACAACGACGAAATGTCCAATTTCATACGCAGTCAAATTCTCGTATAAATGAGGTAATCAAATTCATACCTGTCTTTGAGTTGTACTTTTATTCGTCGACATAGGGGTGGGAACTGCAAAATAAAACAGTACCCAATATTAGTTCAGAATGTTCATATTGTCCTAAATTCATCTGCGTGTGTTAAACTGAAAGCACAAGACGATGGAAGACTTCTCGAGAAACAACAAAAAACCCGAGTGCATGATCTAATTAAAAAATTTCTCAGAAAGCTTTCGCTACTGTGTTCTAAGTTGCTACTCTGAGTTTCATGCTTAATCAATCGTCAAGCAAATTGGCGGAATAGTTGCCAGATGATAGCATTAAGCATGGAACTCGAAGTAGCAACATAGAACTGTCTTGCTCTATTCACAAAATAGCGTGTACAGCTTTGCCTATACGGCATTGAGCAGTTTATGACAGAAAGTTGCACAGTATTTTCATTAGATTTTAACACAAATGCCAAAGACATCCTCGGAAAAGCTTGTCGGCGAACTCAATAAATGTGCAACCATTGATATTTGCTTTGTTGATGGTGAAATAAGAAAACAATTTTTTAAAAAAATTTAGGAGCCAAAGAGAAACAACTAGGATGTAGCTTTTCTGATAATTGCATTACTGTAATTGAAAAATCCATTTAGATCAAACTCATAGATAACTTAAATGCACTCACAAGTTCTGCAAAAGTTACTTGCTCATTCCACTCCGGTTCATATGTGTGCTTTTTGACAGTTGTTCGTGCCTAAAAGAATTCATTGAAAAAATATAACATATCAAAATGCAATAATATTTACAACAATTGAAATAGATAAAATAATGAAATGTGTCAATAAATAAATTGATAAAATATGAATAACTATAATCTAATAATTAAATAATATGCAATATTATTTACTGTAATGTTACTCGTTTTGGGTTGTGAAACATAGCAGTTTTTAAGTTGCAACGTTCAGTGCATTGAGAAATAAACAACAGACCGATCAATCATAGTTTTCATAAATGTAATACTTTACAAAGAAAGGTAAATAAAATTACCTTGTGGCCCGCAAAACACACTTCTACATATGGGTCTGCAAGATCTCTCACCTTAAATGGAAAAAGGTCGTTTTATTAGAGCTCAAAACATGAATATTCTAATAAGAAAATCAACTGTAGCTTCTAAGACATGCCGTGGCCTCATAACTTTATCGAACTGAAATCAGTAGCATTGTTTTAACAAACTAGTCAATTAAGTGGGCAAACTTGAAAAAAATCGAGGATTAGTGGATATAGAATGATTGGTGTCTAAATGGTACTCAACGTTCTACCCTTCATCAAAGGCCTTCTCTATGTTCATTTTACAGCCATTCTCGTGAGCTTGTTTACTTGGATTTTAGAGGCAAAAGTTCCCATTAAAATAGCACGTTTCATTTTTCTGATATTATCTATTTATACCACCTCCAAAATAAATATTTTTACAACCCATGGGCTAGCATGCAAGAGAAAAAGGTACAAGAAAATTGAAACGTAAAGCTTTCTTGACTTTCCAAAGTCTTAAGATGACTACGTCAATAGAGATAAAACTTTTTCATTTAGAAAATTATAATATTTCTCGTAAAGCAAGTTTAAGAATTTATTTTTGCTTCATAAATTGTGACATAAATTTAACTTTTCTATACTGTGTTTTGTCAAAATACGACTAAAACATTAATTTGTTTTATTTTTCTTAAGATTTAACTTTATTTGAAATTTTATATTTAGGATTTTATATATCTATTGATAATTACTTTTACTTTAATTGTAAATAGAGACATAAGAACAGAAGAAACTCACCCGATGCTTTATTTGAAGAAATTTGGGGGAAAAAGAGAATTAAAAATTTAAAACGAATTTATTTGATGACTTTATTTAAGATTTATAAGAAAAACGTTTAAGCTTTTAATGAACCAAGAATCATGACAGCTTTTAGTATTTTTTAACTTTAAAAGATTTGTAAAACCAACTTTATCATTATGTAATATTCAGATTTAACATTGGCTTCTGCTTCTCAAATATGACAATTATGCCATTTTTTACTTAACAATTACTTTAGCTGTTATTATCGGCTTTTGTTTAACATGATTCACTATAGGTGTCATTGAAGTGGAGTTGTCATTTTGTAAATATTAAGAGGAGTAAGTATTATAGATACTAGCTCATTATAAGTGTTTGAGATCCTTTGTTAAATGTGCTTAAATGTTTTATTTAATAGACTAAAGTGTACCGTAATATAATGATCTTCAAAGAATATTGAAATTTTAGAAGATGAGAAAGTTTATCATTAATTTCTAATTCAAAACGACTTTAATTTGATTTAAAATCTATTTTAAGGAAAGAAAAATCTATTCGCATCATTTTTTAAGATCAAAAAGTTGTTTTATTTTATTTCATTTCATTTTAAGATGTATCATGCTATTCTTAAATATTAATGGAGCAAGTGTATAAAAAATGGAGGAAAATTGAGAACTTGGAATACAGAGAACAATTGGAATACAGAAAACATATTGAGAACTAAATATATTCATGTGCATACAAACCTCTCCTGTGAAAGCTTTTTTGACGTTTGCCATTAGACCAGAATTCACTAGGAGACACAGAGCATTTCAAAAAAGTGCCAATTCTTTGAATTTAAAAATGAAGTGCGCACGAAAGTCAGAAATTCATGGCTAAATGATGTCTACCTATTGTCAAGTAACTTCTATTTCTTTTTAGATTTCGATAATAGAGCCTACAATTCGTGTCAAAATTGTTAGAAACACGTTAGAGTTAGTTTATTCTGTATAGATATCATTCAGTACTTTATAGTTAAAGCTTTAAGGCAATCTGTCACGACGTTGATTGGTCATAAGAACAAAGGGATTTTTATTGTTTCCAGTCCCCCTTTAATTTATCGCATTGTAAAAAATATGGCGGAGCGCTGGAATCATGTTTAGGCCATTGTTCCAGCTATTGTTCTCGTTAACCAATCCACAACGAGATAGATTGCCTTTAACTCGATAATCTAATGAATGCCTCTAGCAAATAATAAAAGTTTTCAAAAATGAGGCATAGATTGAGAGGGACCAAAAGCGAAATTTTTTAATTTTGGAGATATTGAAAACCTACACCGCTACTTCAAATCTGATCTATTGAATGGCTCAACTAATTTAGGAAACCATTGTTACTTTTCTAAATAAATAATTTATTTTAAACTCATAACTTCGTATTTAGAACATAACATTATCGCAATAATACCAATTTTCCAATTTACCACATTGTCGTCCCATTCTGGCTTGGCATTCTGCATAACTACCGAATTTGCCTAACATACGGATGACAAAAGATTCAAGACAAATGTGCAAAATAACAAAAAGTTACTTTTTGGCAGTCCTTCTGCCTTGTAAATCTTGACAACAATTCGAGCCTTCGGTCTTTCAGCAGGAACACCATCGGGTAACAACAAGTTCCTAAATGATCGGAAAGCAATTTGAAATACCAAATCCAAAACAAAACAATTTGGCTGTACTAGCAAACTGTACAAAGATGTTGGTCGAAAAGGCCTTTTTTCTTTGCATATATGTTTTCTACATTTTTATTGTGCCAAGTTGTAAAGGATTGAAAAACGAGCTTGTTGCTAAACGTCTAAACATAGGTGTCGGGATGGTTTTGTAATCGAAGGGCAAACACGGTGAGCAAACGCTAAGAAAAGCTTCGTATACACAAGCAATTCTTCTCGGCAACAAATGTGAGGGATTTTTTCTTGCGACACAAATTTCAGGTCTGCAAAAGCTAAAAGCAAGATTTTTCATCTTTTTTGGACGAAAAATTGAATGACAAGTATTGTAGAATTGTCTTTGCCACAAGAAAAACGTACTTTCTTGCTTCTGCAATTTCTTAGCAGGAAAAGCAATAATCTGAATCAATGGTGGCAAAAATAGCTAGTGAGCGCTAGGCTTTAGAGGGTCAGACTTCATCTTTTGATATAAAGCATTTAAAACTGCCTGCATTCTGTTTTAAGTGCTATATAAAGTTCAGCAAGCGAGAACGAGGAACGACAATATTATAGTTTTCTTTAAGGTGCAAGATCAAACTAGAAAATTCTAAAAAAATACATTTCTATGTCATCATACGTCTCGACTCTTTAGTGCTTCATTATTGAAAAAAGATTAAACTTCACCGAAAACAATGAAACAAGACTTACGATTCGATGTCATCATCATTATCTTTAACACTTGGTGGCTCCTGAAGAAGAGAAAGATGATTGATACATTATTGTGATGGAAAAAGCTTCAAATTGACAGGGAAACAAGCATAAGAGCGACATTCAAAGCTAAATCTGTCGCCTTTGTTCCTTACATCCAACTTTGATGCTCTCCAGAGAGAAATAACTGCGTTGAAAGTCAATTTCTTTTAATGCTTGAGAGAAGAAAAGTTTCTAACAAACCTACCTTGATTGGATCTCCTTTACCAAGAACTGTAATATCAACTTTCAGGTAGCCCTATGGACAAAGGAATCCTCAATGACGAAAAGAAAGAAAGAATGGAATGGTACAAAAAGGTGCACAATGGTGCATAATACTGAAGTGCTACTTTCATTGACGCATCTTGGAGTATAAAAGGCAGATAATGACAAAGTGTAGGAATAATGACTTTTAGTTCAAGATAAAACAAAAGACCAGTAGCTAAATCTAAAGGCAGAGAGTAACGATGTAATGGACAACATACCAGTGTAGGGAGCAAAAATGTAAGCAACTATAATTAAACTATGATTGCAAACCTTAACGCCAGCACCTGAAGCTCCGAGTGTTTCCTCTGGATCAGTAAGTACTGCCCATCTGCGAATGAACCTGTGGTCCTGTTGGGCATACACTGTTCCAATATCCAGCTGAAAAGAAAACCAATCACAACCGTAAGGTACGATAGGCGATATACTCACAGACCCATTCTTACCCATAAAAGCTTTCTCACTAAAACAACCCAAAAGACCTTTTTGAGAACAGCATAAGACAGCGTGATCAAATTTTGCTTTGGGCAGCTAAGAATTATTAACTCGTTACCATTTAAGATAAAGGAAATGAAACAACAGCAATTTACTAGACTCCAACCTTGTATAGAGTGTATATATGCGTGGCAAAAGTCGGTGTCATCAGGTGAACGTTGTAATGCGTCATTTAAAGTTTTCAAAAGCTTTTATCATTTATGTACGCTAGCCTGAAAACAGTAGGCCTGTTTAATGAAATCGTCATATCTGCTTTGCCTTCTCGCAAAATGTAGAGACTAATGCTGTTAATTTGCCAATTATACAATGCTTATGAATTCAACCAAATCAAGTTTAGCTAAGCAACGCAGCCTGTTGTCAATTATTATATAATGTTTAGATTAAATTTACTAAGAGAATATAATTCCAAACCTTGAAAGCTCCAATCAGAATTCCTTGACTAATAAGGTTTCTTCCTGTGAACACCTGGAGAAGTGAGAAATCATGGCTATGAAATAATCCTTCATGCAATATTGTAAGCTTAGAATTAACGAGAATATAAGCTATGAATTAGAATAAGTACTGGTGTCTGGTTGGGAATTATCATAAACCCAAACTAAACTCCTGGGAGCCTAAACGCTTGACGAAAAGCTACCCATAAAACATCCCCCTACTATCGAAATATCATCAGGGGCGGAGACTTGGTCAAATTTTTTTTGGGGGGGGGCAAGCCTATTGCTTTGATTAGATGACGTAACATTTTCCCATTGTTCTAGAACAAAAGAACATTGTCCTCTACGAGCACCCCTCCCTCGCCCTCTCGGCCCCCCTCCCCTCGGCTCCCTCCCCCCTGGGCTCCCAGGTGTCCCAATTGAATATCATACCCATTAAGGTAATCCCCTTCCCTTCCCACCCCAAGGGCAACATAATCAAACATTTGATGGTGACAGAAAAGGCGGATGTTGCATGCGGAAATGACGAGCCTGATCAACTTTACTTTGACCATTCAGTGTTTTTAAGACAAAAGAAAGAGTATGGAAGCCATGTAAATGACCAGTTGTTTATAAGATGAAACTGCAGCATTTAAAGTGCTTAAAATGATACCTGAAAGTTGATGATTTTATCAAAAAGAACCAGTGCTGGCATCTTGAAATCGAATACGAAAAACTGCAAAAAAGAAAATTAAGATGTCATTTCAATGTCCTAATCAACGAAATACTTTGGGAACAAAGGATGAAAAATATTGTGTGAAGAAAAAATTTTCATATGCTGGCCTTTCAGAAGAAAGCTTTCAGTGTTGATCGAAAAAGTTTTCAAAGCAATGTTGTAGACGATTTTCGAGGGTAGAAATTCTGGTATAGCAGGTTAAAAAAGGCCAGCAAAGAAGCTGCAAAGAAAGATCTATATTTAGAAAGATGATGAAAAATCAACGTGTGCAAACGTCATAGGATGGGTTTATATCATGGAAAGGTCCTCAGAATAAATGGTGTACCAAAAGAACAAATAAATAGACAGCAATAAGGACATGAATCAGCGAAAAGATTTTCCAGCTCATTGAAAAAAGGGACCCTTTCTTTAAGAATCATTGCGATACCCTCCAAAAATGTGTTACTTTTTCTCTGGCTTGTGATTATATAGAAGGGTTTATCAAAATTTAGAAGCCACACAATTAAGCCTCTACAATATCAAGAATCACGACAGTTTTTAGCATTCTTTAGATTCAAAGACTTTTATAAACTAGCAATTTTCTCTGGTATTTATATTTATTAACCGTTATTTCTCGACTAATAAACCAAATATGCCTTCTGGGTTCATAGAGAAAGCATTTCAATCAAAGTTATCCAGTGCTGCTTATGAATTGTCACTGTACTGCGAAATAAAGGCCATAAGGTTGAATGGAGTATGCAAATCACCTCATCCCAAAATGGCGTGTTTGTTTGCTCCTTCACAGCGGTATGCTTCTTTTGGCTCCCTACTGTCACAGTGCAGACTGGATCTAACTGCATCCCTGAAAGCTGCCTCGCTTCTATGACACGAATTTGTATTTGGTAGTCGATTTCTTTAATAACATCCTTCTGGTCGATTCGTACCTTTGGGTGTTGATGGCTGTGGCGAGAGAATAGGATATTTCTTGAAAGCGAGAAATGATGGCATAATTAACAAAACTATGTCAAGAAAGCAGCCCCCTATCCTAGTTTATTCCTAATAAGACAGCTTTCCAAAAATGTTTAAAGATTATATAGCACCCTATGAATATTTTAGTATCTTCCTCTCTAGCAATTTGCAAACTCATATCTCAAAATACAGATTACAAAGCTACTTAGTTTGAGAAACCCATTACTTTGATAAAAATCTGAAAACACTGTAGATTACTAGGCTGTATATTATGAATTTGAGATGGTGATCTTAATAGATAGCTTCTTAAATTGTATTCAATCAAAACACTATTTTATAAGACAACACATTCCAATCGTTCCTTTTAAAACTGTGAATACTTTGAAAAGATAGCCCTTCGTCATATACTTCTGACTGGAATGTTGTAAAAATACATATATGAATTTCCATAACAATTGCAATTCTTCACAACCGGTAATACAACGATATAGGCTGCACAGATACTCACAACATGCCAGTTCCAGACCCCCCACTTGCAACACTGTAAACTGACCCTCGTCTACTCATTGTTCCACCGGTATCACGACTTTGTAGCATTTGACCAAAGGGTCCAGCAACCACTCCTAACTGGTTCGGACCTATCTCTGTACTTCGGTTTAAATCTTGGGCCATTTGGTGTGACAAATTTCCAAAACTCTTTTTCTTGTGAGCTCCAAGCGAATTGAGACTTATGGATGATCCAATTTTCAGCTGTCCATTTTCTTGGCCCTTTTTCCAACCAGGCAGGCTCATTCTCGACTGCCGCCGTGCCGTTGGTGGGAAGATCTCCTCGCCATTTTCGGCGTACTGATCGTCTTGTTCTTCGTGTAGCCCGGTTATCCATTCTGGTACCGTGCCACTTGGAAGGTCATACGTAAGTTCTAACGATAACTGAGCCTATGGAAAAGAAAAACCATTCGTAAGAAAGACAAGAAGTAAGAAATTATACAGAGAAGTTTGTCGATGAAGGAATACAATCCGTGTCTTTCTGCAATAACAAGAAATGACATGTTGAAAACGTCGATTTAGGAGTGTGAAGTTAATGATTATATGCTGTTCGAACAGGCATATCAGAGAAGAAATCTGTGTTATAATTCTAAGCCCATTCGGACGAAATAAAAGGTAGATTACACGAAGAAGAGTTCGTTTTCTTTGCTCGCTTCTCGTCCTCGGCTTACTTATTTTATAGGCTAACATTTGACGGGCATTTTCCTGCTCAAGAACTTACTATCACATATAAAACCGCGCTGCTGCTACCAGGGCTTGGAGCGAACATTGTGTTTTAACCTAAAACTTCCAGGAAAAGTAAATGAAACAGTGCCCTTGTAAAGAGTCCTTGCAACTGTTTCAGTTGGGGGTGTTAATGGCTAATCTCGAAGACTGCTGTGTCAACTTTGTTAAAAAATTTCATACAAAAAATGACAGTTTTTGTCAAAAGTAGCTACAAGATTTAATTTTGAAAAGTAATGATAAAAAGTTATTACGTTAGAACCACATTTTCACTAAATCGTTATTTTTTCCATACACAAGACATACCTTTAAAACAGTGTTATTGTTGTCTAATAAACTATCAGTAAGAGCAAGGTGCTGTTCCTGTATTAGCCTTTGTAATACCATGCGATATAATCCAACAACTCTGTAAAAGAATTCAAAGATACTTGTAGAAACTTCCCTATAGACAATCACAAATGATAAATGTGCAAAGAAAGGAAGGCAAGAGAAGCATCTTCAGAAAAATGGGCAAAGCAGTAAGAAAATTGATAAAACAGTGAAACTTTTACAATTGAATTGTAATTTTAGAATTGAAACTTTACAAATAAGCAGATAAATTGGGCAAAAACCACCAGCAGTAGAAAATTGAATCGTTAGATGGGGAGCAAAATCTCAAGAAAAACCAAATTTGCTAACAAATGGCAAATTTAAGTGACAAATACCACTGGAAGCTGTGCTTTAACTGACAATTTAAGAAGATCTAAGAAGGCAATTTAAGAAACCCTAACAATTGTTGCCCTTGACTAATTCTAATCTGATTATGGGTAACAAACTTATAACTTTTACCACTTGGTACCGTGACATATAATAACTTCATCATAAAGAATTATTTCTTTCTACAGATGTTCGTGAATCATTTTGCACAAAAAGTAAGTTCGAAACAATTCAGATATATATCAGATATATATCTACTTTTTGAAAAGGCGAATGTTTCAAGTCTGCAAGTTTAGAACTGAATGTACAGTGTAAAATCCTTTTTTGCGGCCAATGGCACATTTGCCAAAGTGCAGTTAGAGTATCTTGCTGATCCATCTAAATCCTTGTCTGTTTCTTGTTTAAGTGGGTAAAAATAGCCAATGTTTTATATCATCATTATTTGTTTAATGTGTTGTTCTCCTTAAAGGGGGTTGCTTGCATATGTCTATTAATTGGGTCGCAGGCAGTACCATCTGTCACAAAGTAAAACCAGCAGAAAGGTATTTACATTTCAAGATTTTCAGAATCTCCCTCTTTTATATAATTTCAGTCCTACACTCTTTTAGTAGTGCTTATAAAATATGCAAATTCTTAAAAAGAGCTACTCTACCTGATTCATTCTTATTAATTTTAAGAAGAATAAAGTAGATGTGTTTTGATAAAAGTGAGGGGTATACCCACCAGCCCCCCCCAAATCCCACCTGTTGCAAGCACCCATTTAAGTGAAACAATTATATTGACTCATTTGTTTTTGAATATTAAATCAGAATTAGTTTTGACATTTGACAGGGATTGCAAATAGTAATACAAAAAAATGTTGCTGAATGCAAGAATACCTGTTGCTGAATATTTTGTTGTGATTGAGAACTTGAATCTCAATGTATTCACTTGGGTTCAACTGACTGGCAAGGGGCCATACAAATTCCTAATGAAAGAAACACAACTAATCAATGCCTGCACTGAAAAAGAGCTTTTTGTATGTAAAATACACTTAATTAGTTCCTAGGAAGAACATTAAAAGGGTTCCGTTTAATAATATCACTCTCCATCATCTCAGTGATAGAGCAAAGTGTTAAAAATTAACAAGGAATCATGGAGGCAGCAATGCTTCCCTGATTATCAAAATACCCTGTCATCACAAGGGCAGTGCTAAGAAATTGAAATTGGGGGGAGGGGGCTCAAGTTGACAGCATTAACTGGCTAAACAACCAACTTTTAAAAAACACACTAGAATGCACCATATGACATGTGAATGCCTAGAATTTTAGGGGAACTCATTTTTAGAGGTTTATAAGGCCCTGTGGATGCTAGCCCCTTACGAGCAGAAATTTTTTATAACCATAGTCTTTAGATTAGCTTAAAAAACATTTCAGAATTCTTCTTGCTGTTATTTTTTCAAAATCATTTGAAATGTTGTTTGTTATGTTATATATGAGGATTAATATCATTCTTCAAATGTAATTTCATTTTTCATGAAGCCCCTTGACTGCAAATTCATTTTAAATTAAAGGCAATCGACAGATACCAAAATGGTTTAGGCCATCTATCAGTCAATCAACAAGTGTGTGAATGTTTTAACGCAGTTCACGTTCATTGATTGGCCAATTGTTGACCAGTCTGCAGAGTGTGGCTGATGCACGCGCGAGCTCAGGATAGTGCTGCACGCCAAAATTTTTTGATTGAACACCAAATTTACTATAGTGCTATTAAAAAAAACTTAGATGCACGCAAAATGACTAATAAAGAAAGGTTTGCACGCAGAAAACATGGCGTGAATGAGTACTGCACGCGCGAGATCTCGTCGAGAACTGCCACACTCTGCAGACAGGATTGTTGATGGGCAGGTTTTGGCCACTTTATTACCTATCGATTGCCTTTAAAAAAGGATCTATTGCATTATTATTTATTAATTACTTCTACCTCTTTTCTTTTATTCTTTTTCTTATTGTTAAAACTCTTTCTTTGAAAAAAGGGGGGAGGCTTCAGTCCCCCAGAAATCCACCATGCATATAATTATAGTTTCAAGGATCGTAGTAGAGGCAGGTTCGAAGGATACAAGGAGATTGCTCTACCAAATGCTTTAACTATATGGGCAAGGAACTCTCATGTTTTTAAAGGAAACCTTGTGTAAGCTTTGATCTATCGAAATAATTACCAAAAGAAAGGTGATATGCTACTGTGTTTCTTTAAATAGTGGTGCTTTTGACCATGTAAAGGTTTCATTTCATGAGGTTTTGACACCATTTCGATTGGACCATCGCACACTTTCAACAGAGCTTACTAAGAAAAGTTTCAACATAAAAATGGAAACAGGCTGTTTATCTGTATTTGTCTGCGATAGATTTGATAAATCTTACCTCATCCCAGTCTGGATCTGAACAGTCTTCGTAAACTTGCGTCTGATATGTGATTCCTGAAACAAATTGAGATTTCGCGCTATCAGTCTCGTCTTGAATATGAGATAAAAACAAACAAATTTTATGTGGCTACAATTTTTTTCTGAAATAAATTTCCTGTAAACTTTACGTATAAAGTAAAATTTTCTGTTTAGTTTATCAGAACAAATAGAAAAGTTTAAAAAGTTTCCTGAATTTAGTACTTCTATTACTTCCTTCCTTCTAACTTTTCCTACAAGTTTGTTAGCATTGCTAAAAATCTAAGCTAAAATCCAACAACTTGAACAAGGAATCCTTTAAACTGACTTTCATATAGGTACTGCATAGAGATAATTAAGAAAAACGCCGACTAGATAGTTTAGGGGAGGCGAATCATGCTGGAATCCAGTAATCTGACTTGGTATATCGTCTATATTTTGCTTCCGACCCCAATGGAAAAACGGAGACGATGAACAATTCTGAAATCGCACGGATGAACCTCAGCTTGTATTCACTTTCATTCGCTGAAGGAATTGATACAGGGGCTGATATTGATCTTCCTGAGTAGCGGAGCAAACAAGAGAATTTTGGAAGGCACTATCTTGAGCGGCCTTCCCGCTTCTACTTCCATATTGCATTTGTAGCGGCAGATTGCCCAACCCCCCCCCCCCCCCCCCAAAAAAACCCTCGAATCTTTAGCCATTCTTAAGCTACCACCGCCCAGTTTTCTTCCGATGCAAAAGTTTTGAACAAGCTGCTTCAAAAGTAACGGGCATAATGTATATTCTTATCAGCTAAATCTCAAAGAATTCATTTGATTTCCAACCACAAAGCTACAGCAGAAAGCATACGGCTTATTTTGGCTCATATTTTGTATTCGATTTGAGAGTTTGAACTTTCTTAAGTTTGCTAGCCAAAACAATAGCCTGGTCATTAGTTTGTGTGCATATCTACCTTTCTTCGTGATAAAAAAGTAAATAAACATGAATTGTACAGCATGGGAAATTCACACCTGCTTTAAACCAGTAATGTAAGCCAGTGGGGATTTTAATACTCGGTGTTAAAAGAAGGCTTAACGATATTGTAAAGCTCGCACCAACAGCAGCTGCCGTCTTGAAGCTCATTAATATTTTAAAGTTATGACTCAGGATTTTAGATATTGTCGTGGATTCTTATTACAAGGAGGGCCAATGTATATGATAAATCTTAGCTCGTACAATGCCTGATTATTGGTAAATTGCAGTGCAAATGAATGGCTGTCCGTCCTGAATAACTAATTTTGTTATCATGCTTCTGATTTGGTTTTGTGTGGCCTTCCCACGTCGGAGTAGGCGTTGTAAAGCTTTTTTACTCCTAGGGTTACAGGGGGTATCTGCATTTCTGTTAAAAGAAGAGAGGGGAGGAAAATGTTTGATGAATTAGAATATGAAAGAAAGTTAAATTTAGCACAATCGTTCAAGGCTCAAATTATGATGTTTTAGCCAAAAGAATAAATCATAACAAAGAAAAATACTTTTTGCTCGAATTTGAAAGCATCTAAAGTGCCGGACAGTCTTGAAACCAAGACTTAATTGAATATTTGCCTTTCTAATTTTGTCTTTATTAAAAATGTTAAACCAGAGAGGGGTCTATTTCTCAAGTTACTGCATACATTTTGCACTGCTGATTTGGAAAAGCCTTTTAAAGAAGTTGTAAGCATCACAGCCTAGTGTGATTTGAATGAGATCTTTTGTTGATGATATTTCTTCTAGTCCCCCGTTATTTTATATCTTGCTTCGTTTTCATTCAAGACAAAAGCTTATAACATCTAAAAAACAAAACCTGAATAAAGATGACATTAGATTAAGAGGATAATAAGATCGGCATGATGAAAATGAGGACGAACAACTATAAATTTAAGCTCAAAACATCAGATTTGTATATTGATTTGCCCTTTGTGGATCTGCATGGAAGATACAGAAAGGATTAATTGTGAAGAGAAGTAGAAACATCAAGGTCATCACCATTCACGAAAAATGGAGGAGAGTCAAGGCTATGTAAGCATGAAATGACAAACTAGGTGTTTTTGCATGTTATAACGAGGTTTTTTTCCCACTGTCAAAATATTGTCAGATTTTCAGTGAATAACAGAAATGCGTCTTGAATCAAATGAGAAAGAAGAAACTCAGAAAAGTGTCATCAGTGAATATACTGAATGTATACAGAGAGGTAAAGGAAAAGAAGATCATTGGTGAGAAGGATGGAAAAACCAGGGGTGTGACAGAACTCTTTTGAAGATCAATGTCAGCTAGGTGAAGACTGGAGAAATAACCATAGACTCAAGTAGCAATGGACCTATGAGAGAGAACGCTGAAAACAGCCTTGATAAGGGGATTGATGCACATCATACATAGGAAGTTTAAGAAAAGACCATTGTGCCAAACACGATGAAAGGCCTTCTAGATGTCGAAAAAAATCACTCTGCCCTCAGCAAACGTTACCAATACAGTGGACCAAACGCTATAAGATCACCAGTAGATTTTGCTTGCTGAAAGCCACACTGGTGTTCAAAAAGAAGTTCATTTCTTACAAGAAAAATAAAGATTTGTTTAGTGATGATGCTGTCCATTGTTCTAGAGATAAGGGAAGAGATTGCGATTGAACAACAATAGGTGGGGTCAGACGTGTTTCCTTTATTTAGAATGCGGAAAAGATGCGCTAGTTTCCAGGTCTACGCAAACATACTAACGGTGAAGGAGGGCTGGTAACGTTTGTTAAGAATTGGAGCGAGTTCAGGGGGGTAGAAACCTTGAGAAATACTACTGGTATACTATCAAGGCCATTAAATTTAGAGGTGTTCAGTGAGAATGAACTTGACTGATTCTTCAGCCGGTTTTGCCCCTGCCTATAGATTACTGTAGTTGTTAGTCTTTGAACGTTGCCTTAGAATTCATTGTACAACAGGACATGCATTTGTGTTGTCATTGTTTAGTTTTTTTATATTAATAACCTAGAAAAGTCTGCCTAAGCTAGATATCATCATGCTTATTGGCCAAGCTGCGTTTCAGCTCCATATGCCATGCTGATTTCAAAGTAATTTTGAACAATCAAGAGAAAATTGATTAGTTTTCGATAACATACACTTTGCTGTGTATGGCCATTAATTATTAAAGGCTTTGATACGAGAGAGAAACGAGCTTTTCTGTCATTTGAAAAAATATCACACCAAGTTCATTCATCAAATAATCGAGAAACCGCTTAAACAGAAATTGGTTTTATGAAAATAGATCGTTCTTTGAGTTTTTTGCATTGAATGATGCATAAAACATGCATGCAAATAGCGTATCAGCGAGATACTATGGGAAGGTTCCTCTCATGGATGTTTGATGATGGTAACGCCATTTGATCTGTTGATTAGAACCGAATCAACTGCCTTTTTGGGTTCGTTTTTATCCCAAGGTCCACTTTGATTGATTGATTGATTGGCTGATTGCTTGATTGACATACGCTCATCCAAATTCAGGGGTGTAGCGTGCGGGGGGGGGGGATGGTAGGGTAGGTGTCACTTAACGGTAAAATAACATTTATAACAAAATAATTTCATGCTCAATGCAACAAAATAATTTCTGTCGGTAAAACATGGTTTTGCATCTTTAACAAACCATCCCCCCCCCCAAGCGAGAAAGGTCACGCTACGTCACTGTCCACATCTGGGAGGTACTTTAAAATACAAAAATCTCGTCCTTCTCTTCTTGAAGTCTTACAATTTTCACAAAAGATTCGAGCTAGATATTATAAAGAGTTTCATGTTTTGGGGTTTGTAATTCATGTGGGTGGGTGTGATAGCCATAGAAATCTTATACTGATCTATTGTAAAATCCTATGTTTTCGACAAAAGTTCTTAATTCCATGTCCTTCAGAGAACTAGGGTACCCCTTACTGTTTTCATTAACCTGTTTAGAAAGAAACAGTGAAAAAGCAAAGGTTACATTAACCTCAAAGCAAGCACTAAACGTTTCAGGAAGAACATTTCATAGCAAACATTCTTTGTTAACAAAGAGAGGGCGTTTTTTTCAGATGTGAATATATTCCTCTGAAAAAAAGTCCTGAGGAGATAATTCATCAATAGATTGGCAAAAGCTTTATTTTCACCGTGTCCTTCAACTGTCTATTTACATAGCATCTGTAATAAATTAACTTCTGGACATGATTCAGAACCAGAAGACATTGTTGTCACATTTTCACACACTTGGCATTATCGGAAGGGTCGGTAACAATATGAGGAATTGTTTACAAAATTTCCTTCCCTTTTGGTATCTTTTCTCTAAAAGGCCTTGAATAAAAAGCTACTCTTCTCCCATCAGAACATAAGCAATCGATTCCTTACAAGATTCAATCACTCAAAAACCTTTTTTTCTTTTGAAGCTTATCCCTTGAAGCCAAGCCTGTACTTATCTCAGTTTTGGTACAAAATTTGGACCCTCGCAAGAACATCAAGCTTGGTCTCAGTGTCAATTAATACCTCTAAATTTCTACTAGAAATTGAATGCTATTTCGCATCTTTTCTTTTTCTAAAAGTCTCCTTTTCTTTTACAAAGGTTGATATTTGCAATACTGCATGGAAATGAAATGGTTAATTCAAATGTCTAGCAAAAAGAACATATTTGAGCCTTGGCAAAATGGATTCTTCCACTTTTACGATTTGTAAACATATCTATTAAATGTAAGGCTAATAAAAAACATCAGCCAACATTATATTCTTTCATTCTTGAAACTACCGCCTTATCGGTTTTATTTTAAATGCCTTTCTATTGATTTGATTTTCTTAAAGCTTTTTTCAAAAGCCATTTTATGTACGTGATTATTGACCGCTTCAAGTGTTTCTAGCAAAAAAGACTGCCCTGTTTCCTGCTAATTATTCAGACAATAATGTACGCAAGCTGCTCGGTGTGGTTTATCTCATTGTCAAAGAGAATACCTAAAGGACTATGCTTGCTAATAGCAAATTGGAAATGTAAACAAACATACCGCGAAAACTGATCCTTGCGATACGGTCATAACGTCCTCTAAGATTCACAGCATTCTTTATCAAAACTATCAGTGCCATGCCTGTATATTCAATTGCAGCTTTTCTTATTCCCTGTAGCTTTAACCGATCTTCTTTCTCTAGGCCGTAGCTTTTATTTTGTTATTCAAGCAAAATTTCTGTAGATGTCCATTTCTTTCCACTGTCACGTTAAATTCTTCATCTCTGTTCTGTTCATCTCGTTGTTGGTTATAACAATTAGCTCGTGCGGTGCGTCTGAAACGGAAAAGAAACGCTTACAGATTTAAGCTGGTAACCAAGAAATACCACGGTAAACCATTGTTTACTGTCAAGAAAACCTATTGTCAATATGATCAAATGCGCTATAATATTGAGAAAGATGTTGATTTAATATGTTTGATAAAGTCGTCTACATAAAATTCGTTATTTGCATATTTAGTAACCTCTTTGCAACCTGTATGTGGTGGAAACAAGAAATTAGAGATATAAAATTGAACTAAAATTATTCCTAGTTTCTAGGAGACAACTGCTTGCTGATCTAATCTGGTGAAACTATACTTTATAAAATGGCCTAAATATGTGAAAAATTACTACATTTATACATACTTATGTTATCAAATGCCTGAACACAGAATCTGTAACATTTATGTTTCTAGCAAAGCAGACGAATCGATGCCATACTTTACATATGGAAAGCATAGTCCGACAAAGGTCTAAAATTGCCGGACATTTTCTGTTGACGCCCTTACGCTCAGTCAAACCGGACATTAAAGAACAAGGTTGTAAGATTTACTACATGGTAATTCTAGATACCAATTTTTCGTATGATTTTGTTCTTACTTATGTACATTACTTTGCGACATTTTTACTTCAATGTGGAAATCAAAATTGTATGGAATTAGAAAAAAAGCTAAAATGATTCGAAAAATCGATGCAGCTTGATAACGTTATGGACAATTTTTAAATACATTTTCATTTTATACGCAAAATTCATAGCAAGTGTTTATGACTAACATATTTTTGATGGATGGACTTAATCGATAATTTTGATCGAAAAACTTCTGCTTCAGCTTAGTTTTGACCAGTGATATATATAATCCTTAGTTGATATCTCAGTTGATATCTTAGTTGATATTGTTAGATTTTGCCTATTTTCAAAGGTGATAATCATTCGACTTTATTCTCGTTCAACCATCTTGTGGATGTTATAGATTTTAATTATATGCATAGACAAAAACTGATCTCAATGCATTTTTAAGAAATACTTTTTCTCACGCAACCCAGTCTATGAATTCAATCGAAATCAAGGTGACGAATGACTCGGTCACTAGATGTCTTGTGCACAAGTTTGAGATATACAAAGCAATAAGCAATTGAACATCTACAGATCTTAGTGGTATTCTAAATTCATTACAATTTATTGACCTGTTCTTTACAAAACAGTTTCATTAATGCTAATTGCTTAAAATTTATGACTTTTATAGTTTTCAATTTGTTTGAACCAAAGTCTTGTTAAGGGAAGTTTTTGAGCTTGGCTTAAAGTGGGAAGTTAATTGTCAAGTCGCATGTTTTTGTACCAGAACTAAAAGCTTGTGAAACAAGGAAAAGTTGATTCAGAAGGTTTTCAAGCATACAATAACTGTGAATGGGCTAATTATGATCGAGTTTCTTGATAAAAATCATTTCGATATAAAAATGTTTAAATCTTCATTGTTTTTCAAGATGCGCAGTTTCTCTTGGAGCATGAGTCATTCGACAGCAATTTAAGGAACCTTTTATCAATGTAATACTGTAAAATTATGCGAATTCAAAGCTGTTGCAAATGTTCACATGACTTGACTTTTGAAGAACACAACACACCGTAAGCCTCTTTTGCTGAAATAAAGTTATACCTTTTAACATGATTCGGTAAAAAGGAACTTTCAGGCCAATCAAGGAAGTTGAAATTCAATTAGCATACATCGAAATCTCTGGTATGTGAGGTTAGGCCAGTTAGAAATGATAACGGTATTTCATATATTCTTGAAGAAAATTCCCCAGAACAGAGATTGTTAGGAAAGAGTTTGTTGATTTTGTCAATACTCACATGGAAGTATGTTTGATGCTCCTATAAGATGACGAACTGTAGTCACATTTTGGCGATTTCTGTTTGTGTCGTCGATGGTCGAGTTATTTGATGAATCTCAAAACACACTAGAAGACCTGCTTCGCTTTGAATTATTATGCTCAACTAGAAGCTTCTGATGTGCAGGTGTTTCTTTTGTAACTTGTGTGAACATCATCCCGGTTTCGCGCTACTTCTGCGGGATACGCGCGGGCTTAACAATCACGGGACAATTAAAAGCACTGTTAAGAAAGATCGCACACAGCCTATAACGTCAATAAGAGAAAACAGTTTTGCCTTCTAGAGAGTTTAGACTCATGCTACCACTGTACACCGGTTTATAATTACAGTGAGCCAATAGAAATTCATATACGCAATGCACGTGATTACAACTTCGGTCAAAGAGATATCGGCAAGTTGTTTTAGTTTGAGAGGTAGTGTTAAAGGAAAGAAAACTTTTTGAGTGCTCATGAAAAGCAAGTTTGTTTCTTTAGAAGAGCTGTACGGTACATTTCATGCACAGACTGTGACAAGTCCCAGTGCCATACATATTTTCTTATGGCATCAAGGAAGAAATCTAAATTATATACTCAGTCGGTTACCGCCTGTAGCAACCAAGCGCTGCTGTTAAAAACTGTTAGGTCGGTGATTCCGTAAGAGTGAAGAAGTTTTCTGTTGGAATCAGGAGAAAAGGAATGTTTTCTTTTTGGGGGAGGTGGGAGGGGATTTACCCTTCATTGTCGCATGTATGACTACGGCTTTTTGGAACACAAAAATACCATGCTAGTCTTATCAATTAATGCATTTGTTTTAGATACCGATACCAAAGACTTGCTTAAACGGAAAGGAAAACTGCGAAACCCAGCTCTAAGTGATTGGTTGTGTAAAGTTCAATAATGACTGAAAGGTGGCTCATTTTCAATACCACGTGCAGATCGAAACGAGGCATATGAGAGAATTATCGACCAATCAGTGACTTCTAATCACTCTGGCGTAACTGGAAAGCCTTAGCTGCAAGGTCTCCTCTCCGAGGGCACTTGAAGTGTCAAATGAAGGTAAATATTGTGCGTACACTTGTCACTGTAGCCGTTAACAGAACATCACTAATTGCTTTTGCATTTGTAACCAACTAATCGAAAGTTACGTATTCTTGAAGCGTGGGTTACATTAGAACATATGTTAATAACACAAGTCGTTTGCTGATATGTAGGTTCAACAGAAATATGTATCTCAATTCAGATACTTATATTTATCAAGCTGTTTTGAGTACATTTGTATTCTGTCACGTACTGCGTATTTCTAATTCTCATAAGAACGTCGATGACCAGATTTTGATTTCTAGTTTTTGAAAAAAACTTTTTTGCAGTATTTCCAAAGAACGAGCTGGTCTTCTAACTTAGGCCAATGGTACGAGCCACCATATTGAAAATATCTTTGCAGTTTTGTCCCAGGTTTCTTTCTTGCTGAACGAGCAGTTCCAATATGAGGATAGAAATTGCAAAAACAAGTTAACAGATACTCATTATTTAATGATAACTCAATCTGATATCAAATTACAATAAATATCAGTGAAAATGAATTTAATAGGAAATTAGATTGCGATAAAGAAAATGTCGTTTATTGCCAGTTGAAATAGGCCCATTTATGACAGTTAGTTTATCAAAATTTGTAGCAGTTACCCTTCATTAAAAGTTCTAAAAAGGTAGAATTACAATCATTGAAAAACAAACCTTGTTTTGTATGAATATTGAATGATTGCCTTGTAAATCAAAGCACTTTTCTTGCAAGATTCCTCTGACTCCTCCATGATTACTGCCATTCTTTATTCACTTCCAAAATGCAGCTCGCTACGGAATGTGGGATCATTACCTTAGGGAATCACGTTTTTATCTGCTAAGGGACTCACTCGGCCACATGAGATGCAAAAAGACTCATGAGACGTAAATAGACGTGTGATCGGGCACTGAGTAATCCTCTAAAGATTCTAACAAATTTAAACATTCTAAAGATGCCTGTTCAGGTTTAGGGACTGGAAATGTTAAGAACGGCTCGAAATCTTATCACAATTTGATAAGTTAAATTTTTATGAACAATTTGTTGGCTATTAAAAACCCCTTAAGCAAAGTTTTCTTGGAACGGAATAGTTGAATGCAAGGAACCAGCTTTCGTTTTCTATTGTTAGTATTTTCTATCGACAAGTGACAAAAATTGCCTACAGCAATTCAATTTGAAAAGCCATTTGAATGAGAGAGATACAATGAAAACACAAGAGGGGTCCTCGGGGGGTAAACTAAGCCTAATTTTCGACGGGAACGTGCCATTTTGGTAAATATTTTAGACCCATAATTCCACAAATGTCTGAAAATGTGACCCATAATTCCGCAAACATGATGAAAACTACACCCATAATTCTGCAGAGCAAATATGATTTTAAAAGTACATAAAAAAATCATCAACCAAAGTTTGCATGTCCTATGCCCCAAAATCTCAATATAACACATATTCATACTTTTATTTCTAACTGGAAATTCATTTTGTTAACGCCAAGTCTCCCTCCCAATAATTTTGCAATATTTCCCCAAAATTGAACCCATATTTCTGCATGTTTCTTCAAATGTTTCTTCAAATGGTACCCATAGTTCTGAAAAAAGGTACCCCTAAAGGTCCACACTTTTCAGAAAAAAGGTACCTCTAAATAGTGGCACATTCCCGTACCTTCAAACATGTTTAAGTACCGCCCCCCCCCCCCCCCCCCGAAGAGGGGTCCAACACTCTCTTAGGCAGATTGCACATAAGACTCCAATGCAGTATTCCGTCCCTGTAAATAAAAGTATTCGTTAACTAAATTCCTGGTTCAGGTATATTTCCTTAGCAGCAATTTAGTTTTTTTCGTAAAGTGTTGTTCGTTTTACAATTGCATCAGTTCTTATTGTTGATAAAACATTTTTCGAGAAGGAAATTAAGGAAAAGCATCGCTTAATTCGAGGGTGGACTCTTAAAAATGCATTCCTCGATGTACACTTTATTTGAATTTCACAATATCGAACGACTAAAATTATACATACAATGCAATTTCCATACAGAAGTATAAATCTTATTTTTAATAAAAGCCCTTTTAGCAATGATATGGGTTCCGCAATTTCTACTCGAAAATACTGATGCTCATTTAGAGCCCAGATTCCCTGGAAAGGATTTCGTGCTATACAAGTTGCACAGAGCAAATTTACATGATTAACATATTAGGCAGCTCGAGAGGATGATAAATATTGTCATAGTTTGTTCAGGCAGCGATTCCAACCGTGATTTAGAAGATCCATTGAAATATCTTGCAAGCCATTATAACCGGTGAGATCCAGTTGAAATAACAGTAACGTGGCAACAACGCCACACATTCAAATTCAAGTCCTAATGGTGCTTGCCATGTGTTTTACTTTTCTTCGAGAGACTGTCTCTCTTTTTGCCATATCTGGCGCAGCATTGTCGCGGGCAACCCGGGGTACAGAAAGAGGCGCATTGTGGGAATTGGGCGCATGTTGGCTGAGGTGCCATCTGGTATTGCATGGTTGGCATTGGCGGTGGTTGATGGTATACTGGCATTGCTGGTGGTGGGTAAGCAACAGGCATTGGGGGTGGAGGAGCAGCAGCGGGAAGGGGAATATTGACGGTTGTGCTGCAACATTGAGGGTTGCATTCTGGGAAACAGCTGCTGGTGCATGCTGGGACTGGACAGTTTCCTTCTTGTACGGCAGGCTGGCTATCACGTCCGCTTCCTGTTTCAAAAACAATAATACACAATGACTTGAAAGTCTTCATTGATGTGTACGCTCTACTAAGTAACAGGTATTAAATTTTCATTAAAATTTTGACTAAAAACATTGAGAAAATCGAAGTTTCTTGGCACAGATATAAAGTTATAAATGTAGATGTAGTTATAAAGACGGACTGTTCTTCATTTATGGGCCATTCTCCTTAGAATTTTTTAGAAAGATTTTGGAAAGAAGAGATGGAAACTAAGAAAAAAGCCAATTACACAGAAAATTGTAGCTTTTATGGTGATTTTACTAAATGTTCTAGGAAGGCTTTGTGACATGGCAATTTTTCACTTTCTAGAAGAGAGAGTGTATTTGGCACTAAAATTTCTTTATAATTTATACCAGGCCAGTCGCTTTTAACATTTCTTAAGAATTTTTGGACATTCAAAGCGTTTATACAATTTTGTCTTACAGTAGTATCTTGCAGTTGTGATCTTGAGAAAGAAAAAAAAAGGAAGAAAATCAGATGGTACTAAAGTATGAAATCTACAGGTGTCAACATGCTTTCTTGGCAATCAATTTTTTAGAAAAATGTTTCCGTACCTGTCAAAAGTCTGACTTGAAGGATCTCAAGGTTGTCTTGTTTCTTAAGTTGCACCCTAAATTTGTTGATAGGATCGACAGGAGCACGAACGTCTGGTGCGAATCTAAACATGGTGGTTGCAGCAATCTCTTTGTTTTCACGAGGCCTAACATGATACGATAAATTTCAAAATATTTGCCTTTCTAGCGGAAATAAGAAAAATCATAAAGATTCAACTTCTACCATTCCTTATTTTTTCTGTTTTTGGCATTCGCTTCTCTTAAGATTCTATCTACATTCCATTGATTCTCCAATCTTCCCTTTTTGTCATTTTTCATCATTCTCCCTTTGTTACCCCTATTCGACTACTTCATTAACCTCTCGGCCGCTTCTTTCTGTTTTGTTCTCTTTACTTCACCTTCCTTCCCACACATATCTCAACTCTTTATTCCTTCTTTAATCAATCACCACATCTTTCCTGTTCTATCTACACCATTTCTTCATTTACAGTATTTTATCTCACTCGCACGTCACTTCTTATCCTTTTACATATTTCTCATAAACACATTTCGTTATTCTCTTCATTTCACATTCCCTTCCTGCTCTCAGTGTTTCATCTCTCGTCTTCTATTCAGCCCATCTGGAAGCACTTTAATACAGCAGTTATTACCACGTTAAACTTTTTAGACACTGATGTTCTGATACTCTAGCCAAAAAGTTTAGATAATTTAAAAGCAGTTAAGATATTTATAAATACGCTCTTGTAATGAGTTAACGGAATATACGAAGTTGTTGAAAAAGATATCAAGGGAAAATATTCGGGACTATTACCAGAACTGGTAGACTGTCAAACCGGCAAACCAGATATCTTTTCCGTATGTTTCATTGACCTAAAAAGAGATCGAGCACTGATTTTAAAAAAATTAGAGATTTTGGAGAGGGGATATCAGTAAGAGAAAGATGTTCTCGAGCAGCAGAGAGTGAGGCATAGCAAGGATTTGTTTCAAGAATAAAAATTTTACCTTGAATGCAATAAACTGCAAAACAATAGTGCAGAAGAGAAGATCTGATGCAAAATTCAAGTTTGCTTCAAGTTTTTATCAATTTGCCCATTCTACTGGCCCTTGTATACATGTCGTAAAGGCCTGTCTGTCTAGGTCCTTACCATAACGCAACTGAAATGATGTCACCACGTCACTTACCGCTTTTTCAATGGTGCTCTTCAAGTTGATGTATCTTGGCTGGGTAGAGTCGATGAGATCACTGGTGTAAGAGCTTCCAGGGAAATAGAGTTGGACAGCAAAACTCAACACTCCTTTAAAAAGAAAAAAAAACGATTCACAAAGATCTAGTAAAGCTCGATTGGAAAGAAGAGATAATTTTTCCTACTCGAGCACTCGAGATGTCTCTTGTTTAAACATAGCATATACCATTGTTTTGCCATTCAGTTGTTAAAATTTTCTTTAATAACTTGCTGTTAAATATTTGACAGGTTCTTGTATTGTCCTACCAGTTATAATATGCCATGATACAGCAATTATTTTTGTTATGTCCTTAGGAGTAGTATCTCTTTCAACTTCTATTTGTAATAGTAAATGTGAGTAATCATTTGATTTGAGGTTCCAGACAATTTAAATCACTGGTTGTTAATTCTCCAAAGATTTCTTTTTATTATACATTAAAACAAAGTAGCGTATAATCCAAAGTGTGAACGACAAATTACTTGAATATCAAGACCAACAGAAAAAATTGATAAAGAATTTTGTTGGGTTTTGAAACATTTGAAGGTTGTGCAGAATAAAAAGACGAACTTAACCTACCGTTAGGCTTGAGCTTGCAGATAAATGGCAGAACGGTGTTACAATCAGAGTATTGCCAGCCGCTGTTGGTAACATTTAGAGAAATGCATTTGCCTCTGGCATTGTCCATATTTGAGGCATGCCAATTGTATGCATCGATGGTGAAATCAGAGAAAACGAAAGGTGTGCCATCAACATATTGGTATGTGCCCTTGGTAGCCATATCTGACATTCCGATCCATGCTATGTCGGCTTTCTTTTCAACGGACATAGCTAGAAGAGGTAAACTATTTTCAAACTTCAATGGGTACTGTTTTGTCACTGGTGACAAAATATACGTACGATTAGATGTCTATTTCTAAGCGTCTCTCGATACTGGGTTTTGATTTAGAGTTGGGTTGGTTTGGGTTTCAAGCGGGGAAAAATTTGAGAATGGAGTAAAGTCCCCTATTCAATGTAACCAAAGAAACAATCCTGCCGTTAGCAGAAATCAGAACCGACTCTAATTTAAATATAGTTCCGACCAATCGCTCCAATGCTTTTCACACCGTCAATAAACGCTGTCATATTAGCACCGCTGGTTTTAAAGGCTATCAGAATGAGAATGCTGTAAAAGTCTTTTAATCGAATCAAAGATAACAAAAAAACCATTAGCTGTTTTACCTTTAACATAAATGTTGTCATCGGGGCATTCAACAGAAACGAGTGACCCTTTCAGGACGTTGCAGTGATCAACAGCATCACCCCAGCTCAACTTCTGTTCGAAGAAACGGTAACAGGCCTTGCCATTCAGTTGCCACTGGTCAGGACATTTCACTAGAAATGGTATATTTGTATTTATTAAAGCATTTTTGATGAAAAATTCCTCTAACAATAAACAATGTTTTTTAGAAAGATTCTCCGGCTAAAAAAGACTGTTTTAAGAGTTTTAAGTAAGCAGATGGAAAAAAATATCAAAGGTTTAATAGTTTGGCTGAATATGTTAACAGTGAATCCATATGGCTTTCTTCTTTCTCGGGAGCAATAGACAATCAACTTGAACGATTAACAAGATCTTCTTCTACATTCACTGTTCTTCGCTTAACAGCAATAGTCGATTTTGCAGGCTCTCGCTAGCACAATCAAATGATAACAAGTTTAGATCTCTTAGTCAAGTAGAAGACAGGTTTACAGCAATATGAGCATAAAGGGTCAAAGACAGAGTTTTCAGTGAACGGTTATGAATTGGCTTAACAAAGGTCCACTGAAAAATGTACCTACAAAGCAATGACCGTACTACCAAGAGAATCTAGGGAAACATGTTCTCGGTGGGATTGATTTTGTTGTTGGCCTATATCCGACGAGAAAAGGTTGGCGGAGAAGTAATATTGTTGTAAAGTGTTTTGTTATGAGGACTGCCATTTCATAACCATAATAAGTAAAAAGGGCGTTGTCTAAATATCTCTACTTTGTTCCTCTACTTTACACTTTGTCACCTACCGCTGGTATGAAAAGTGTACTTACGTTGGGATTGATCCAGATCGCCTGCTCCAGTAACTCTGTTGACATTGTCCCTGAAGCCAAGAGTCTCGTTATTTCCACCAGGAGCATAGTATGCAATGACGTAGTAAGTGCCATCAGCTGCTTTCTTGGAACCAAATCCAATGACACCGCTTTCTTTCCAAACCAGCTGTGTGAAGTCACTAGCCATGCCTTTGAATTCGTTTCTTTGGAAGTCGTAGTTCTTGATTTGGTTGTACCTGTATCGAGAGGAAACAAGTTACTTTTAGATCGAGCTTTTACAAACCTTTAGAGCAAACACCTTGTGAAGTAAAAACAAAGTAAAAACTGTAAAGCCTGGGCTAAATGCAAGTGCAATATAAACTTTCTAGAAAAATTTTCAGGACTTTAGATCACGGCTGGGACACTCGAGCACATTGTGAAATGAGGGGATGCTAGACTAGCTGGCAAACTCATATGGCAGTCTTTAGTGTCACATTCTTGATATCATACTTTAGCAAAAAGCGAGGGGGAGGTGGGCGGTTTACAGCCCTCCCAGCATAAGGGTACCAGAGTGCCTGCACGGTGATTTGATGTCCTCTAGGAGTGGTCTTTTTTCCTTTTTTTCGCGCTATTTTTCATCTCTTCTATAACATTTCTGATATAGATATTGGACTCTGCTTCAAATGAGTCTAGCCAGGCAAGACGAAAAAGTGGCAGCGCCAAGGTAGAATGAGGATACTTCTGTAGCAATTGCGATTGTTAGGGGAGTGGTAATGTTTTGGCCAAGTGCTGTTTTGTGATATGATTTTGAAACTGCATCTACGTAGCAAAAAGCTAGTCATAGGCGCTCCCTATTGGTGAAATTGGCGTCTCCTGTTGTTAAAAGAGCATTTCTTGATAGTGAGACAAGCGTAGCCTATGTTATTCTATTTTGCCCCTCCCCCCCTTTAACAGTCTATTGGCTGGCGCCGCCACTGACTTGAGCCGGTAACCTGCAAAAACAAAAAACACAGAATTTTTTACTTACCATGAAGCAGCAATCAATGTTCCAAGGTAGTCACCCCCTTTGGCAACAACAGCATCGCTTTTCAATTTGAAAGCAGTTTGTCCCCTTGTCGAGTTAACGTCAGCTCTAACATGACCATCCTTGGCAATGGCTTCTACCCATTTCTGGGCATCAGTTTCGCATACTGGACAATAACCAAGAGGCGAGACTCCATGCATCAGGCGGTATTTGTTGATTTCAGCTAAAAGTTTTCTTCGTGTTGTTTCTGATACTATCAATAAGATAAAAATCGCAAATAATGTATTGACAAATGATGTGCACAGAGTAACAAGATAGAAAACGAGCATCTGTATTCAATTACTCAGCAATTAAAAAAAAGTTATTTTAAGCATAAGAGTTTGATTTAAGTGCCATTAAAAGCGATCTGTTTCTTTGATAACAATGTGTGCATAAGTTGCCCTTGATGGAAAGAAAAGTGTCAGATTTTGGACAAAACATAGGGTGAAATCAAACACAAGCATTCTGTAAAAGGGCAAATCAGTTGAGCATGCAATCCTCAAAACATGCTTAACCTTTCACCTGTGAACCTTTCACCTGTGAACCTTTCACCTATTAACCCTTCACCTATTACATCCCACCTACCACTTGGTATAGATATTTAATTTGAACTTTGACTTACTGATTTCTTATCAAATTTATTTCGCAGAAATCATTTTATTTTGCGAGGCTAGCTATTAAAGTTGAACTGATGGGCAACATAATGTTTGTATCATGACAAAGGGTAAATCCTTGCGAGACATAAACATATACTAAAAAACTTTCATCGAGGACTTATAGGGACGCAAAAAGTTGAAATTTTTGGGTTCAATCAAAGTTCCTAATTTAAATGCAACAAAACAATTATTAATAATTTTCTTTGTTTTCAATTATCTTAGGCTTCCTTGACTCCTCGATTTCTCTTCGGTGTGTATTGTAATCTGTTATCCTGTGGTGAAGCGCAAACCAGTGTATGTCTGCCCAGTGTGGCCAGAAGCAACTGTGTTATGTTTCACTAACGTTAATTAATAATGAGTTTTAATAATACAAACGACAAGATCATTTCTACAAAAGAATAACATTTTTACCTACAATCCGTGAGCATGAAATAGGCGTAAGAGCAATAAATCAACTTTGATTAGCTTTTAAAGGCACTATATTCTATTAGAGTGGCAGCCGTTGTGAGAATTCTTTTTTTGACATGCTAGATTCCTGACCCTGTAGCCTGATAAAAAACCACAAAATACCTCAAAGCATGCACAATCAGCTGGCTGAATGTGTTCGAAATTGACTAAGATCTGACCAGTGAAAGGCGTGAGATTTGCTTAGAACCAAAGCCAATTTACAGCGTACCCAGGGTACCGTTACAGCGGTATGATGGGGAAAGAGCCCGTGGTTACGTTGCAATATCTCGGGTCGATTTGCAACACATTCAAATGATTTTGTAAATTGTGGTGCCACTCTATAGGCTCTGTGGCGCATTTATAATTGAGAAACGTTGAGAACAATTTATATAGTCCATTCTATAGTCTAGATTTTGGGAATATATAGTCCATTCTCTAGTCCAAACTATGGAAATTTAGTTGTTATTGAAATTTGCCCTAACATAGTGACCTTATGTTAATTTTAAAAAACAGACTTACATTTGCCATCAGCTGCAAACGCGACTGCTGGGACAGGGTCCGCTGGCTTCACAGCCTTTTTGTGACCAAGTACATTCCTCTTTGCTAGACGAAAAATACCATAGAAATTAGTATCCACTTCAACTACACTGAAATGTTTTACTGGCCAGAGCCATAACTGCTTTTCGCAGGGGGGGGGGGGGATTGGGGGAGCAATGCTAATTATCGTGACTTTCAGTTGGTGACTTTCCTTCAAAAGTATTATTTTGTAGATTGATAAGAAATAACTAAATTTCAGAACAATGCAATCTTATCTATAAAAAAAGTCTAAACAAACATTTTTAATCTGCAATTTTTTTAAGAACAAAACAGAAAATAAAGATTCTATAAATATACTAAATTGTACAGTATAATAAAGAACTATGAATTTAAGAGAATTTTCCTAGGAATAAACAACTAATATATTCTTAATCTGTTGATAGAATGATTCATCAATTAATCTATATTATTGATTCCTAGTACAATTTACTTAAATCTATATATGTATATTTTTTAGTGCAGAAAATGTTATCATGATTAAGATTAGCAAATGACAAATCGTGATGGAAACCTGTGAATCATACCTGATCTTGCATCGGTAAGAGAACCAAGCACAGCAAGTGCAATCAATGACCAAAGGCCCAGTTTGGTCATACTTCTACAAAATACAATCACCCACCAATATGAATGGGTCTGCTATAGAATATTCAAGAGTAGCCGAGAAAATGATAATGTCCCTGCTTGATAGGATGCAATTAACCAATATTTGATTTGCGAGAGGTATTGCGTTTTATTCCACCTCATTATTCACTTGTTATTCTTTGGGAAACCCTTTTATAATCGATCAATCAAGTTTATGAATTGGCTGTGAGTATAAGCAGTGAATAATAACTACAAAAATTGTATGTTCTCGTGAATTAAATATTCTGGAATCAAATCCAATATGAGGAAGCACATTGGGGGTATATAAAACAAAAGGATGAGGAATCATTGAATTCAGTTGCTGGGATTTTTAAGAATCATTGGATTTTTTTAAACAAGTTCCCAGTATCAAGGGAAACAGCCAGAATGCCATAAAGTCTTTGCTAATTATCTGAAAATTTATTGGCTTTATTTCTCAAGCTGAAAATTTGTTTGCAGTTATCTTAACAATGCCATCTTTTTTAATGTTTTTTGACGAATTGTGTCTCGTATTCAAATTATGATAAATGCGTAGCAAGAGATGGTTCTGCATCAGAATGTACAAAGTTTTGAAAAATACAGTGAAAGTCTATAAAATATTTGTAAGCAAGCTGTTTCCCCATTGATATAATCTTTGATGAAGATCTCAATAGGACATAACCGCCAAATATTAAGCAATTAACTGGCATAAAATTCTTAAAAATTTATTAATCGACATAGCTGTTAATGAAGAGAATATGAAATTGAGAATTTGCGAAGATGCAATGCAGTCTTTCAGAATTTTCGCAGGTTATTAGATTCTAATAGACTTAAAGTAAATCCCTTCACTACAAGTTTGAAGGTTGGAAGGACTTCAAGTTTTGGTCTACTGCATGTTAGAATCAGTAACTTATAATAAAACCTATTGAGGCCAATACAACTGAAGCCAACAAACCTTCTTTTATTTTAAAAATCCCCACCGAAATATTTATTCTACGTGTGCAAGTTATGTGGCGTATAGCTCTAGAATAATAATTTGCAGTTAATTTGCAGTTCTGTTGTAATGGGCGTAAAAATTCTAAAATATATTAACCATTTTTCACGCAGGGAAACTGTTAGCATTCAAATGGCTACCTAAATATGCAATCTATTGAAAAGTAGTGTTAATTGTTGCAGCTTCGTCGATTGTTCATCTTCTCAAGAGAGCAGGCTCATTTTGTTACGAGCTCTAACACTTTCTCACATTTGAAGCAGTTTGAAAATTCGTGTAGAAAAGTTTGCTTGTAGACCAAATTAAAATATTTACGGCCATAAAGAGTTTAAGTAAACGCTGACTGGTGGCTCAAGAATTTTCAGTCACAAATATTTGTACTAAGAATAACTCTAATTTTACTTACCCTTATAAATATTCCGTAAAACTACAATTTCTACCAGATTCCACGTTTTTAAACAATTCTAGTGTTAATTGTCCAGCAGATTTTATCACGTTGAACTTGAAAATAGTTTAATTTCGCAGCCATAAACAAATTCCGGCAATAAAGGCTTGATTGAATAATGGCGTAACGCAAAGCAGGGCAGGTAGCCCCGATTCACAAACCATGAATTCATAATTATTGTTTGGCTACAAGGGTGCTCAACAACAATGAAAATCTCCAAAGATCACTGGTAGTCTCGATTCAAGCGCACTTAAGGTCATCTTCGTAGATAGTCTAAAACTGATTTGGCAAATTGACTAAATTGTATGTAAAATGCAATTATAACTCAAGGGGCGCTGGCACTTAATCATGGCCAAGTGGGCGTTAGCCGAAAACGCACAGGTGCCAAAGTCAATGCACCTGCTAACACTTTGTTACAGTAAGCAAACTAAGGCGGATTGGCAACAAAAAGGCGGGAATAGGACAATGTTTGCAATACTCCCATTTGCATTGTTTTCATTTCGATTCGTTTTCGAAAATACTTGTTGTTCGACAAATGCGAATCTACTTGAAAACGCTGCGAAGGCGATGGATGTTCGTAATGCTCCTATAGAACGGTGAAATACGCCTTTCCAGTGCTACTGTTTCAAAATTTCCCCCTTTACAATGTACATTGATCATTTGTACATCAAGCGCATATATTTTAAATCTGCTTTCATATTAAAACACAGTGTGAACAAGATGCCTCTTATCACTCTTTCAGATAGTGCTCAATGCCGTAAGGCAGAGCTGATCACGCTTTTTGCGTAGAACAGGACGGTACCAAATTGCTTCTCTAAGATTCACTAAGCAATTCATGCTAAAACGCAAGCACAAAGGACTTCTGAGCTAGTAAGAACGGGCATGACACAAGCATTTGGACAAGCACAAGAATATCAATTCCTTCCGTTCTTCTTACACTTGTGCTTGTTTTACTATTCTTTCCTGTGAGAGCATTCAAAGCAGAAGAGAAAAATGCTCTCCTAAGCCTAATGCTTCTGTCTATTCCGTCCCCATTAGAATGCGTCTCCACTAGCGCATAAGGTCTTTGCTTGCGTTTTGCTTGCGTTTGCGTCGCTAGCGAGGACCAAGCTTTAATACACGATAATTAGGCAGCTCTCATCAGTGTAAATCTAATTAGAGGAGAGTATAGAGTTTGGGCTTTCAGCTGGGAATACCTTCAAGCCTTCAGAAGATATCAGAAAAACTATCTTAACGTACATTAGCCTTTCACCGCAGTACTACAACCCACACTGAGGTTCTGGTGCCCAGGGCACCTTAATGGAAGCTGGTGTTTTGGTTGATCTACAATTTTCAAACTGAAATTAGTCTACTGTATACTTCAATCTCAAGAACTTTCGTAGAAATTGGCCATCCCAGCAGCTATGCTGTGACCAGTGGCGGATTAAAGGGGGGGGGGGTGCAACTAGGGGTAGTTGCCCCTCCCTCGACGAGTTGAAGGAAGTCTAGCGCCTCTTTTCTGAAAATTGTGCGCCCTTTTTGAAGAATCAGAAACAGGTGAAAAATTTCTGAGACCGATAGGTTAATTTGCTTCAAGGATAACCGCAAAGTTATGTTGTTTATTCTGAAAATGGATCTGAAATTTTTGTATACAGCGTACTCTTGTTACCAATTTTTGGAAATTTTTTAGCGCCCCCACTACCGACTGCCCCTCCTTCAAATTTGCTCTGGATCCGCCCCTGGCTGTAACTTTAGTCAAGACGTTGAGAGCCAGCTTGGGCTTTAAGTGAACTGGGCCCCTTGGGAGAGTTTCAGATGTAAAATTGCATTGGGACGAATCATGTTCTCCTTTTTCTAAAAATATGAATATGATAGCATAAGACCAAAAATCAACAATCAAATTGATGAAGCTGAATTGAAACTGTGCTATACACAACTAAGACAATACAAAACAAGTAATCCAATATAAGTTTTTGCTACACATTTAAACAATGGAGCAAATCTTGCTACTAAGCATGCTCAACTCAAATCTGAAAAATGCAGTTAAGTCCTACGGGGACTCTGTATTAGCCAAATAATATATAAGAATTATTAAAAACAAGACTCTAGATTATCTTGAAAAAGGGAGACAATAGCTAAACTATACTCATTAACAGGATGGTGGTCACAATTATGCCATGTAAAGAATATAGGGACTTGTATTCAGAGCAAGTAAAGGTAGATTTCATCATAATTGACATTCATTCAAACATAATTATGTAAAGTTATGTTCCTTGATAGCAAAAGTTTTCTGCATTATTCATTACTTTAAAACACAAACTTTACATCTACAGGGTAAAAAAGCTATTTTCAGAAAAAATAGAACTTTTAAAAGAGATGATGAGATGAAACCTGTTTACTTTAAATAGTTTACCAAATTTGAAGGAAAGTAAACAATTGAATATGTAATATTGAAATCAGCTTCTTTGGCATCATAAATGTTAAAGGAATGCCTAAGTTGGTATAATACAATGAAGTAATTCTACTTGAGATTTTAGGTGTTGAATACACTGCTCAAAAAACATATAATCAAAGATTCAAAGCTATTTAATCCCAAAACTGGATAGGATTTTGAGAACCTTAATTTGGAAAAAGAACTTCTCCTGAAACTATATGCAGAACAGGGTCCTGGTGGTAACCAGGTTGATTAAAAAACAAGATCAGCTTAGCTTTGTGGTAACAATGCCGCTTGGGTAAAGGGTACTAGTCTGAATAGCAATGTTCTTTTGACAAAAAAAATTGTATCTACAGATTGCACTGTTAACACCAACTTCAACTGATAAACAAGTCACAATTTATGTCTTGCTTTACAGAATCAAGCCAAAGTTTTAACTATGGGTGACTGGCTTTTTATTCATTCATCAAAATAATAATTCAACTAAAAGAAGCCATGTGTGTAACAGCCATCAAGGTGTTAATTTTACGACATATATTCCAAATTCAAATGTTATAAGCTGCGGAATTCAATAACTGACTGATGTAAACCCTTGCATTCTGGCTGAATAACTAGTGCTTGTTCCAAAGAAATCCAGCTAAAACTCCCATACCTACAACAAGAAGTGTGCCAACCATGACTTTAAATGAGAAGCTGTCATCAGTTGTTTCATCTTTTGGCTTCTCTTTCTTCAAACCTTCTACCATTCGTTTGTACATATCACTCTCCTTTTGGCTGCTCTGTTTGACATATTTACCTACACGAGTAAGCTCACTATGGACCAATTTATTATTGGGATCAAGCATTGAGGCTTCTTTGAGGCACTTCAAAGCCTCTCTTGTATCACCTAATGCCTCAAGACACTTTGCTTTTCTGAATATTGCCTTAACATTTTCAGACTGCAACCTCAAGACATTATTACAGGATTGCAATGCTGCTTGAAAAGCATTGACCTTGAGCTGAGAAGCAGATAAATTATTCTGGCATTTAACTTTCATTTCAATGACTTCCTCACTAGCAGACCCTTCTAAATACTTAAGTCCTCTTTTGTAGCATTCAATTGCACCACCAAAGTCTCCTCTTGTATACAAGCTATTTCCTCTGAGCCTCTTTTTATCTGCAATTTCAACTCTTTCAGCATTAGACAATTGTTCTTTATCTGGACCTTCGGTGACTGCTATTAATTCTACTTCATATGTAATATCACAGTTTTTTGGTATAACTGGTTCCGTTTCATCACATCCAAATGGACCATATGCATATTTTGAGTTTGTATACAAAAGTGCTTTCTCTCCAACCTCCATTAGTGCAACTGCCATTTCTAAAGCTTGAATCACATCCCTGTCATCAATTATAAAGACAATTTTCTCCTCTTTCAATTTAGCTCCATCTTTTAACTCACCATTAACAATTAATGTAACTTCATCTCCTGGTTTTGGCCTTGAATCAGGACCTTTACCTGGTACTAATACTTTTTTCTTTAATAAACCATTTCCAAGCATATCAAGCCATTCATTTTCCTTAGGTTTTTCATTTAGCAGCATTTCTGCATCCTCAACACTTGCTTCACTTTCAACAGCAGATTCTTTGACTTCTTCGTCCATTTTTTTGTCAGCTTGCTGGGTTGATTCAGTGTTATCATTGTCACCATCCAGTTCTTGTGTTTTTGTAATAGTGTGGTCAATTGTTTCTGGCACTTCTGTAATACTCTGGCTAGGTTCTGTGCGAATGGAACTAGATGTAATATTACAATCCTCTGAGCCAAGATCTTCTTTTACATCATTGGAAACATTGTCAGTGACAAGAGCTTCTTCAGCTTCATCACCAGCATCATTCAACAGTTGGTCAGTGTCTTTTGACTCAATCACAGCCTCTTTATTCTCTTCAACTGTACTACTGTGGTCTTGCCCAGCCTCATTGTGAAGAAGACCAACATCCTCTCTTTTGGCAACTACTTCATGTCCATTTTCTATATCTTCTTCGCTTTGTTCACTTTCGTTCGTCACACCAACATCCTCTCTTTTGGCAACTACTTCATGTCCATTTTCCATATCTTCTTCGCTTTGTTCACTTTCATTCGTCACACCAACATCCTCTCTTTTAGCAACTACTTCATGTCCATTTTTCATATCTTCTTCGCTTTGTTCACTTTCATTCGTCACACCATTGTCCTCTCTGTTGGCAACTATTTCATGTCCATTTTCTACATCTTCTTCGCTTTGTTTGCTTTCGTTTGTCACACCAACATGAATCTCAGCACTTTTTTCATGTTCATTACTTAATTGCATATCATCGTGTACAGTTTGATTTTCTACGGTAGAGTCAATATCATTTTCCACTATTTGTTCATCTGCATCTGGGCCTACAGAATTGGCCATTTCGTTCCCAATCATTTTATCCTTTTCTGCTTCGCCATCTCCCATATCATTGGCCTGGCCAGGTGTTTTAACTGACATCCCATTATCGCTTTTATCTCTTGGAATGTTAGCAGCAGTTTCGATATTTGATTTTGAGACATCGCCCAGTGATGATGAGTTTTCAGTCACAACTCCTTGCTCTTCAGCAACATTATTACTGCCGTTGACATCGGTACTCTCCATGGTATTTTTTGATAAGAGTCTCTCCCTTCTTCCACTGCTTTATCAGATAAAAGGCACGAATGTAACGTGCATTTGATACTTGAGCATTGACAAGTAACAAGAAATTTCGCTCACCTGTCCCCTCGGTATCAGGCAAGCAAAAAGAGGCTATTTAATAATGACTAAAATTTGGCGGGAAACATAGACGGCTGTCATCCTGTGAAAATGGTTGAGCATCAGGATAGTCATCGCTATTTTCTGCAATGGTTTGTCGCACAGAGTTTGACAACAGAGCGTAATGCTCGGCAATTGCATGAGAAGGCTTGCAACAAATATGACGGTTGGTTAATTTTTAAAACGCTCATGAAAACAACAATACGACATGTCATTAATGATTTTCTGTCTAGAAATGCCATTGGAGGTTTGATGATCAATTGAAATGGCGCAATTTGCACAATTTGTGTGTTATTGCATAAAAGACTTGTATTATGTATTATGTATTATGAAAATTCACCCCAGCTAAGTTTGCATTGAAGTCAGTTAAGCTTGATAACGACTTCTCTTAAGATCGAGTCAAGACATTTGAAACAAGTCTTTTAACATGGTTTGAGCTATATAAAATAAACGAGCCAACCTTTTTTCTCTACAGGTATCTGCTTGCTGACCAAAATTCAAGCATTCCAAAATTAGCAGTCTCAAATTGTAATAAACAACTTATCATTTTGGTTTTTATTTTCTAAATTTAGTCCAGTTATTTGCGCCAACAATTGGTTTCCTATCTTTTCAGTCCATTATGATGCAGATTCATTTTCTGCATTTATTTCAATCATAAACAAGAATCTCAAGCCAATCTTCATGGAAATAAGACATGGAAAATCGGAAGATGATGGAACATCATATTACGCACTGGTACTGAAATTTTTCATCACTTTTTACTAAAGTTGAAAATTGTAATTTTCCATATTGATAACTTTATTCATACAATATTCACCATTATTGAATAGTAATTGATAACAAAGGCAGATTCGGATGAAATTTCAATAATGTAAACTGGGTTCCATGAAGTGTTCTCAAAATATGATAGTCACACCCTTAGCTCAATCATTCCTGATTCGAAATGAATTTTTTATCCAAAACTTCCCTGTATAAAGAAAGGCTGACTATGTATCAATGCAGAATAATTATACATTTTCTAAAGGGTTATAAGATAATGAAACTCCTAATTGTCTCATAAAGCCCTATTAGTTTTGCGTTGAGTTCAATTGTGATGTTGTCATAGAAATGTATGTTCCATGACTATAAACCCTTAATTGCAAAGTGAAGATAAAGTTCTACATCAGGTTTGGTTATTTGTTTTTAGCTCAGCTTATTGGAAGGTTAACATGTCTGGGCGTCTAAACTTTTTAACAGTCTTAAAAGGATTAGTACTTTTGATATACCACAGTTCTCCTACCATTAATTGTGTTTATAAATGTTCACTTTGACAAAAATTGTTTGATGACCATTCATAAAAGTATTCATGGTTCATTTCAGGTCAACTGTTCTGAAGATGAGCATTCTAAACTAGCAACCAGCTTCACTGCCAATGAAATTGCATTTTTCAAAAGAGTTGTAAGTAATCTTGTTCAGGATTAAGCTTGCATTTTTAAGGAGGCTTGATATAGTGCTGAATTTTTCAATTCAAGTTCTGCTTTCCCATCTGGGTCAACCAAGACATTTCTCAATAGTGTAACTAATCCTTGTAACACACAATGGAAGATTATGAGAGCCCTAAAGCATTGATTATAAGATCTTTAATCTTTATCAAATTCCTCTGGACTTTTCTTAAATAAAATCAATAAGCAGACAGACAGTAGGGAACTAGCAAAGCAGACAATAGGGAACTAGCAAAGAGGCAGATGGTCTATTTGCTTCCTATAAACCAAGATAAGCGGTAGGGTGTGATGGCACAAGTTGGCTCTAACAATTTATGAAAATATTTGTTGATGAAATGCAATCTTCATCCATAAATCAAATAAGTGTAACTTTTCTTGCATGATGTGTCTATATTTCTACTAGCTTGAATCCATTGTTTCATCTGATGATGGCTACCTCCCCTCGATGACTCTTGTGAATCTCGGCTCTGAATTGGATGTGAAAATATCAGCAAGTGCCTCAGAGGTATGGCAAGTTTCATTGGTCACTTGTAAAATAAGAATCCTGAGATGAAACTCTAAGGGATACTTTGAAGTCACTTTAAAATATAAGGGTTGAAATCAGGTCATGACATTGAGAAGCTTTCCTCTCCATGTGACCCTCGCTCATGATTCCTAACCTGAAAATGTCATAGCGTTAGGCAATATAAGTCATTAACCTGTTGTTCACCAACATAATAAGTACAGAGCGGCCCATACATCCAGATTCTTGTCATCTCATAAAACAAAGTTGAAAATACCAGAATTCAAAAGAAACACTGCTTCTTTTTTAGTCTCTGTTGACTAAATTGGTGGAAGAAAAATGGCTCACAGAGGTAGAAATTGCATTTATACCTTAATTTCCATTTAACATGAAATGTTTTTAAATAACATTGATATATTTGCACTTCGGAATTTTAATGCTCAGTTATAGATGATTTGAATACCAATGAACTAATATTTTTATCAACAAAATTATAAATTATATGAATATAAACATTAAAGAAGTTAATAAATCACCCATAAATTATACTTCTAAAGTGAAATGTATGAAAAGGTGATACTATTATTTTCATTATCCTGGTAGATATCTTTTGGAGAAGTTTGAAAAACAGAACCCTTTGTTTTTTAGATTGATGGTGACTTTTCTTTAGGGCCCCGGACACTAATAGAATTGAGTATGTACTTGAAAAATATTTACAATGAAGAGATCCCAGACTGCAAAATGTGCATGCATATTGTGATCAAGGTACAGTTTAACAATTTTTTTTTCTGTTCTGATGTCTTGCATTGTCTGTGGGAAGTGGGTACATGCTTTGCTGAGTTTTTTAGCTTGTTTAGATTACCATCTAGCATGGTCGACGCTTTATAAAGATATCTGTGTTTCCAAGTCTTATTTTTAGCTATGCATAGACAAGTAATTTAGGATCTAAAGTCATTACATGAGAAGAATGTGGTATTGAAATTGCAGAACAACTTAATAATTTCAATGAAGGTTCAATAAAAAAGCTGATAAAGGACTGAGATGACTGAGAGAGATGTTTCTGTTTTCATTTAGAGAAACATTTTTTTCTCCATAGGGTCAAACATGTGCAAACTGTGGGGTTAGAATTCACTTGTATTGTGCTGCCAGGTTTTTCAAAGGAAGGTAAGTAATTTGCTTCAAGCTATGTTCCTTCTAGTGTAGTACTTCATAACCTGAAAGCCAGTAAGGCCTAATATTGCTAACACGCAATCGCTTACAACCATGTTTTTATTGTTTTTGATGAAATGAAGCTAAGAAATAAATTTCTTAAGATAATTTCAAATCAAACTATGTTTGGTTAAAATATTCACAACTAGGACTAACTTCAAAGGAAAGATGAATTTTTGAATCTTTTTAATCATTTACATTTGGAGGGTTGTTGAATCCCTGTTTTTCTTGAAAAGAATTTCAAATTCATCTGTGTAGCTTACGAACTTTGAGAGGAAATTTAAAGTGTTGCAAATTACACAAAACTGACTTTGTCCAGTGTATTGGGTTTACAAATGTTTTTTTTTCAAATTATCAAATAAACTTCTTATTTAAAACCTTTTACAGGGATCTTGATGCAAGGAAGTGTCCTGGGTGCCAAGCAAATTGGCTCCATGAGGTCCCAAGAATAAGAAACCAAAGAGAGACAACGAGTATGTTTATCAAAGTTCTTCAATTGTTTGCTGTTTTAAAACATCTAAATAAACTGTATGGTCAGAAAATGGTGGAAATCTTTGCATCACTTTTCTTTGTCAAAATAAAATCCAAACCTTCTGTGTTGAAAGAAGACTGTCATAAACAGAATACTTGAAAAATTCAAACAAGGAAAAAAAATATTTTTACTAAACACCTAATTTTATTTTATTTTTTTATTAGATACATCTACCAACAGTGACCCAGAGCCAGGAAGTTCAGGACTTATTCATGAAATGCAAAGAGCTGGCAGAACTCGCACCAAACGAACATCAAGATGAAACAACTAATATAGGGCTTATACACACCATTTTCTTGAAACATTTGCTATTATTTAAATACCTCCAATCCAATGAAAGGTTTTTTTCTAAATGTGATTAGGAAAACAATGCATCAAACATCCCACTTTGACGTGAGCATACATAGGTGGAAAATCTTAAAAAAGCTTGATCAAAACCCCAGTTTTTTTCAAATTTATACTTCTGATTAAAACCAGGGATATTCCAGAGAAGAAATTGATTTTTCTTACCTCCTTGGCAATAAAGAAAATAAAAATCAGGGGATGTCAAGTTTGCTAACAGAAGAGCATTATTTCTGATTTTGAATGTTTACTGAAAACACAATGTATATGGTTAACATCTGTTTTTCTTTGTCAATAAAATTTTAGAACATGCGCAGAAGACTGCACTGTCAATGTATTGTTATTTTTAAAATGATGCTGCCTATATCAATCTTTAAAAAAAATTAAAAAATTTAAAAAATCTAAAATAATTTAAAAAAAAGAAATGTTATGTTGATTTGAAGAGGCAGATCTCAGTGAAAGGTTTTTCCCTTGTGTTTTATCTTTCGTTGGTATATTCTTTACCTTTAAATGCAATACAAGGGGCCATTTCTTCTCACAGCAAATACTTTAAATTTGGTCTTGTCTAGGCACTTTGTAAATACATGATTGGACTAGACCATTATGCAAATGAGCCACCACGATGTTGGAAGAAGCAACTGACTTTGCCAAAAAACTAGTCACAAATCGAATTAACCTATTGATTTTTTTAATTCTAAATGATATAATCATCTGGATGGTACAATTCACTAAGCAGTCTGTAAACATAAGATGGTGCATTCCCTCCAACATCAGATATGTACAGGTTCACCAGATCTGGGGTGATGTAATCAAATGCTGGATTTGTTATTGAAATCCTTGACAAAAGATGACCCTCTGAAAAATCCATCACATCATGTGGAGAGAGAAATTTGTTAATGTTATCTTGATCATATGAGCAAACATACTGAGGTGATAGCTTGAATAGGGCACCACACACAATCAAAGGCACTGAATGATGCTTTGCAGCCAAAGCCAATGCTCCACATCCACTCACAACCTTGAGACCACCATCTGCCATTACTGTATCTGCACCAATTATTACTTTATTGACACGAGCCATTATTGCAAAGATGGCAGCATCAGCTATTAAGGTAGTTTCAACACCAGTCTCAGCTAAACGTTTGGCAAGATTTTGGCCATGGTAGTAAGGTGCACATTCAGCTACTATAACGCTGAACTTTCGCTTCCTTGCTGCATTCTTCAAGAACTTTTCGACAGTTCTTGAAGCTCCCATTGTCATTATAACTTCATTTGAATGAATATGCTCCAAGGCTTGCGCTGCAATGTTATCTATGCTTGTTTCCAACTCACTAATCAACTCATTAATGGCATCCACTATAATTGACTTTAGTAAAGGAACTGAACCAGTGAAATCTCCACTCTTCTTTTCTGATAGTAGGAATCCCTGCAAAGATCCACTTGTTCCATCTATTGACAAAATCAAAGCAAAAATAGCAAGCTAAAAACGAACTGATTTTTGAAGATAAAATTTTCAAATCGGACTTGTTTACCTGTGACAATTTTTTAATCTACCACCTGGACTATATTTTGAAAAAGTTTTGACATTTTGGTGAAGTAGCTAAACCAGTTTGAAAAACATTGTAGAGCCATCCCAGACTGGAAACTTTGCTTCTTGCGCGGGCAAGTTTATTTTGAAAATTTGAGACTGCGCGCCTGAAATCATGCACTCTTAGTTATTTTTATTGTTAATTATGTTAAATCCTATTGTCAAGGGATCTAGGGGATTTTGCGCGGCCAATATGCAAAAGCGCGCAGAGGTGTGCGCGGGCAATATATTGCAGGCGCGCAGCAAAGTTTCCAGTCTGGGAGCCATCAAGCTAGAGTGAATTTTCAAAATACTTATCTAAAGACAATTAAATCCAGAAACGCTACACTTTTTGATATGATGTAAACACGAACTTTCATGCAAGATAACTTCATTGTATTGGTATGAGAATGCACCTTTTGGTCACCAGTGCTGATAAATTCACAAAGCTTGACAAATGAAATCAGCTCAACGCATAACTTGGTTAAATAAAAGAGCTTTACCTTCAGTTTTTCCAATCGCAGTGGCATATTCTTCTTTGATTATTTTCAATATTCTCCGCACCATGTTTCCAACCGCTGCCTCTGAAGGCTGTGCCTCAACCAGTTTTTGTCCCGCAAGTCTCACAAACTCCATCAATTCTTTTGCATTTCCCCATCTCAGTTGCCCTACTGCTTTTCTTAAAACTAAAACAGTTTTCATAGCGACATTGTAGCTACCGTTTATCTCTCCTCTTTTCAAGCATGTCACAAGGCTTTCCACGTGTTCATTGACTTCATCTATGTTTGAAAAGGCAGCCATACTGATTTCGAAGTGGGCCTAAGCTAAAGATAGAAAATCTCGTTTTGAAACAGCAGCTCTTGGTGCACGGCCTTCGAAAATCAAGTAAAGCTCCAGTCTTGCAAAATACAAAGCAGTGACTTTTTCTTTTTCGTATGATGCATAAATTTAATCGAAAGAGGTGCATGCAGTCTCTTTGAGCATTCAAATTACTTATTTCGTACACTGCAAAGTGTTTCAAAGATGGAAGTCTTGAATTGAAAAGAAAACGAGGCAGGATCCATTTTGTGCCGCTGACCAGTGAGAGCGCTGCGCTTGTTTTTGCTTGGTAACAAAAAAACTTTGCAAATGGCGCCGGGAACTCTAAATCAGGTATTTGGAATCAACTTTCGCTTTTGACTTTTGAATTGCAGACAACGCTTTTTAGCAAAATTTAGTACAATCGTAGATAAGATTTGATAAATTTAATCTGCCTCGGAATTCTTATGCGCGTTATTGATGATGTGCAAATTTTGTTTATCAAATCTGCAAACTTTATGCACGTCCCTAAATATTGTTTGTGATTTTGGAAATGTGTAAGTTAGATTCAGTTGGCAACATTATCAAAGTATGATAATTTGAAAACTATCATTATTCTCTATATAATTATCATACAGTACAATTCTCTTATTATTTCTCAATACACGAATTGGTATGAGAAAATATAATTTGATGATGTGAACTGATATAATAAACAAACGTTTTTCAGGCTGACCTGGACCCAGGCAATGCTTCCAATACTATAATATTTGACTGTTCAAAGAAAGAGCTCCTCAATCCAAGCAATGGATTCAAATCTTGGACAAGGAAGCTAAAAACAAATTGGAAAATCATTACGTATGTTGCCTTGGGTGGACTTTTAATGATTAAATTTCATGCTGAACAAATTAGTTGTGAAGTTGCAACTTTTCCTTCAAAATATTGTTTTTTTGAGAAAGTACATAATCAAGAATTGTTGAGATACATTTCAAGGAAATCTTAATAACTTATAGCTCAACCCAGTGAAAAACCAATTTTTATCAGTGTTAAGGTACTTCCACAAAAACAACAAAAGCCGAAACTTGAGATTGCTCTTTTAACAAGAAATTAATGATGTTTTTTAGCTTGCAAATAAATTTGCTATATCATTATTTGTTTTGACAATAAGGGTAAAGAAGGAAATAATATTTTTGATGAATTGCCTTTCTAGGAATAAAGATGAAATCAGCCTTGATAAGCTTACTGCTGGAAGGGTTCTTGTTTTGGCAGCACCAAGGGAAAAATTCAAAGCTAGTGAGGTACTATTTTGCAAAAAAGTTATTTTGTACCAGACTACAGATTTGTCGGCAGGGCATAATTTTCTGCTGCTGATGCTTGTATGGGAATAAACCATGTTAAATAATAATAATTCACAATTAGAGATGCAAGGACAGGATTTGAGGAACAAATAACTGTTTGGAAGGTGTAACCTATACTTAATTGTCTTACAGCTTTCTAGCAATAATAAAACTAATTTAAATTAAAAAAGCATCAAGTTTCTACTTGTTAAATATGAAAATTGAGAGACTCAAGATAAAGATTGAATTGAAATTTTATGTCAACTGTCACAAACTCCACAAATTTAGCATAAATAATGTTTATGAATACTCAAGATTAAAAGATTCAAGTGTTTCAGCATGATAAGTGTTGCTTATAATGATAATAGTTTTAATTGGAAACTTAGAGTACTTGCAAGTTAAACTAATTCAGATATGTAAGTTTATAATGTATGGTCAATTGTTTTAAGCAAAATAGAAAAATCCAATGCTAAATTTCTATTCAAGAATTTGAAAAATTATATTTTAGAAACTATTTGAAAGTCATTGAACTTTGCAAAAATGTATTTAGTCTGTAGAGCAATTTTATTCGAAGCAACTTTGAGTGTATAGATTGCTGAAACAGAAAGAGGGCCTTCATCTCTAGATCTAACATACTTTGAAGGTTCCTACTTGAAGAATTCTGCTTCGATTTGTCTTTTTAATAATATTACTGTTGTTTTCATGTTCTGTTATTGATTTATTTATATAATTAGTTTTTTATTGTAGCAGAATTTGAATTAGATCAAAATCCAATGCTCATGTTGATATTTAGAATAAAAATTTGCAGAAATTCCAAGTATAAAGTTACAATTCTTGTTTCTATTTCATCTTTCAGTTTGAAGCTATAAAGCAGTTTGTCGATAAAGGAGGCAATGTTATTGTTATGATGAGTGAAGGTGGCGAAAATTCATTAAAAACAAACATCAATTTCCTGCTAGAAGATTATGGTATCATGGTTAATTCAGGTAACAAAGTTAATTGATCAAGAAGCCTCTTCTCTATATTGAAAGATTTTGTTTATTTGCTTGGTTCCAGTTTATACAGAAATTGGCCTTTTGTATTAAGTTTAGTGATAACATTTTATTTCTTTTTGCTGCCAAAGCAAATTCCTTGTTTTCTTCTAATTTCTTCAAAGTTTCATCTCATGCTAAAAATTTTCAATGACTAATATGATAATAAACAAGTATTTTCTTATTTTCAATATTTACTGATAGTTTATTTAAGCTTATTGGCATTTTTTCTTGTTATATATAAATGATTTCTCATTTGATAAATTCATTATTTTTCAATATGTGCTGTTCCTGCTTGCTGTATCTACAAAATTTAGTAATAGATTGTGAGGAACACAGTACCTTTTATTTCCTTTTTTATTTTGTAGCAATGAATACCATACTTCATTGTCTTTAACTTTCAGATGCTGTTGTGAGAACAAGTTATTATAAGTACTTTGTACCAAAAGAGGCTTTTGTGCCAAATGGGGTTTTGAATAGGTGAGTGTTGGATTTATGACCTTTGCTCTAAATGATAATCAATGCAATAAGATGCCTTGTAGACCAATCAAACTCGAGTGGAGATATTCACAACTTAAGGTGGTCACAATGAAAAGCTATCAAATTTCATATGAACCTAGATCGGTTTTTGCTTAGTGCTAATTAATTAGATACAAAAGAAAATGTGGGTTCTTCAAAGATTCTCAATACAGCAATAATGTACAGAAAAATCACAAAAACAGAAATACTGCATGAAAACATAGCAAACTACAACTGCATTGCATGCATCATTTAATGGAGTTTTACTAGAACAGGCGTTGCAATGAGATGCTCAAGCTTAATAAAGCACCACCACCACCTAGAAAGTTCTAGGAACTTGATTGATCAAGCACATAGCATATTTATGATCTCTTAAAATTAAATATGAAAAGCCAAATTTTCTTATTGATGATATTTGATGATGCTTAATTGAGTGCCTAGAAAGTTGAAGGGGTTCAGTTTGTCAAGCGTGTACTTCTTGCTCTTCACAATGCCTGTAATAGAAACGTCTTCTTCATTTCACTTGAGTATTTCAGTTTTATCCACTATTTAGGATACTGAGATGCATGTATCATGTGTGTGTACAATTTGCTTGATTTTTCTTATACCATCTTTATAATTGAGCAATAATACTTTCTTTTTTAGAGAGATAAATAAAGCAGCTGGTAAGAAAATTCCTGGATCATCAGTCTCTGCTAGTGATGTGACTCAAGGACATGAGTAAGTTCAATGCTAATCTTTTTAACAAGGCAGACAGATTCAATCCTAAGTTTTTATTTATGGCTTGGGTATATGTTTTGAGTATCACATAAATTTTAAGCTAGGCCCTGCAAGGAGATGCTAATGATGGCACAGCGTCAGCAGCAATATTTCAGATGTGATGTTTTTATTGATGTTGCATTACAAATTAAATACAACTAATCAACTAAGCCTACGGCACTGCAAAAATTTTAATTAGGACAGGGAGGCAGAGACAAATCAATAATATATAAAATACTATTTTCTTTATTATGGAAAGATAATTCAATTGTCTTTCTCTGGCATATTGCTCAGATTTATTCTAGTCTGATCTTTATTTCTTTCAAAATATCTATGTATCTGTCTCTAGAATCTATTTCACAGCTTATGCTATTTGTTGACACAAAGATTCTCCATTTCTATTTCTAGATGCTTGAGTTTTGTTTACCCCTATGGTGCAACACTGACTGTTGATAAGCGTGCTGTATCAGTCTTGTCGACTGGAAGTGTGTGCTTTCCATTAAACAGACCAATTTGTGCTTTCCACTCTTCCAAGGTATGCTGTAAACATTTACCAGCATGTTGAAAATGCCTTTGTTTAGTACACCATATCATTTTGATGCACTAATATACTTTGATGTTTGACCTATGAATTTGTCGAATGACAAAATAGTATACTAGTTTTAAATACCTATCAATAATATTTTGTTCAAAATTTAAAAACTCTTGTTTTCTCTTTGGGAACTTTTCGTGAGACTCTTCAACTTTTATTTGATAATACCAGGCTTTGTCATATTGAAAGGTGTTTATTTTCTAAAACCTTTTTGCTAGTTCCATTTAGCAATCCTTCAAGATACCTCAAAGCAGACCGATGAAGATCCTTTGTATATTGTCATCCAAGCTGTTTACTAACACCTTGTATGAACTTTGAATAAACCTGGCTTAGCAAAGATATTTTAATGCTATATGATACAGAGCACCAATTCCTTCCACTGGTTGTTACAAATTCTATATAGGCCTACAGGATTGTGGACAAAATTTTTCTACTTCAGAATTTTACTTATAAATGATGTTATTTTATCATAAAGAAGCTGTGATTCTAACAAAGCTAAGGAAGTGGCAAAAGGTTTCATATCTTAAAATGTTTATTTTAGGGTTCAAAAGGGAAATTGGTTGTATTAGGTTCAGTGCATATTTTCAGTGATCAATATATAGACAAGGAGGAAAACAACAAAGTGCAGGTTTGAAATTGCTTAAGACATACTTATCTTCTTAATTATCTTGCATCTGTAATTTGTCCCGTTTTATCCTTATCTTGCAGAAGATAAGCCTAATCTCAAATTCCTTCAATTTTTTTTTCATAAGAATTTCTTAAGTTTTTTTTAAAACGAAAGGTTTATGAAAGAGAGATTTTCAGTAAAACAATGGTTCAACCCGGGCTGTTCTTTAATATTCAAGTTTAGAAACAGAAACTGAGTATGAGCTTTATATAAAATTTCAAACAGCTGCAAGGCATATCTAAGATAATTAGAGGAATGATTCATACGTAATCCAAAAAGTCTCTTGACAATTAAAAGCCTTTGTTTTTATAAAGAGTGTTTCTCTTTTCAAGGATGTTATTTTGAGATGGCTCACCACGGATGATTTCCAGTTAAATAACATAGATGCTGAAGACCCAGAGGTATGAAAAGTTTAAACAAATAGTTGTTATATTTCTTTTAGTAGGCAAGTAAGTGTCACTAGCACACCTTTTTTGAGAAAATTTTGATATATACTTGAATATTAAGCCTGAATGTCATATAATGCTTCCTTCTACAAAATAAAAGCCACTTCCAGGAACTGTACGACCCATCTTATGCGATATGTTAAAACAAGATAAAAAACAGTTCTTACTAGAAAGGTCTAATTAAAGTCTCGCGATTTTTCTCTACGTTTGTAGTCCGTTTCTCGATGGAACAAACTATGTTGTCCATAACAAGATTATCGTCGTCACGACTAGGCCTTTAGTATTTCTAACCTGTTTTAACACAGATTCTGGACGGTTTTAGCCAACTTTTGTGTTTCTGCATGTCTTTTTTAAGAGCAAAGTAACGATTTATAGAGTTCAATCAAGAGTCGTGGCCATTTTAATAACACTTAACCATTCTGATGCAGAGTATTTGAAAACATGGGTACACAGCTGACATTTGTTTCCTAACGACTTTCATTAAGTGTCAAAACCAGATAACCACTAAAAACCATCCACTTATTTGCACCATCGCCTAAATACCGTTGAATAATTATGTGGATAATCCACACAACAGTTCCATAGCTTTAATTTTATATTGTCAACTACAAGTCTCTCTGAAGATATCTGCAATGTAAAATTGTAGTTCTACAAACTAAAGATGTTAAATGAATATGTGCTTGCTATATCACATTCAAGACTCGAGAAGAAAGTTGAGAAAATGATTACTGAAATGTCTTGACACAACAATTGAAAAGTTCTGCGCTTAATCTTTACAGTTTGTAGCACTATATTTTTAACTGTTAACATATTACGAAATTTTCGAGGGTTCAAAGACAATTAAAAAGTCTTTAAAACAACACGTGCTTTGATAATTATTAAGAGCAACCTTTAAAAGCAGCCAAATCTGCAGTATTATTTTCATCAATTTTGTCAGTCTGTTCTTAAACAAGGAAAAGGTAGTCCTGGTTGTCGATTATAGATGTCATTCCTGTTTTCTTCCAGATCTCGGATTATTACTTCATCCCAGACAGTACCCAATTAAGTGAAAGACTGAGAGTTTGTCTTCAAGAAGGAGACGAGGTAAGCCTTCGTTTGATTCTCATTCTCCTCAAACGACTGTCAATACTTCTTCTCTGTCAGCAAAGGTTTGGGGAGGACACTTTTCACGGTCAAACAGGTCCTAAAGTCGCTCCATTTGAGCTGGGACCTGCGGGTTATATCTATTTATCAAGGTTTTAAGATCTTTAGTTTTTAAATGTAATTTTTATTCTGTAGTTGGTTGTAAGGGCATATAGCATCAGGGAGATCAGGATTTGATGAATTTATAGATATAGATGTCATACAAACACTTAAAGTGACAGATGGTGAAAGGATTTAATTTAACAGCAAACAGTTCTTTGATTTTAGTCACAAGAATTTTCTAAAGTTTTTGTAACATACAGCTTGATTCTCTAGATAGTCAAGAACAAATTAGATCTCAGGTATTTTGCTTTTTTCAAATGAATGTCCCTCGAAATGAGTCTTTTGCCTTCGATCACATTGATTCTGATTTGTTTTTCTAGATTCCAAGGGATCACACACAGTTATTCCACGAAAATTTATTCACCTTGGACACGAACTCTGTTGCTTCAGTAGTCAGGTATAAAGAAAAGTTTTCAAACGTTAACGACTGAATACAATTTAAAGTTTATGTAAAGTCATTCATATATGTATTTTAAGATTTTCAGTACCCGTTTCATTTGCCTTTCAACCTTTTAGTGTCCACTGATATCTTATGACCTACACTCTCATTTTCAATTAATGTAGTAGTAACCCTCAATCAACATGGCCATTGAAAGTTTGTTGAAGAATCAACGTTGGTAAAACAAATCAACGATAACTAGATAAACAATTTTTTAGCGGTAAAGAACTTTGAAATGGTTTTGAAAGAAGCAAACATTTCACAACATACTACTAAGAGCCAAATGTTTGCGTTTCTCTGATTGGCTTATTTTCAATCCACAACTGGGTATATATTTTCCATCGTGTTCTTTCGGACCCTTATTCTGACGTTTTATACTCTGAGGAGTGTCAGACAAAAAGTTTTTAGTAGCGACAAAGATTCATTAGATAAGGATGATGAATTGACGAAGAAGATCTTTGTAGCAAAAATTATGCTTTTAAGGCAAGACAACCATGATTTGTCTTCACAAGAAGATAATGTCTCAAGCTAAAAACCAAAAGTTGAGGACTAGAAGAAACTGTAGAGAAGTTTATCAAGTGAGCTCAACACGAGAAATTTGTAAGCACAGTAAAGACCCTCAAGGACATAGATCTCTTCAATGCAGTCCTAGAACACCTACGAATACTTTGATATCATCTTTTACAATTGTTTGCATCTTTGGCAAATTTACCACTGTCTGAATCGCGTAACATAACCATTCAGCATTCACTCAAGATAGATTCATTGCCTAGGTTTATTAAACTAATCATTTTTATGGACTAGATTTGAATATAGACGACTTTTATGGACATATTATAATCGGCCTTTTGGCCAAGATGTTTAGAAGCGTGTTATGAACGAATAAAAAGTGGCGATTTGACATTGCATTTTAATGATATAATTTGATGCGTATTTCGAGCCAGTTCTACACACTTTATTCAATGTTTTGTTTCTTCGGAATCCAACTTAACACAAAAGATGGCATAAAACTTCAATTAAAATGCACATGTAAGTGAATTTCAGTTTTAAATGTTTTAATATAATCTAATCTTTTTGTTTGTGATTTTCAGAGCGTTTGAAGAGTTGAAAGTCAAACACGAGCAGCTGCAGCTGATAACACCCCAGTTTGAAACTCCGTTGCCTCCATTACAGCCCGCTGTAAGATCATAGCTTTTTTGTGTTTGCGGTTGCTTCCAAGTGTGTTCCTCTTTGAGACATTTGCTTCTTCATGAAAAGTCTATGATTTCTAGGAATTTTTACGAATTGCTTTGTGAGGGTTCTGAAATAAGGTGCGGGTTACTTGAAAAATAGGGTGTGTAAAAATATGGCAAAGAACCTGTTAAGGGAATTTTCGGGACTAGTTTCTTTTTTAGATGTAAAGATATATGAAATTCACCTAGTAAAGAGGTTTTACTGTGAACGATTAACAAAATCTATAGAAAACTAGACAGATTTTGATGTAGAATTCCGTTAGTCAGGGCTGTTAGAACCAAAAAAGTGGTGAATCATTCACATTGTGATAGAAGCATGAAATTTGGCACAGATACACAGTTTGATACGCTGAAAAAGACAGGGTGCAGACCCTTTCGAAAAATGCCCCCAAATGCTATTTTTAGACTGGGGTATTAGATCCCAAGCCCCTTCAGTGGGTATAAGATCAACTATGCAGTTAATTGTAATAGAAGCATGGAAATTTATAGAGATACATCGCACAATAATTAGACCACTTTACTACGAATTGCAATATGGAAACACAAGCAGACCTCCAGTTTGTGTAGACCAGTCTCTTTATCAGGATTATACGTGGTTGTTTTCATAGGTGATGTGCATGTAACAATCAATGCATAATGACTGAATGTCAGTTGCCATTGGAATAGATTTCATAATATTTCTTCAATTTTAGGTTTTTCCTCCACAATTTCGCGAGTTGCCACCGCCAGCACTGGACTTGTTTGATTTAGACGAGGCATTTTCATCGGAGAAATCAAGACTTGCACAAATCACAAACAAATGTGAGATTTGACTGGATTTAGTTTAAATTGTTTTTAGTTTAATTTTGATGACCTTTTGCTAAATACACTTGTTTTAAGATGAGGTCTAAGATATTTTATAAATAGAACAATAATAGCACGGTTAAGCAGGTCCCAAAGTTGCTACATTTGAGCTGAGACCTGGGGATTTCTCATGAAGTCTCTCTCGTTTATTGGTTTTATGTGTTATTTGTTGCTTGTCCCCAAAAGTGTGTCAAAACAAGAGTCAGAGGGAAATTGACCGCTTTGTAAAACAACAGTTAGAAAACAGGATTAAGACTAGCCAAACTGTTTCAATGTTTTTAAAAGTTGGATTATAACGATGGATATTAATATTGTGAAAACACCTATACGCTGTCTGAAATGAAAACATTTTGTCAAATTTGAAGGAAATGCTTCTGTAAAGTGCTGCTTGAATCAAACAAGATCGGCGGAAACTTTAATTTCTAATTTACAGGTTGTATTTGAAAACCTAACGAAGAGACTGGTTTCTGAATACTTATCAACTGGAAATTTCTTGTTTTATTAGGTAATGACGAAGATCTTGAGTATTACGTAAGGGAATGCGGAGAAATTCTTGGCGTTACAAGTAAACTTGCTCCGGAGTCACGTGATGCCAAGCACATTCTTGAACATATATTTGCTCAAGTTGTCGAATTCAAAAAACTAAACCAGGTATGGCTACCACTTTCAATTCTACTGCTTAGATTAATATCATATGCTTATAAATTAAAAAGAATTGAAAATTTTTGTATTAAGAAATGTTGGAACAAGAAGATAGGCATAAGGGCATGAACAAAGTTCCACAGAACCTCAACAGATATTTTGGACATTCAATTCTTGAAACTTTATGCTCTTGATATTCTCACTACAGCTATTATCTATACTATTCTCTTATGTAGAAATTGTATTGAATAGTTTCGTATAAGTAGAAAGACTTTCTTCGAGTGTGGCTCATTTCCATAGCAACACTGTCTTAGCATTAAATGCTAACCCGTAATGCTTTGCGACTCGTTAGCCTTAGATTTCAAACGAACATTAGCACCAGGTCCTGGTGTTCCTTTTGTTGTTACATTTGTAACCCGATCACACTTTTTTTTCAATATGGCTGACGATGCTTTATAACAGTTCTTGTTTGGTTTAGTTACATGACCGTTTCAAATCAAAATATTATAACTACTATAACATTTAAAGCAAAAGTATTTGTTAAAAATATTTCCAAGGACCTAGCAAGTGATCTAAACATCATAAATGTTAATTAGATTGAACACATACCTTCAAATTGTCTGATATTTAAAAGTCGGCCTTTATTCTTCTTGCAGGACGAACCTGAGCCGGATATGCTAGATGGAGGAGACGTGCATTTCTCTTAAAAGGACTGTTTGTACCATAATGTAAAAATTAGAAGAATGCGAAAATGTTAATGACCTTTCGTTGAATAAAGTAAGGGAGAAGATCATATAGATTATAATTAGCTTAAAAATTATCCTAGTAGAAGGAAGGTCAGATAAATCAGAAGGTTCTGAACGTTCTTAAGGAAAGATTACCTGAAAGGAAGGAAGGTTTTGGAATTCAGAACGTTCGTAATTAAGGCAAACTTCTAGTTCTTTATATCACAAATGAAAGTAAAAAATTGTTGTAGCCATGAAAGTGCTCTCCGGTGCTCAATTAAATTAATGTAATTATGTTTTGTTTGGAAAATTTCCCCACATATCAAATGATTCCCTACCCTTTTCATGACCGGGTGTTTCAACCGTCCATTGCATATGTCAAAATGGACAATCAGTGGAGATATAGATTAGTGCTTAAACAAACTTATAAAACAGTTGTCTTTAGCCTCTATTCTTTGTTCTTCATTGTCTGTTTCCGTTTATTGGTCACTCTGTCTTGATTTATAGAAACAGTACCATCCCTCTAGCTATTACAACCCTCCCTCAAATTATAGGCTGGAATCTAATAACGTAATGAAAGAAATAGAATGGGTTGTATCAGTTCGAGAAAAGACCCTCTTTCCATTATAACTCCCCATATTTGACAGGTCTCTTCTCTCTGGCTTTTTATACTCTGAAAATGGCTCTACTTGGGCTGCCAATCAAGCTTCTGACCCCAAAGGTAAAATATTTACTGAATCAATAAGAAATAAGTTTATGTTGCCCTGTCTAATCAAATTTTTATCGATACAGCATCGCACTCTACATTTGAAGTGAATTGCCTGCCAGTCATGGTTGTTTTAACGCTAATCAAATTTGCAAATGGGACTTTTCGTTACACAAACCTTCTGTTCCAATGAATGTAGTGATTTGATACTTCTACAGAATTGCACTTTTAATTATATTTAAGTTTGTATAATATGTTATAATGCAAGTTGACAATTTAAATGTTGTTTTTATGGCCATGTTTTCTGTCTGACGCTGGTTGTACGAATTAAAGCAATGTTCCAAAAGTATTATCATTTAGCAAACACATAACTGGATTGTGGAAAATAAGGAAGGCTCCGAGCCTGTCCGATTGGTGTTACCTCGTAATGCATTGGAATGTGAATTTCATAACTTAGCCCTTCTTTGCGTATATCAAATATCTGAAAACACGATGGAATGTTTTTCTGTATAGTTGATATTCCAAAGTGTTCATGATTAATTATGTCCTTCCAAAACGATTTGTTTTCTATACTTATCCAATAAATTTGGAAAAGACTTTTGGAAGAGATATCTTTTTTATTTAAAAGGCCGTATCTTTCTAAGTTGTAGATTTTTACTTTTAAGATAGATCAACGGTTGAAAAAGAACAACCATCCTGGATAAACTGCAATCAAATAAAAGAGGTTCCCATTCTAAAAGTGCTTTCATTGCTAGAATTCTTGAGAATTCTCTTTACAAATAATATTTTGATGGTGCAAAAATTAAAAATGGCTTTGAAAAAAGAAAACATTTGATTATATTAAAGCTTTTCGTCTGAATCTATTCAGAGTATAAAACGTCAGAAGATAGGGGTCTGGAGCACAGACTAGAACATAGATGGATCGAGTTTTCGACATTAAAAATTACGGTTGGAGTAATTCATTACACTCTGAGAAACAATTTAAATTTGGTTTATGTTTTCAGAAATCTATCTTATATTCTTGACTTGGGATGAAGCATTGATGCTAAGTTTTGAAAATCAAGAATAAAATGTGGGTGTAGGCGTGTCTACAGCAAAATGTTTTTAGAGCCACGATACTCGTCCCTTCTTGAACATGTCGGTTAGATAGACTAACGAGAGTCTTCTTTCACGTTTGTGAAACAACTGTATTTTTGGTGATTGTTTTCCAGGGGGAAGGGTGGCTTAGAAACAAATTTTACAAAAAAAATTGAATTTTATCGTAACAGGAATAACATCTCCCCTGCCCAGCTACGAAACCACAGAAGAATGAACAATCCACCTTTACGTTTTTACTCCAAAGTTCTATTTTTTAGTCACGCAACTGAACATTTTGAGTGTTTTTTCGGTTTCATTTGCAGTACAAATTCCTATTGAAATCACCTCTATAGGACCACCTGTAAGGATGATTACAATTTTGATTTCATATGTATTTTTAACTTTGCCTTTCATACGTCATTGCCTCGTTACCAAATTGTTGCATAAACATTTTTCAAGAATATGGCTGCCAATTAAAAGAATTGCTGCTTGAAATTGGATTCCTTTGGCAACTGTAGGCTTGATAGGAGAACAAACTCTAGTTTTTCATGTGAGGTATGTCCGATACCTTATTGGTAGCAGTTGAAAAATGTCCACTCTGCGAAAGCACAAGAAGAAAATTGACTTGCTCTGAATGTGTCCAGAAAGGAAGTTTTTCCTATTCGTCAACGTCAGACGGAGAAATATATTCTGTTAAAAGCAACAGGATTTCGCAGTTGCTACAGCAAAGGAAATCTCCAGCACAAAGTATTGCAGATTTAAATGAAAGAAATTATATATATGAAGCTAAACGTATCGAGTTACTGTCGCTTAATTTAAAAATAAATTCACTGAGGACTGTCGTGAAGACATTGAAGCGAGAAACCGATTTTCACCAGCATAAACTTTCTAAACGGAAAGAGATACATGAGAAGTTATTGAATAAATTTGAACATGTGAAAAAGAATTCAAGGCATTGGGAAAACGAGCTTGTAGCTTTATCAGCAAAGGTAAAAGATGAAAAGCAAAGATTGACAGAATTGAACCTAAAATTGGTTGAATTGAGAAAAATGTCGATTATGAACTTGAAGCAAAATATCTTTCCAATTACCTCTAGGCCAGTTTATAAAGAATTTGGAACACCACCAGGACTAACTGTAGCAACAAGGGGACTTTCAAGCGATTTGATTCTTGAAACAAGTGTTAGTGCAGAAACAGATTTAGAAGATGCCACAAAATGCACCTATCAGGAGGGTCGTTGGGTTCAAACAAATTTATCAGAAATGGAGTATTGCATTTTGGGTTCTGGGCTTCCAGCATCTGGTGATTACTTTAAGTATTTTGAATGGCTCAAGTCGTACAGGAGAGAGCCAAGAGGTCCAGATGATCAGGAAAATATCCACATCATCCCTGTGCTAGAAATACCAGCAGCTTTGGCTTTTAGCTGCCAAGTTTTGAAACTTTCAGCTAAAATTCTTGGTGTGAATCTGCCACACAAGATCAATTTTGGAGACCTGAGTAATCCATACACCCATCCAAGAAAGTTTTGTGAAGCAGTAGCCAAGTTGAATAAAAATATAGTGCACATGTGCTTTAGCCAGCTTTTGCAGCCCAATCAGTTATCACCAGTGCAAACCCTGAAGAACCTGGATTTATGTCTTTCAGAGCAAAATGAAAACCTTGGGTATATAGGCAATTATGAAACCTACATGTATGAGATGCCAGAGCTATTCACTGACCAGGAAGGTGGTTTAGGGGAAATTGGTTATGGTTCAGATTCAAGTGATAGTGATGACAATGATGATGGCGATTTTGCTGTCAAAGATGATTGGGATAGCTTGCAAGATCTCCTAGAGGTCCAAAAGGATATTGACCTATCAGAGACACGATCAACCCAATCAGACCAATCACTGTCATCTTCTGCTACTGGGCTTGTTACATCAGCAGCTGCTTCTGTGGCTTCATTGTGGAGATGGAAAAAGAACTAGTAAAATAAATTGGTATCATCCAAGCGTAAATTTGATGTTTAAATTAGTTCTGATTACTCTTAGGACAAACTATGAATTATTATGATAATGCTTCTTTATTACTAGAAAATAAGGCCCTTAGTGAACAGGAGAAATAAGATGGTATAGACTTACTCTTTTGAATCGTTTCAGGTATCAAAAATCAAACTACCTGCCAAATAAACCAAACAAAAACTTGTTTGGCCCATCATTCTTACTTAATTGGTTTTGTATTTGTATTTGCTTTTTAATCAAATCTAGTTACATTGTGATTCACAGGAGAAAGTTAATTATCCATTAAAAGTCAATTTAAAATCTGGATCAAATCAAACCTATTTGTATATGTACCTTTAGTGTATGTGGTATAATTTCAAGTCATAAAAAAGAAATGATTATTATTATTATTATCAATTTATGATAAAAGCAATAGAAATGGTAGAGAAGATAGATCATGATATTCCATCAAATTCACTGATTGTTGTGATTAGTATTTTTATATGGATGTTCATGGGTATTTTTTTAATTGGTCCAGCTAATTACCACATTTTCTCAAATAGAACATTTTGCAAGAGCAATGGGTACCTAAGTGAGCCAAAAACACTTCAAAAGAGAATAGTGTGGTGTCAAGTAATTTGTCCTTGAAGAGAGGCTGAATAGGTGAATGGCAAAGAAAATGTGCATGCTTTTCTCAGTATTTTAGGTTTGTCACCCTTTGCTGGGGGCTTTTAAACCACCTTACCAATTTTTTATCAACTTTGAACTTTTCTATCAGCTTCTCCAATGCTTTGTTTTTAGTGAATCCACCATATTTTCTTTTAGTCTTGAAAAGGATTTATTTTCTCCTGAAAACTGTTAACTGTTTAAAATTAACTGAAATGCTTGTTTTGACTCTTGGAATTAAAGCTGAGGATCATCAAAACTTTGCCTCTAAATATGTGAATATAGCTGAGGATCATCAACATTTTTAAGATTTTTGTGAATTGGTTTTTCTCAGAAGAATAGCTGCTGTCCCTAAATATAAGTTACCCTTGGTTTGAAACTTAGTGGGCAAGCAAAGCTGAGAATTAAAAGCTGGCATGCACATTTCTCAAGGTGGCAGTGGCTGGTTTAGGGGTGTCCAGGGGGCATAGCCCCAGGCCACATGCTTATGGTAAAGAGAAGGGGCCTGACACTTAAGAAAAAATTATAAAGAACAAGGACTCAATATATGATTTTTGTCCCAGACCCTATCATCCCTAAAGCGGTTGCTGCAAGGTAGGAATACACAAAGTCAAAAGTTCATGTCTTGAAAAAGGTGATGGCAAGAAAACAAAAGATTGGCAATTTGTAACTATTTTTGAAGCTGCAAAACAAAACAGCAGATGTAGAAAAACAATGAAAAAATGAAGGAGTTCAATCTAAGGAATGATTTCAATTAAAAGAATTGATTAAAATTTCAACAAAAAATACTTCATTTCACAGAAAATAGAAAAAAATTCATGATAAAAAATGAAAAGTACGGATGGAAAAGTCAAATTTTATGTACGGGTGGAAAAGAGGCCAGCCTTGTGGAGGAACGAGGCTTTAACATGGTAGACAAAGAAGACAGTGCTCAGTTCAGTTCAGTTCAGTTCGTTCCGCTATTTAGCGTACGACATTCGATTAGACATTCAGTTAGACATTCGATTAGACATTCGGACTAAAATGGCTCGGTATAAGAAATCTGTGCTAGAGGGTTAAAAACAATGTTAATAACATTAAAGTATACCTTCGTAAGTGTATTATCGTATGCTTCGTTTTTGTTGTTACGTCTTGTAGAAGCTGAACTGAGCATCATAGTGTTGAATTTGGACTTAGGCCATGCGTTAGACATTCGCCGTCGGGAAAAAAATTATTTTTACGCAATAACTTTCTCGTTCTTAGGAAGATTTTCCCGAATGCTTGCAACGTAACTTTTCCAATCCCATTATACATGTTAACAGGGGATTCGGTAAAATTGCGATCTTCCTTGAAAAATTTCTATTTCGTTTCCCATACTGAAGCCTTACAACTGGAAAACTGAATCCGTATTTACGCAATAACTTTGTCGTTTCTGTATGAACTTTACAGAAACTTTATAAAACATCTTTAATGAACATACCCTTGACGTTAACGGATGTTTCGGGAACTTTTTACGACTTTTGAGAAAAAATTTTTTTCATTTTCCATACTGAAGCCTTATAAAGTGGTCAGTTTGGGGGACGTTTACGCAAAAACTTTTGTAAATCTGATTGGAATCGTCTGAAACTTCACAAAACGTCTTCATTTAACCCAAAGTTGTTGTTAACGGGGGTCTCAGCAAATAACTTTACGTTTTGAGAAAAATAATTTTTCATTTTCCATACTGAAGCCTTATAAAGTGGTCAGTTTAGGGGACGTTTACGCAATAACTTTTGTAAATCTGATTGGAATCGTCTGAAACTTCACAAAACGTCTTCATTTACCCCAAAGTTGTTGTTAACGGGGGTTTCAGCAAATAACTTTACGTTTTGAGAAAAATAATTTTTCATTTTCCATACTGAAGCCTTATAAAGTGGTCAGTTTGGGGGACGTTTACGCAATAACTTTTGTAAATCTGATTGGAATCGTCTGAAACTTCACAAAACGTCTTCATTTAACCCAAAGTTGTTGTTAACGGGGGTCTCAGCAAATAACTTTACGTTTTGAGAAAAATAATTTTTCATTTTCCATACTGAAGCCTTATAAAGTGGTCAGTTTGGGGGACGTTTACGCAATAACTTTTGTAAATCTGATTGGAATCGTCTGAAACTTCACAAAACGTCTTCATTTAACCCAAAGTTGATGTTAACGGGGGTCTCAGCAAATAATCTCAGGTTTTTAAAATAATTTTTGAGAAAAATAATTTTTCATTTTCCATACTGAAGCCTTATAAAGTGGTCAGTTTGGGGGACGTTTACGCAATAACTTTTGTAAATCTGATTGGAATCGTCTGAAACTTCACAAAACGTCTTCATTTAACCCAAAGTTGTTGTTAACGGGGGTCTCAGCAAATAATTTCAGGTTTTTAAAAATAATTTTGCCAGAATTCCTGCCTTTGGGATTGATTGGAATTCCGAATGAGTGCTCAATCCCCTCAGTTTCCACGAAGCCGGTACCTATGGAATTGAGTTTAAAGGAATCTTTTTGGTTAAGATTTGTGCAATATGTTGTTATCTTTGTGTTAAACATCCACGAAATTCTGTCACGACAAAATTCTTGGAAGTTGTACAAATTTTTTTTCGACGAAGTTTATCTGCCGAAAGTTTATCTGGATATGACCAAAATTTTTGTTGCTAATGCATTCAGAATCCTAAAATCTATTTGTTCTTTCTTTGGCCATTAGGCGTTTAGAAATGTTTCTACAAACAGTATAAAAGGAGGTGTAGTAAGGTTGCGGTAAAAATATTTTTTTTTCAACGTTTATTTTATTGTTCCAGTTTGTTGGCCAAGCGAATGCCAATTTTTCTGGACTCTAATATTATACTAGAAATAGCTCTTGCTAGTACTGCCCGCAAACAATTAGTTCCTTGATAATGATTGTTTTGAAAAATTAGGTCAGGATATTCGAAGAAGACACCATCTTGGGTTTTCACAATTTTATAAAAACAGCTGCTCTAGTTGATGCTAAACTATTCTTTTTATCAAGAATTTTTGGTGTTCAGTTTGCCTTTGATTCAAGTCCAACGCCCTTTTGAAAATCATGAAGTTTTTCTAGGGTTTGACATTTATTTTTCGTTTTCGTGAAGCAAAGACGTATGAAAATGGACACGTGATAGAACGGGTACAGCTAAAATAGATTGCGATAAAGGATTCGTACAGCGATGTACAGGAGATAATCACGACAATCATAACTTTTGCTCGTACGGTGTCGAGTTTTTGGGAGAAAGGTGTGGCATTCGACTGGTTTTGATTCCCAAAACTTCGAATCAAAACTTCCATCCATTGCGGAGAACCGAGCTGTGATGCAGCACCGTTTTCGTGCCAAAAAACCGAAGGCCTTTAACAGAGTCTTGGCAGAGCAACGCTCCGAATATAATTCCCTTCCGCACAAAGAGGTGGCGGTTAACGACCTCCTCGACAAAGCCGATTGATTGACAATGAAATTGATTGACAGTTGTCATGGCAGCAGAAAAGTGACAAAATCTGCTGACAAAGTGCTGACATTATGAACTGAAGCTTCCATATGCTACTTATACGCGGGGCAGACTATAAGCCCTTCACTCGCGCGCTATCGCGCGCGAGTTGCGGGCAATAAGTCTAGTCCGATCTAAATATTCTCTAGGTATAAATATTCTTGTCTGGTCTGGTCTAAATATTATCTTGGTATAACGAACCCCGGATATAGCAAACTCTTGTTATTGCGAACAGTGGCAGAAATTATGGGGGTATGGGGGGGGGGGGATAGCCATGTCGTAGTAAAATCTGGGTTTTCGTCGTACAATTGACAACATTTAAACTTTTCGAACTTACTCCAAGATATCGTTCTGAAAAGGTATTTTTAGATAATCTGAGGGGCGTAATTGCTAAGTTTTCTGCATTTTCCTTTGTTACCCCCGGTGCCTTTATAACTTCTCTGTGCCCTTGTTGCAAAATTTGAACATAGCATAGCTGATAAAATATTAGCCAGTACTAAATAATCAAACAAACAATAAATGACCAAAATCAAAACTGTTTGTGAATTGTATATTTAATTTCAATTCCGTAAAGATTAGCCGAAATTTCCATCGGATTCTTCCAAATAAAAGTTATGATGTAAATTATTCGAATGTGATGGATGCGTACGTTAAACGTACACGAAGGTCTTTGATCCTTACATCTCCAAGGTAAAACATGCAAAGAAAGTACGATTGTTAAGTTTAACCCATGATGTTGAAACGAACACGCGAATGAATATAGGACTACATGATGCTTTTAACGATGCTAAAAACGAACTGACTAATAATTGACTACACCCATCCATCACGTGCCACCAAGTAATAGGGTGTCCATAACAATTTTCTGCAAGTTATTTCCCACTGAAGAAAACAAGATAAAATTTATAAAATGAACATTACAATAACAGTCACGTTGTTATCATGAACGACTTGTCAAAAGTGTAATCGGTCGACCTCTTGTATCATATATCAACTGTCTTAGAAGAGACATCGATCTTGATATCAAAAATCATAAGTGGATTGGTCTTGCTGCTTAATTATGGCGTGGTCAGCAAGTATTTCTAAAGTGTCCCGCCAAAAAAATCACCTAATTTTCATCAAAATGTGCAGCTTTCTTGAAATTACACATGACACAAGATGTTATTTTGTGGGAAAATTGTAGGCCTGTCCCCCCTTCCCTAAATGCTGGGGCGCCTACACAGGGGGGCTGGAGGGGGAGAGGGGGCAAGAAGTGCCCTGAAATATAAGAAAATACTTTAGAATCTTATTGATAATCGATGACCACTTTGACTACACTCGTTATTTTAATATTTACAGTATTAGAAAATATTAGAAAAATGATAACACCAGCACAAAAACGCAGAGAATGAAAAGTTTGTCTGTGACAGGGTCGGCCACAAGAGGGAGAGCGACAAAGATAATAGATGATAAACAAAAGACGTTTTCCCTTCGAAGTACTCCAGGAACCTAAGGAGGATAAATCGGTATAAAAACTTTGCGGGCAATCAAAATTTTACAACCAGCCCATTTATAACAGCCATGATTTTTATAAAACCAAATATTGTGTATAGTGACAAGGCAATTTAATACCCTTTTTATGTATGGATAATTTCGTCAACATTTTCTCTATGTTTACAATCTTTGATGGTAAGGGCCCCAGCTGTATGGGTGGCACATATTCAAGTTGATATTTTATTATGTTACCCCACCCTTGCCCCCCTCCCACCTAGGAATACTCGATTATGTTAGTAGAAAAATTCCACGATTTTCCCTCGGCACCAACACTGCCCCTCCTGCCCTAAGCTGGTGCAGGCGTCCCTGCCTAAACGAAAGCCTGAATTTCAGCCACTGATTGCAAACAAAATTTTTGGTGCCTTTATCACAATTATCATTAATATAACGAACTTTTCATAAATTTTACATCCAAATTTTATTTTTTTCCGGTGTTCATTTGTCACTTTCTCCAAAGGGGAAGTCGTTATTGCCAACAGTAGAAAATACATCGGCAAACATACTCTTTTTAAGACGCTGAAAATGGAGTCGAGATGCGTGCAAAAGTTGACCTTTTAATGTAATGTGTGACGAACAAGACTTTATGACCTCCCGATATAAGGAACTATTTTCGGGTTGTTCCCCCAGAGTTTGTTTTATTGGGGTTCCAGAAACAGAAACATTACTAGTTCAAGTAATTCTTATTGTCATAAGATCGAAAAAATTCACTTCTAAAGGCCTGATGGCCAAAAAAAGAACAAACCCATCTCAGGATTCTGAATACTATACTTGAGCTGAATGTCATTGTAAACCAATGTCATATCTATATAGACTGAAATGAAACTTTAACTTCTCGACGAAGCAACGTTGGTTTTTCTTTCTCTGTCCTCTTTAAATTTAAAATAAAGCTACAAA